TATCTGGGTCTCTATATTTTTGAATGAAGCTTCAGTATTTTTCTGATTAGCCATAATATTTCTGAATGAAGCTTTAGTATTTTGTTGATTAGTCATAGTGTTTTACATGAATTTTTCTACAATATCCTCCAATTTACTTATTCTGTTAGGCACTGAAGGATAATGTTGTTGCTGTTGTTGATATGGAGGTTGCTGATATGATTGTTGTTGAAATGCAGGTTGTCTAGTAGATGAGCTAACACCTTGGTTAAACCCAAAATTATGATTCTGATTTTGTTTCCCTCTCCATCCTTGCACAAAATTATTCTGATAATTATTGGGATTAGGAAAATTGCCTTGCCTGCCTTGACTACTACCTTAGGCCCCCATATAATTAGCTTCTTCTTGTTAAATGTTGTCTTGATAAGAACATTGTTCATCTGTTGATTAAGAATAGATTGTACTGTGTGCATTTGTTGAGGTAATTTCTCTATTTTCTGGTTCAATACTTCAATTTGTTGCATTATAAGTTTATTCTGGGCTAAGATAGCATCTGAGTTGTTAAGTTCAAGAACTCCCTTCCTTTGAATTGGATTTCTATCATGTTGGGTCTGTTGGTCTGTAAAGGCTAGTGCATCAATAATTCTAGTGGCATGATCAATTTCTACATCCAACATAGATCCTCCTCTTGCAGCCTCTAATAGCATCTTTGCATCATGTCGCAAGCCAGTATAGAAAATATTCAACAAAGAAACGTCATCAAATCCATGATTTGGGCAACTTCTCAACTGTGATTTAAATTTCCCTCATGCTTCACAAAATTGTTCATCTGCTCCTTGTCTGAAAGAAGTGATGTCAGATTTTGCTTTGATGTAACAGGATGGTGGGAAAAATCTATTCAGAAACTTCTCTTCTACACTACTCTAATTAGTCAGACTCTGATTAGGATGTGTTTTCAGCCACTCATTTGTCCTTCCTGCCAAAGAAAAAGGAAATAATATCAAATATGTAGATTCACGATTTGCTGCTCTAAATCTCATGGTACCAATCAACTCATAAAAAGTAGACAAATGAATATAAGGGTCTTCATGATCCAATTCAGTGAATTGATGAGCATTAATCAAGCTTAAGAAAGATGGATTCATCTGCAATGTATGATCATCCGGAATAACAATGCTGAAAAAATGTCTAGGACCTTGCTGCATAGCACAATTTCTAAGAGTTCTTCTAGGTGGATTTGCATTTGGATTTTGATTTGGATTTGGATTTGGATTCAGATTTGCTCCGTCTTCTGTCATATCTTCTATAATTGGGTCTGGTAAATCAAGTGTGAAAGAAGAATTAGCAGATTCTCTTGTGGCTTGTTCTTGAGTTTCTCTTCTTCTTCTACCCCAGTTCCTCCGAGCTGTTTTTTCAATTTCTGGATTAAATTATAAGCTGCTCTCGAAGATACATGTCCTCTTAAACGCATAAATCAAAAGAGTAACTCAAGCAAATATTAGCACAAACTAAAAACTAAATAATAATAATAATAATAAAACAAAAATAGAAATAAAAATAAAATACTCAATAAGTTAAACAAAGATTTCTCAAAGAACACCGTTCCACTGGCAACGACGCTAGAAATACTTGTTGAATTATTGGCAAGCGTACCAAAATTATCAATCGCGAGTATAGTATTTCGATTAAATAAAAGTCGATCCCACGAGGAACGGTTTCAATGGAAATTCCCAATTATGCTTACTAAGTATATTAAAACAGATTGAGTTTTGCAAATAAGAGTTGAATTGAAATTAAATGACAAAGAACTGTAAATTGTTGAGAAAATATCAATTAAAGGTACTTAAGATTGGTTTCCTTCCTTATCCCTCTTTTGTAATGGCTATGTCAATTAAGAACATCAATTAACCTAACAATGCTGATGTCACCTACTCAAATCATCCATGTTGATTCCTCACACATGAAATTCATAAGAAAACCTAATAAATGTTTATTCCTCACACAATTATCAGATTTTCCAGCATTAGGGTTAGGGTGTTAAGCAATTGATACATTCATTCCATTCATGACAATTAACGTAACAAATATTCTTACCGTGATTTAAGGATTAAGATATATTTTCAAATCATACATCAAACAATAAAGAATAAATCATTCCAAAGCATAAATGATAAGAATAACAACATCAAAATATAGATTAATATATCAAAATATCACCATGATACAAAAGAGTTCAAAGGAAGTGCACCCAATCCCAGGAGAATAAAGTTAGTCGCTCATATTGGCCCAATTGATGAATAAGTGAAGAATTGATGAAGATTAGACAAAAATCTAACAGTAGTTGTGCCTCCTCTCCTCCAAGACTGCTTGCTTTTCTCAAAACACAACTTATCTTTTTATAAGAGAATTTAGGTCGAGCCTCGCATCATTCATTCGCTTAAGCGTTCTTCTTTCTTTCAATTTTACTCCAATTATGTTGACAATTATGCTCCTTACTCTTGTATCAAGGTATTCTCGAATTCATCCTATATTGGGAGAAAAATATATTAGAATTAACATAAGTTAAGTGGTTTCATAACAATTCAAGGCATAATTATATCAACTTTTTACCACTTAACAACACCCATGGACAGTGCACTTCGTTTACATCAAGATTCCACTAAACCTCTTACTGATCCTCTTTCGTACCGAAGACTTGTTGGTCGTCTATTGTATCTTACAAGTACTCGTCCTGATATCACTTTCGCCACACAACAACTAAGTCAATTTATGGGCAATTGTACTCAGATGCATCTTCAAGCAGCCATGAGGGTCCTTCATTATCTCAAAAGCAGCCCCGGGAAAGGTGTGATGTTTAGGCGTGATTCTCCTATCCAAATTCTTGGTTTTAGTGATGCGGATTGAGTGACCTGTGTTGATTCAAGAATGTCTATTACAGGGTATTGTTTCTTTCTTGGAAATTTCTTAATTTCTTGGAAGACAAAGAAGCAAAACACTGTATCTCGCTCATCATCTGAAGTTGAATATCGAGCCCTTGCTTCAACCACTTATGAGTTACAATGGCTGAATTTTCTGCTTAGAGATATAAAAACCACTGTTCCAAACAAGCTATCTTATACTGTGACAATCAAAGCGCATTGCATATCGCAGCAAATCCTGTTTTTCATGAACGGACAAAACATCATTGATTGTCACCTCGTTCGTGAGAAACTACAAGCTGGGTTAATGTGATTAATTCCTGTGTCATCCTCGAACTAGCTAGCTGACATCTTCAGAAAAGCTCTCCCTCCAAAAAACTATTCAATTTAAACTTATCCAAGTTGGAGTTAATCAACATCTTCCTACCTCCAACTTGTGGGGGCTAACAGATAAAGAACCCAATCCATCCCAAAAACAACATTGTGCAATAGTAAAAATGGGTCACAATACACACTTTACTACCTCATTTTGCATTACAGAAATAATTGAATAATAGTTATAAATAGCTAGTTTTTCTTCTAAAATATGATGAGTTGTATAGTGGTTATTTTCTTTTAATATTTTCTATTTCTTTTTATTCTTTCTTATCCACACGCTATATCAATATATATGAGGTACATTTCTTTTATCAATAGACAGTGAATTCATTCAAATATTCTCTTTTTCTTTTTTTTTTTCTTTTCTTGCGGTCTCCCTTTTAAGCTTTGTATTGCCATTACTAGTTTAAAATAATTGCTCATGTGCATTAACATTTTTATAAAAGCCCTCGAGTATGTGACAAGGGGACGATGAACAAAATAGGAATCCGACTTAGTCCATCTTACTCATTATTTCATTTGTGATATGAGTTCGTTTTTTCATTGGATACATATAATAGTTTGAACCAAACTTCCTGAATAATGAAACCACCACATTATTGCTATAAACCAAAGTTCCAGACTCAACAAAAAATAAAAAAGGATGGAAACTATCAACAACTTGCGACTCAAACTAGTTTTAAGAATCTTTTTGCGGTTATTCTTTTGAATAAATGATGTCATAAGCTTGTCAATGACATCCTAATGCAACAAATTAAATTTCAAATTACTCAATAGCAGATCTTCTTGGGAGCTGAGGGGAGTCGTGACACCCCCAAAGTTTTGTAACTCACATATAATTTATGATTTTGGTTTGTCATATAATTTATGATTTTGGTTCTCATAAACTTAATGAATATTTAATATATTTACTTTTATATTTACAATTATATCCTCTCGATCTCTCCTCGATTTTGTAAGCTATCATATAATTTATGATTTTATCACTCTTAAATTTAATGATCATTTAATATATTTAAGTATATATCTATAATTTTATCTTTTTATTTTCTTTATTCCTTTTATATTTATTTATTATTTATTAATAATATATTATTTATCCGTCAGTTGTAAAGATCCACCGTAGCCAACATTTGCTGTGCTTCAATTAGAAGTAAAAGGGACAAGCTAAAATCTCTTTAGCTGTATTAAACCTGTGTGTAGTATGAAAAGAACATTTTTCTTTTGAAATGGGCTTTCCAACACAATTCTGGAAACAAAATTAAACAGTGAAATGTTTTCTCCATGGTAAATTCCCAGATCGATGTAGCACATGAAAACCCTTTACGACTTCCCTACATAATTATTTACAAAAAATGCACATCTGAGAACGACTCTCAACTTTAGGACAATCTCGTAAGCTGAAGAATTGAAGAGATGGAAGGAGATATGCATTCGCTCTAGCAATGATTCAAATTGAGGGGCACTCACAGATTGTCAGATCCTGGAGATGATAATGACCATGTAATCATTTGCAAATTACAACAGCTCCGGAGAGTCACGAGTGGTCAACGTTACAAGGAAATCATACTTTATAAATGGTGAGCTCTTTCCCAGTCATTTTCACCGTTCCATCGATCCCCGTGAAAGAAAGAACCCAAATATCAATTTCAATGTCTTAATGATAAATTTGAGAAACATTAATGTAAAAAAAAAACTATCAAAGTTTTGAAGTTAAAAATCATATTATATTCTTTTACATATTTGATTCATAGGTCCATATTTGAACATTTCCTTCTCCCAACTTAACCCCATCGGAAAATCCCACGCAAAATCTGTATCAATATAAAATGATTGAATGTGAGCAATCTTTGGCCAATCTTTGCCTCCTGATCTCTGGCAACGCTGTGTCAGTAACTGACTCTGGCCAATAATTGCAAGATCTGAAATGGATGTGGGCAGACCCTCCTCTGGTAATTGATGGAGGTGGACGCAGTCTTTAAGGAGCAATTTCTTGAGAGATGAGAGTTGACAGAGACCATTGTAGTCCAGTTTTTTTAGATTTGGACTATGAGTTATATATAGAGAAGTAAGAGAGAGTGGCAGCAAACCCTCCTCAGGAAAACATTCTGCATCCACTTCTCCAATCCACAAGGTTTCTAGAGAAGGATCATCTCTCAAAGCTCCTTTCAGTGATTCAACAAGTCTGGAGCAATTCTCGAGTTCCATCTCTTTTAGATTTGATGGCCAGCCTCCCTCAGGGAACGACTCAAGTCGTGGACAATCTTCTATGCATAGCTTCTTCAGAGATGGAAGCAGCATATGCATGTTTCCAGGCAGTGATTCAAATTCAGGGCACTTCCTGATACTCAGATACTGGAGCTGATTATGGGTGTGACCCTGTGAAATCAGCTGTAGATTACGAAATCCGCTGAGAGAAAGCGTCTTGAGTTTTGGAAAGAGATCTAGAAGAAAGGCCCTTAGAGAGACAAAGTCATCATCACTGGTTGAATAAATAAGCAAGTGTTCAAGAGAAGTATCAGAGACAATTTGTCCAAGCATTTCCACCAACCATGCTTCCATGTTATGTCCACCGATGCTGAGGGTTTTCAAAGTAGCCCAGTCAAATTGTACTATTCCACAGTCTTCTAGATTTAATTGTGAAGCCCTAGGAGCGGATGCCTCAAGTTGTTGACAGTTATAAATTTCTAATTTTATCAAAGGAACAAGTTGCTTCGGCAGGTGCCCTTTCAGCTTGGGACAATTCTTTATAGAAAGACGTTGAAGATGTGGAAAAGCACCTATCACATCTTTGCATTCCCATTTTTCCCATTCTTTCATAGAGGTGAACTCCAATGTTTCAAGGGATTTAAATGAACAAGAGTTGTTCCCATAGAAATCTGCATCAATACTCACTATCCCATCAAGATAATTTATCTTCACGTCCTTGAGAAATGGCAAAAGTCCAAGGGGAGGCAAAAGTTGGCAAGATTCACATCTCTCCAACACTAAAAACACCATATTCAATAATGAATTATCGACTAACCAATTTGGAAATTGTTTGCCACAGTAGTTTATGATTGACAACTTCCTTAATTGTTTGGAAGGTTTCAGTTTCTCAATTATTTCTCCTTCTTTTGTTGAATCAATAGGGTTCCTATTCCACGACCAATCCCATTGCAACAGTAGCTCCACAAGGTGTGTTTTATTCTTCAAATCTGCTTCTGATGCATCCAAGGAATTCTCAATATTCTGAAGGTCTCCTATTGATAGACATCCATGAAGGTTGAGCGCTCCTAGTTGTTGAATACCCAACGCCCTGCTACGGCCAACCTTAAAGGAACTCATCATTACTTTAAGATTCTTCAGTTTTCCCAAATGTTCTGGCACCTTCCTCACTTTAGTCTGTATAAATTCAAGACGACACAAATTGGTGAGTAAATGCAAATTTGAGGGCAACTCCTCCAAATGATTACAATGACTCAACTTCAGTGTTTGCAAGTGGGACAGTGAACATATCTTTTCAGTTAGTTTTTTAATGGCAGTATAAGAGAGATCAAACGAACGGAGATGCTCAAGATTGCCAACAGAGTCAGGTACCTCTTTAAGCTCAGAACAACGAGACAAAGATAAGATACGTAGCAACTTAAACTTGGAGAACAATTCATGTATCGACATATTGCAATGCCAGCTATGGTATATATACTTCTCGCTCCTAGTTTTTGGCACAAATGTACGTAACCTTTTTGTATCACATAAAGTTCCAAACCCATCAAATTTTTGGTTGTAAGTAATTAGTTCAAGTGACAAATGACGAGTTATTTTTTGTATCTCTTTTGCATGATCAACTTCCCACCTGAAGTATATGTCGCCACCAACATATTTTGCCAAATCATTTAGAAGGTCATGCATGACAAATACTTCTTCGTTTTCACCTGCTTGTTGAAAGAAGGACCTTGATAGTAAATCATTAAAGTATTGTTGGCAAGCTTCTTCAGGACTCTGACTATGTTGACGAAATTGTGGGAAATTTTCAGTCATCCACAGCTGAATCAAACTCTCCTTGTAAAACTCATAATCCTTGGGGAATAGCGCACAGTAAGCAAAGCATGCCTTGAGATGCGAAGGAAGGTGGATATAACTCAATGCTAAAGCAGGGATAATATCTTCCGAAAGTTCCCATATTTCACTTTGGAACACAGTTTCCCATTCTGAAACAGATGATTTGTTGTATAATAGACTTCCCATTGTTTTCAAGGCAAGAGGTAATCCTTTACATTTTTTAACCATCTTCATGCCAATTTCCTTGCACTCTGGATTTGGTTGAGCATGTTTAGCAAATAACTTCCAGCAATCATCTTCCTGTAATTGCTCTAGGGGATATTCTTCTGACCGCATGGTATAAGCAACTGTTTTACTACGTGTAGTCACAAGAACCTTACTCCCTTGGGCTCCGAAAACAAGGGGCTTCTGCACATCTTCCCATTTAAATTGATATTCGTTCCAAACGTCATCCAAAACAAGGAGAAATTTCTTCTCCATCAATTTTTCTTTCAATCTTCTGTGAACCATCTCTAGATCTCTACTATCGTCAGTTGATCCAGTAACAGCCTCAAGAATTGCTTTTGATACCCTGAAAACATCAAATTCATCTGATACACAAATCCAAGCTTTGACATCAAATTTAGCCTCCTCCATCCTTGGGTCATTGAATACGTGTTGGGCAAGAGTGGTCTTACCCAGCCCGCCCATGCCCACAATAGAAAGTATTGATGATGGCTGCATAGGATTCTCTCTATCAGATGTCAGCCAATGGAAGATCTTTTCTTTGTCATCATCTCTGCCATAAATATCACTTCCAACCACCAAAGATGTTGTTTGTGATTTACGTGGCAGTTCATTACTAAACCCAGATCCAAGACCACTAGCTGCTTTTAAACCTAGATCACCCTTTTGGTTTGAGAGAAATTCTAGGCTATCAAGGACTTGCTCCATCCTAGACTTAATTTCCTTGTTAAAGGAACTTAGAGAAGAAGATTTGAAGAAATTTGGTACCTTGCAAGTACAGCCTGTAAGGGTCTGAGATTCAGATTCAGCTTCCACTTGGCTTTTAGAGACTTTGTCTTGTATTTCATCCAAGAGATCCTCTGCATCAAGCACAACATCTTTGACATTCAACAACCAGTTTCTGACATGTGGATCCGTGAATTGCTTTCGTTCTGCATCATCAGCCAGAGAATAAATGGAGTGCAGCTTGGTTTCCAACCTGCTCAGCAGCTTGTGATCAAGCTTTCTTCCACGAAAGAAGTCAAGAACTTGAGGAGAAGATAGCTTGTCAAAAGCAACCTGAAGGAAAGCAGAAAGAAGAGCACCACCAACAAGTTCTAATGCCATGGTAGGAAATGCAGTGGAGTGGAAGAATGGAAATGAGTAATTTGAAGTGCAGCTAACTTATGTCGATGATTCAGTCAAATGAAGGGTTAAATGCTTCGATGATTCAAAAACAATATATGCATCCAGATTTCTTTCATTTATTAACATCATTGCTATACTCGTTCTAATGAATACATGTATATATATATATATATATATATATATATATATATATATATATATAAAAGAAATAAGGTAAATGCATTTAGTCAAGTTTGGTAACTTATGCATGAATAAATAATCTTCAGGTCCCTAACATCCCTTATATATTATCCGTGGCATTGTCATGAAATGAAGAAAAGATAAATAATCAGTGGATATCGAACTTCTATCACGTTAATGGGGTCTGAAAATGCTTGCAGAATCAAATAATAAAACCTGCATTCGGATTTCTTTGATTTATTATTGTTTAGCTGGCCTCAACCAAGTCTAGTCTGATTATTGGTCAATTTTGGTGTTAACTACTCAATAATAAAGCCAAGGATCAAACGTGGCATCAATTCACAACTCCAACGTCTAAATAACAACCGAAAATATGAATATAATATTAAACGTTATTATTTAACTAATATAGTAGGTTGGATTGAAGGGTTGTGAATAAACCACTTCTTCTGTATATTTAAGCTGTGACAACATACCTACTGACATAATCATGTAAAGAACACATTATATTCGTCCAGCGATGTAAAATGAAGATATAATAAGAAAATAAAGAAATTTATAATTATACAAATCTTAATTAAATATTATACTAGTATAATGACATTTCATAAAAAAATTAAAAAGAAATTAAATCTCAATACTCTTTTTTAAATTTAGGCATGTAAATTTTATATAAGTAGACAAAATATTTTAAGAATATTTGATTTGAAGAATTTTTTATAGATATCAGCTTATTAATCTTTTAAATGAATTATAGATAATTTTACAAAAAAAATTCTAACATTTTCTTGATAAAAAGCCTATCTATTTTAACATGTTTTATTCTATTATATTTACGTTAAGAAGTTTTATTGTTATACCGATAAATATTTAAAATAAGAATTTTAATCATATAAATTTTCATAAATTCTAAGTATCAAATTTTTAAACTCAACTTTTTATACTTTGACTTAGATATCACTTTAGGTTTTTTATTTCTTCATTTAACAATATTACCACCAACATATATAAAATAGTTTGATGTTTATCTTCTATCTTCCAATGGTCCATCCTACTCAGCATCAACATATACTTCTATTTATTTATCATTTGTATTTTTTTTAGTATTAATTTTTTTTTCAAGTGCTAACTTTAAATATTTAAAAATATGTGTAACTTTTTTCGAGAATTATACAATAATTGATTGGCAATACTTAAATGCACAGGCAAAACCAAGTCTTTTATGCATTAACTACATCAATATCTCTATAAGTATTTAGTATTTTGGTTTATCAATAAAAATATAATTTGATGTAATAGATAACTTCAAATATTCCTCCACTAATATATTGACAAGATAATATATTTGTTTTGTAACAAGTCTAAAAGATGTTTTTTTAAATATCAAAATTACTTTATTGGATTCATGTATTTTGACTCTTAAAAATATCTCAAGAGACCAAAAATCTTCATTTCAAATTCTTTTTGAAAAATACATTTGCAATGTTTTACTAATATCTAAATTATTTTCTATAACAATCATATAATCCATATATATAATACCTACATTTATCTTATTTTTTTAAAAATAAAGTATAATTTGAATTACTTTGATGATCTACAAATATTATCATAAATTTTATAAATCTTCCAAACATACTCATAGAGATTATTTTAACACATACAAACATTCTTCTAATTTGCATTTTTTTCTGTTTTTTTCATAGAATTTTATGTACATGTCTTTAGTTAATTTTCCATCAAAAAGTATATTTTTTACATAAAATTATTTTAATGATGCATCAATATTTATTGTCAAAGACAATAATACTTGAACAAGTTAATTTTTGTTATAAGAACAAATGTCTTTATCTAATAACCTCATATATTTTAGTAATATTATTTTGACACTAATCTTAATTTATATCATTCCATTGTCTACATCAATATTCACAGTTAAAACTTGTTGTAATTCATCATAATTTTTATATAATACAGGTTTTATATCATTTTACCACAAGTAATTATTTGTTCCATTTAAATGTCTTTAAGGACGTAAGAGTTAGGCAAAAAATTATCACACAGGTGAGTTGTTGTTTAGGAAATAAATATTAGATTAAAATTTAATAATGTTTAGGAAATAAATATTAGATTAAAATTTAATAATGAAATTTTTTAATACAGAAATAAGTTCTTAAGTACTAATGAGATTTTAAAAATATTTTATAATAATTTGAGTAAAATCATATTTTTATGCAGATGATTTAAGCTTGAAGACCTAAGGTCAAATGTTATATGATTTATAACACAAGAATTAATAATATATATATTATTAAAAATATTAATAATCTTGATAAGATAATTTATAGTTATTTTTAGTGTATATAATTTTTCATCTTGGTTGACAATAAAAATCTCAGTTTTCAATTATGACATTTGTGTTTTTTTTTTATAACATGTTTTTGAAAAAATATTGATTTTTTTTTAAATTTGGATAATTGCAAGAACTAATCTCATTATAGTTAAATCAAATTTCATTTCTTTCATCTCAAAGTTTCAAAAAATAAGATATAAATAATCCGCATCGTACCAATTTAAAAAATATAAATTAAATATATTTATTCTTTGAAGCAAAATAAAATAGGAACAACCTTGTTTTCAATTCCTCTTTTACATTTTTATGTTATTAACAAATCAATTTGCAATGTTCTTTTAAGTTTTATTTACATCGTTTTTTTTTTTTAGAGTGACTTTTAATATAAATTTTAGAACATTATATTATGAGTTTTTCTCACATATAATTATAAAATTTTTTTACTAATAAATTACAATCTTAAAACATGTTATGAATTTAATTTTTTTTATTAATAAATTACTCAACTTTTTTATTTTTATTAAATGTAAGATTTTAGAAATACTTGAATTCTCATCGTATAAACATTATTTTCTTTTCCCTCTTACATGTATTTATCAATTTTTTTCTATAATCAATTTTTCACAAATAATCTAAAATGATTTCATTTTAAATTATATTTCAAAATAATTTAAAATATATTCATAATTTATTTTAAGAGAAACATATATAATACAAATTATTTTTCATTATATATATTTTCATCAATGTTTTCATAGATTATATTAGTAAGGAAATTAACCTTGTAAAGTATATAATTATAAATCTTTTGTAAAAAAATTGATATATTTATTACTACTTGTGTTGTGCCTCAAAATAAATGAACTTAACAAAATTTGCACACATGTTAATAACAGTAAGTTATTTATTGAAATAATGTTTAAAAATACAATTTTAATATATCACTAATACATCACTTAGAAAAATAAACATTAAACAAACTAGAAATAAAAGGATTGATAATGGGTTAGAAATAGAAGAACATTATACCAAATCACAACTGGTTGAACTGAGCAAGTGTTCAAGAGAGGGACAAATTTGTCCAAGCATTTCCACCACGATGCTGAGATTTTATTTTTCAAAGTATCCCAGTCAAATTGTACTTTTCCACAGTCTTCTAGTTCTAATTTTAGAGCCCTGGGAGCGGAAGCCTGAAGTTGTTTACAGTCATGAATTTGTAGCCCAGTTTCAAAGGAACAACTTGCTCTGGCAGGTGCCCTTTCATATAGGAGAAGTGCAATGTTTCAAGGGATTTAAATGAACAAGAGTTGTTCCCATGAAAATCGGCACCAATACTCACTATTCTGAATGCTAAACGGGGATAATATTAATATCTTTCGAAAGTGCTCATATTTGGCTTTGAACACAGTTTCCCATTCTGAAACAGATGATTTGTTGTATAATAGACTTCCCATTATTTTCAAGGCAAGAGGTAGTCTTTTACATTTTTTAACTATCTTCATGCCAATCTCCCTGCAGTCTGGATTTGGTTGAGGATCATCATCTTGGAATGCATATTTAGCAATCAACTTCCAGCAATCATCTCCCTGTAATTGTTGTAGGCAGTATTCTTCTGACCGCATGGTAGAAGAAGCAACTTCCTTACTACGCGTACGAAAAACAAAGGACTTTTGCAACATCTTCTCATTTAAATTGGTTTTCCATTCCAAATGAACCATCTCTAGATCTCTATTATTATCATCATCGGTTGATCCAGTAACAGCCTCAAGAATGACTCTTGATACCTTGAAAACATCAAATTCATCTGATACACAAACCCAAGCTTTGACATCAAATTTAGCCTCTCCATCCTTGTGTCATTGAATACGTGTTGGGTAAGAGTGGTCTTACCCAGTCCCCCATGCCCACAAATAGAAAGCATTGATGGCTGCGTAGGATTCTTTCTATCAGATGTCAGTAATTGGTTGACATTCTCTTTGTCATCATCTCTGCCATAAATATCACTTCCAACCACTGGCTGTTTTCAAACCTATATCAACCTTTTTTTATTAAATTATTTGACCTTTTTTATGATAACTTTGTAGACGAGGAAGTCAGAAAATGACAAAATTAACAAAATATGAAATTAAATTCAAATTTACAGCAAAATAAATAATGTATAATTAAATCGTATTGACCAGTAATTTAAAGTAACAACCTTCAGAAATAAAGCAAAATATTTTGAAACATAAAAAGTTACTTATTGTGATTAGATATAATTTAAAACAAATTGGTAGTTTTTATCATAAGAAATTTTATAATTGTTATGAAATATTAAGTCTTTTTATTAAATGTTATAAATATGTATGTTATTAAAAAAGTGTTTTTATTAAAATTTATAAACATGTATTTACTGATAATAATAAATAACTTAAAATTACTAATAATGAGAGTAAATTTGGTATATTTGAACTATTTTTAAAAATGTAACAAAATTAACTTAATTATTTATTTTTATGACTATGTTCTATTATATCATAAGTATCTTATTTTAAAATATAAGAATATTCAAACTTCACTATTATGTTTAAATGTTTTTTTTAACTACATTAATTAAATTTGAGTTTCAAAAAATTAGACAGTTAAAGAGTAATTAATACAAAATTAAAAACTTACCAAGATTTAAAAACTTTTGAAACACTATTATACATAAATGTTTTGAAACACTTTAAAAACTTAATAAATTCATAGTTTATGAATCATATACTTCTACAACAAACTTAAAATGTTTATCATACAATAGTATAACTAGACATGGTTTTTAGAATATATTATATAATTACCAAGTTAAACTATGTTTATATTTTTTTTTGTTTCATTCAAATTGTTATTTTCTTTTTGTACATGTTATACAAACATTAAAATTCAGTCTGGATAAATAATAATATTTATTTAAAGCTTATAGAAATTAAAAACATGTTTTATTTGGTCTTATTTTACCTACTTAGACAAATATCGTGAAATTTATTTTAAACTTTATTCAAATATAGTCAATCACTCATTTTTATTCATTTTTCATTATCTTTAATTCTTAACATATTATTTATTGTATTTATATATATTTTTCTTATCATATATTAAATAGGTTTAAATTGTTAAAAACTATTTACATAATTTAAATAGAAAAATAACTATTTTTTTTATTATAATTATAATTTTTAATTAAATAGAAACACTCTACATCTTATTTATCTGTTTTTATATTTTGATGCTAGATTTAATTACAAATAAACATAAAAGAGTATATTTATTATAATAACTATCATGATTGTAGATAATTTTTAGTTTATGGAATTAGTATTATCTAGTTCAAAAAATAATTTTATAATTTATGTATGTGTATTGTGCATAAATATACATAAAAATATATTTAATAAAATTGATATTTATGAAAATAAAAGTAATAATCACATTATAACACTATATTATTTTAAAAAATCACAGTGAAAATCATTTATGATATAAATAAATGGAGGAGATGAAAATCAAAATTAATTATTAAATAAATACCTTAGTTATGTCACAATTTTTGTAAAATTATAAAAGTGTCCTTTGTCCTCAAGAAACAGCATTTTGGCGGGAAAAGACCTGTAGATACATCAAATGGCGCCAAAAAGCTACAACTTTTCCATTTTTTAATATCAAAAGGTTTCAATATCCATTTATTATTGTTAAAAAAAATAAAAAATAAAAACAAAAATGCACACAACAAGAAGACCGAACAGACGACAACGCACGCAACAACACAAACTTCAGTTTCCAGAAGAAAAGAACACTTCTCTCTCCATTTTTATCTCTTCTCTTTCCCTTAGGGTTTCTGAATTCCTATTCTTCTTTGATTTCTTCGCAATTGCGCGACCCCTGACGCCCGGTATCCAGCTTATCTGCGCGTGATCTGAGCCAATTAGGGTTTTCGCATGAGTCCTCCAGCTGAATCCAACAACATGGAAGATTGCAAGTCCGAAAATGGCACCGACCAAGTCGTGTCTCGCTTCGTTGAGTTCTGCAAGGTTCTGGTTTCTCTTTGTTTGTGTTTTATATTTTAATTATTGTTTTTTTTTATTATTTTTTTGTGTTTTATTTTGTGTCTGACACTGTAACAACCTGTGGGTTTTCAGAGGGAGTGGTCTGCATGCAGAAAGTTAGGATCTTTAAACGTTTAGTTAGTGGGTATACAAATTTGAGATGTTATTTTATTTTTGTTAGGTGCCTTTTCAAGTTTAGTTTCCATCTTGAGTCAAGGATAAGAAGGCGCAACTGAGAATGTTTAATTGATCAACAAATAAATTATTTGTAATGGTTGTGCATAGTAAATGAGAAGATAAGTTAAGCATATTGGGAAAACCCAGTGAGTGTATGCTGAGTTTGTTATCACACAGGAAAGGAGTGTCCCCTTGAGATGTTATTTTATTTTTGTTAGGTGTCTTTTTAAGTTAAGTTTTCATCTTGAGTCAAGGATAAGAAGGCGCAACTGAGAAGGTTTAATTGAGCAACAAATAAATTATTTGTAATGGTTGTGCATAGTAAATGAGAAGATAAGTTAAGCATATTGGGAAAACCCAGTGAGTGTATACTGAGTTTGTTATCATACAGGAAAGGAGTGTCCCTAGTGAACAAAAATATTTGAGAGAATTTTCTCATTAAATATTTATGTGTAACTCCTTCTGCTTGTGATGTTCCTGTTCATCATTGACTGTTGTTGAGAATGTGTATTGTCAGTGCGCTGTGAGTGTGTAAGTAGTCCATAAAATCTAATAAGCGCCCCTGCAGTGATGTGGTGGAGTATTGCAGCAAGCTGGCCTTTGTAAATAATTTGTAACAGTCACATGAATAGAAGCTGAATTCACAACTAAGTAATAACTGAATTGTGGAGAGTATAATAGCCATTAGGGTATCACCTTTCACATATTTCTGTGCCTCCATTTTTCTGGGCATATCCTGGTGGACTATATAGTCTGGCTGAAGCTGGATCTGGAGCTAACTACATTTTGCCTAATCACCTCCCTAATTCTGTCATTTTTTTTATCCTGGACAACCTCTTTGCAGACCAAGTTTTTCTTTGTATAATTTTTTTTGTTTCTTTCACATTTTCCTTCTATATTCTGTACCAACCATTTTCAGTGTTTCTATTTTTTAATTATTTAAATTTCTAATACCTTTTTATCCTTTTGTATTGATGTTCTCTTAGTGTTCTTGTGTAATACTAGGCTAGACACAACCTGGTTTTGTTCTGTATTTCTATCATCTTTTCTAGAAGTTGCATTTTTATTTTTCAATCCAAAGTACTACTGTATCAATTTTGTAGTTACCTGATCTGTTCCACAAATTTGGTTAATTTACCAATGTGTGTGGGCGTGGGGCATGTTTACTGCACTTAATCCATATAAAGTTGAAATTGGATTCTTAGGTCCGAGTCAAAATAGAAGAAATGTCCATATAAAGGGATTATATGGATTTGGGTAGATTGATTAAAATTTAAATTGAGATCCTTTAACCATTCAATTCTATACTGATTTCTTTTTTCATGACAGAATGGGTTAGCATTGGAAGAGAAAAGTTGTAAAGAAGCAATCAATCTGTTAAGAGAAACCAAACATATTCTTCTGACCAATTTTTCATCAATGGGGAATGGAACGGTACATATATTCTTTGGCATAATGTATTAATTGTGTAAATTTTGATTTGAATTTATGAGATTGTATAATTTTTTTCCAGTCTGAAGAAGCCGAGCGGTATTGGTTTGCTTTTATTTCATACTCTGTCAAGAAATTGATCCAGAAAAATGAGGAGGTTGCAAAGGAAGATACTGTGCACACTGGGCTTAGCTTGTGTCGCATATTGAGAGCAGCCAAGCTCAAGTATTTTGCTGCCCTTGATGGCTAGCATGTTAGTTTTTACTTTGTATATTCTTATATTACTTGCTGTTATATTTATTTTCTATTCAACAGCATTGCAGATTTTTTCAAAGAACTTCCACAGTTTGTTGTTAAGGCTGGTCCAACTTTAAGTTATCTATATGGAACAGATTGGGAAAACAGGCTAGAGGTATTGACGAAGAGAATCATGATTGCAAAGTTTATGCTCTTGTTTGGTTTTCTTTTTTATTTAATCCTTGTATATTGGATTTCCATTAAGTCATTGTTTATGTTGGTATGTCTATACCAGGCTAAGGAGATGCATGCCAATGCTATTCACTTAAAGATTCTTAGCAAGTGAGTACCCCCACCTTTTGCATACATTTTTTGGATTGAAATCTAATGTGCTTGTGGTTATTCATTAATTTATGGTATTAGTGAAACTCTTTAACCATGTATTATTTCCTTTTTTAAATAATTAAGCAAACCTGATATGTGCATATTCTAGGAAGCATAGTTTTCCATGAATAGTTATGTAGACATCTGAGTCTCTGCATCTCTCCTTCCTTTCATAAGGTAGCAGTTGCGAATTTTTGGCGGTGAAGTTCACATTGCCTTATGTTTTCTGCTATTTTTGTTATTGTATATTAATTTGATAATATGTTGATAATAGATCATAAATGAAATGCATTTTCACAGAAAAAAACTACATGCAAATGTGTTTGTAATAGATTTAGTCAGTCTACCTAACGGGGTACATGCATTGTGAAGTGATAATAGTATTTAACGAAATATGAAATGCAGGGCAGCTTTAAATTTGTTTTTATCAAAGATGAGATGCTTTTATCTGGAACTACAATTATGCTGCGTTCAAATATTTCATTCTACTGTTACTTTTTAACTATCCAAGAAATCAGATTCATCTTTGTATCATTTAGTCATCTCTCAGACTTTGCAAGTCTATATGTTGTTCATTCCTGGTTTAGTTGTATATATAGCTGTTTTCTTTGATTATCATGTGTGCAGTGCAACATGCCTACATAAGCAGAGATGACAAGACATCTTATATGTTGATGGTGTTAGGTACTATAAACGAGTATTTGGAGAGTTCTTTGTGACAACTGACTCAAATGCTGAAAAGAACTCATCTGTTACTGTTCATGCATCTGAATACCATCGATTTGGATGGTTGCTCTTCTTGGCTCTTCGTGTCCATGCTTTCAGCCGCTTCAAAGACTTAGTGACATGCACCAATGGTTTAATATCAATCTTGGTAAGTTAGGTTCTCATAACACTTCTTTTTGTTAACATTCCTGTAAAAGAAATTCCTTTTGAACATAGTGGAGATAATTATTGAAACTTTTAACACTTGAATTTCTTAATAAAATATGTTTGACTATTTCAAGGATATCTTCCTATACATAGATTCAATTATTTCATTTCTTGTGAGTTGTAGTATTTTAATTGTTGCTTTAGTTGGGGAAATGAAGGAAACAGTTTCTTATTTTATGGTTGTATCTGCTACAGGCCATCTTAATTATTCATGTTCCTACTCGGTTTCGGAATTTCAACATTCATGACTCCTCACGCTTTGGTAATCCTTTGTTCTACCCCCTTTCTTGCATTTGGTTTAAATTATTCTTGTTATCTCTCTTGTGGGGCTCCACTTTTACATGCAATACTGCATGTGTGATCGTTCCTGTTCTGAAACATTCCATTTTTTGGTGATAGTCTTAAAAGTCGATTTGTTCTAATTGATAGGAAAATGAGGCTTTGAGAATTTAACTTGCAAATGACATATTATGATTTTCCGATGAGGCTCTGCTACCTTGTCAGAAATCTCAAGAACCATATAGTAAACAATTAGAAATACTGTTTGGGAAGAAATTACCTGCCCCTCTGCGGACCATTCTCATTAAATAGCCAATAGGACCTTTACAATAGAGAAATTTTGGATGTCAAAGATATTTACAGCGGTTCTAGAAGAGATTGTAACCTTAAAATTAAATAGTGATGAGAACCTAAAAGATGGATTTTTCTGTGTACAATTGTAATGTCTAAATAAATAATAATTTCATTAGCCTAAAGGACATCAGCAGTAATATATCATCAAATCTTCTTTCAGTTAAGAAAAATAACAAAGGTGTGGACCTCCTTGCTTCACTTTGCAACATATACAACACTACTGAAGATGAGTTGAGGAAAACAATGGAGAAAGCCAATAATATAATAGCAGATATATTGAAGAAGAAGCCCTGCTTGGCATCTGAATGCGAAACCGAAAACCTAGAGAATATCGATAAAGGTTCATTTTCCTTTAGCCATTAATTTTAATGCATCAGTAATTCTTGATGTCTTTAACTTATCCCTTTCTTTGTAGATGGTTTGACCTATTTTAAAGACCTGATGGAAGAATCGTCTTTACCTTCTAGTTTAAATTTATTAGAAAAAGATTATGATTACATGATTTGCAATAAGAGTGAACTGGACGAGAGGTTATTCATTAATGAGGATGATAGCCTATTAGCTTCGGGAAGCTTGTCTGGAGGTTCTGTTTCAGCAGGTGGTGTAAAGGTATGTTCAATTGAAAATTTGTCCTAAAATTTGTTTTATCATGTCTAAGATAACACCTTAAATAATATATTCTATTCAATAGAGGAAATTTGACTCACTGGCATCACCTGCTAAGACGATTACAAGTCCACTCTCACCTCACCGCTCTCCCTCGTCACATGCAAATGGCATCCCGGGTAGCGCAAACTCAAAGATGGCAGCTACGCCTGTAAGCACAGCAATGACTACAGCAAAGTGGCTTCGAACTGTCATTTCTCCACTTGCACCAAAACCCTCACCAGAGCTGGAACGGTTTTTGACATCATGTGATAGGGATGTTACAAGTGATGTAGTGCGCAGAGCACAGATTATATTGCAGGCTACATTTCCTAGTAGTCCACTTGGAGAACTATGTGTAACTGGAAGCCTGCAAAGTGCAAATCTCATGGACAATATCTGGGCAGAACAACGAAGATTGGAAGCACTGAAGTTATACTACAGGGTATTGGAATCCATGTGCAGAGCTGAAGCTCAAGTTTTTCATGCAACTAATTTGACCTCTCTTCTTACCAACGAGAGGTTTCATCGGTGTATGCTTGCATGTTCTGCAGAATTAGTCTTGGCAACACATAAGACTGTAACAATGTTATTCCCTGCAGTACTTGAGAGGACTGGAATTACAGCCTTCGATCTTAGCAAGGTGATTGAAAGTTTCATTAGACACGAAGAATCTCTGCCTAGAGAATTGAGGCGACATCTGAATTCATTGGAAGAACGACTTTTGGAGAGTATGGTATGGGAAAAGGGTTCTTCAATGTATAATTCTTTGGCAGTGGCCAGACCTGCCCTTTCTGCAGAGATAAATCGCCTAGGATTGTTAGCTGAACCAATGCCATCATTAGATGAAATTGCAATGCATATTAACTTCTCTTGTGGTGGGCTGCCACCAGTGCCCACCTTGCCTAAGCTTGAAAGTTCACCAAGTAATGGTTCTCTCCTTCTAGTTTGAACTTGAAGTCTTTGGGTCATGTTTTCTGAGTTTTCATATAATTCTTTGAGCTTACTGCATGCCTTTTAACTAAAGAGCCCATGATGAAAATGCACACTTTTCAACTCGAGTAACATCTGTCAATTAATCAATTTCAGATCAGAATGGGGATATCAGATCACCAAAGCGAAATGTGTTGATGGAAAGAAATTCTTTCACTTCACCAGTGAAAGACCGGCTTCTCCCCTTCAGCAACCTTAAATCAAAACTACCCCCACCTCCTTTGCAGTCAGCATTTTCCAGGTATAACAAGGATTTTCTGGCAGTAACTATTCATGTAACTTTTCTTTTGCTGTTTTCTTTTTGTGCCTTGTGTTGAATGTTTATTCAATGCAGCCCAACAAAGCCAAATCCAGGAGGTGGAGGGGAAACATGTGCAGAAACTGGGATTAACATCTTTTTCGGCAAGGTATTGATCATAACATTGATTTTCCGTTTTAACTAGGTTTCATTTGATAAAATATCTTTAACTTTTATTTTAGTGAATTATATGGAAACTACCTACTGTGTATATGTGCTGCTATGCGCTCTTTATTCAATGTGACAAGACATCTATGTGTTACTTCACAGCCCCAAGTTTTAATCATTGTGTTTCCAGAAACATGGTTGAGATATTTGTGTTTGATACTGAAAATTTACTTTGCCATTTGGAAATTAACTGTTACACCATTTTGATTTGATTATTTCATGCTGATGGAGCAGCTGTTCTGATTCACCTGTTTATATAAGATTTAGTGTTTTGTTTTTCAACTAAATCATTTTTAAGCATTTCAGCTTGTGTACACTTCCTTTGTTTACTAGATCATTAAGTTGGGTGCAGTCAGAATTAGTGGCATGGTTGAAAGACTACAACTATCTCAGCAGATAAGGGAGAATGTATACTGTCTTTTCCAGCGGATTCTAAATCAACGGACATCTCTCTTTTTCAACCGTCATATTGACCAAATCATCTTGTGTTGTTTTTATGGAGTTGCAAAGGTTTCTCTTTACATTTCGAAACTTTTGAGTGTAATGCGTTTTTCTATTGTTACCTTTTTCTCATTCTATTCTGTCTTGCAGATTTCACAACTGAACCTAACTTTTAGGGAAATTGTATACAACTACAGAAAGCAACCTCATTGCAAACCACAAGTTTTTCGCAGTGTATTTGTTGATTGGTCATTGGCACGCCGAAATGGGGTATGTAACCAATGGTTTAAATTCAATGCTTATGTTAAACTTTTATGAGAATTATGATCTCATTATTGAGCTGAATGAAAACAGAGAACAGGACAGGAGCATGTTGACATCATTACCTTTTACAATGAAATATTTATTCCCTCTGTAAAGCCACTGCTGGTTGAACTTGACCCTTCTGGAGCAACTACAAAGAGTGACCGAATACCTGAAGTCAATAATAAAAATGATGGTACTTTCTTATTGGTGAATTTACTTTTGAATGCTTATCTGGCTTGCATTACTATGTCAATCTTGTGATCCATTTTTTTACTTGTGCTCTCTTCTCTTTCCAGGCCATTTAGCTCAATGTCCAGGATCTCCTAAAATATCATCTTTCCCTAGCCTTCCCGATATGTCTCCAAAAAAAGTGTCTGCCACACACAATGTATATGTTTCTCCATTACGATCGTCCAAGGTAATAATTTCTTTGTCTGTATTTCTTCATCGGACTAAATGGTTTTCCCAGTTCACATTACTACTTAGTGCATTACAACCATCTAACACTATGCTGTGAAATTGAGCACTGTAGTGTTAAATTTGTTCTATTTTCACAGAAGGTATTTTGTAATTTGTAATTTAATACTCTACTAGATATAATAAACTCATTCATTAGAAAATAAAATCTTGGAGTACTTATCATATACTCATTTGTTATGTGCACAGATGGATGCTCTCATATCGCACAGCTCAAAAAGCTATTATGCATGTGTTGGGGAGAGCACTCATGCTTATCAGAGCCCTTCAAAAGACCTGACTGCCATCAATAACCGTTTGAACGGGTATGCTTTTCCCCATGACTTGACCTTTTGAAACTTATTTACTCTTTTTGTTCCTTTTTATCTGTCTATTAAGGTTCTTATGTTAAAAGAAAGAAATACAATGGATTTTCTTGATACCAATCAAATATTTTTGAGGTTTTATGTTTTACCCTTTTCATTTCTACTTCACAATAAATACAAAAATGTAAATTAACTAAATATTAGGTTGAAGGGTAATTAATGATATTTTAAACTTCGAAGATGACAGATAAATAAAAGAAACAATTTTTTTTTTTTAATTTGACACTTGTGTTTGATTCTTTGTATTAGCAACAGGAAGGTGAGAGGAACTCTGAATTTTGATGACGTTGATGTGGGCTTGGTTAGTGATTCCATGGTTGCAAACAGCCTCTATCTGCAGAATGGAAGTTGTGCATCATCATCAGGTGCACCAGTGAAATCAGAGCAACCTGACTCTTAAAGTTTAATGTTGTGTATATTCTGCTTGTCTCCTCTCTCGAGTCCATATTAGGTGTTTATGAGAAGGGGGTATTGAATGAGCGGTGAGATTGTTGAATGCAGCCACTGCCCTCTTGTACTGTTGTGTATGTTAGGAATTAAATGCAGAATGTAGGTCTGATTATCCAATCAATAATATTTTCATTTCCCTAGTTCAACGTGGTTTTAATTTTCAAAATTGTTTTGACTGTTTTTCAACATGAAATTATTGAGCCACAGGTCAAGCTTATTTACAATCCTTTTTTTAATGAGACAGACCTTGAACACTATCAATCTGCATTTTTCAGAATGTAAAATTTTCATTGGGAATCTGTAAGATGTGATATATATATATATATATGTTTTCTTTAATATTATTTTTACGTTTGAAAAATCCTTGATGAGTTTGGAATGCATTTTTTTATAATATAGTTTATACAGTTGAAAAGGTTTTTTATCATACATAAAAAAAATCATTGTCCTTCATATTAAAAGAAAATCATTCTTCAAAATTATTAAAGTATAATTACAATTTTAAATAATAAAGCCGAGGGATTAAAATAGTTTTAATAATGTTTATCTTCTTTAAATTTGGTATTTATGAATAATATAAAGTATTTTAAAAATTGGGAGACTAAAATGTATTTTATTTTAATATAAGAGTTGAATCTTAAATTATTCTAAAAAGTAATAACAGAATTAAAAAAATATATTTTTAATGAATTAAAATAAGGTTATTATATTTTTTATTTTTTATTCTGTATTACTTTTAGAATGATATTTTTATTAAAGAGTTGAATCTTAAATTATTCTAAAAAGTAATAACAGAGTTAAAAAAATATATTTTTAATGAATTAAAATAAGGTTATTATATTTTTTATTTTTTATTCTGTATTACTTTTAAAATGATATTTTTATTAAAAAATGGTTATACATTTATAATTTATTTTACATACATTAATTTAGATAAAATAGTATTGAATCATTATAATATAGTTTTTTAATATATCATAAAGAATAACTTACTCTATGGATAAAAAACAAGAAATATACTTTATACTTTCAGAGTTGTTAATGATAATAAATTAAAATTACATGTAATATAAAGTATAATATTATTCTTCTCTATATTTATCATAGTAAAACTGGAAACTAACATAAAATGATTATCTTAAATATATCTAAAGTCCACGTAAACATTATTTTATCTTGTTTTCGTTTCTCTAAATTCTTTTATCTTTAAATCTTTAACTTTTTATAGGTATTTTTTTCGGACCTTATTATTAATATTATTCTTAATTATTAACTATAGTTAAGTTGGTATGAATATTATAAAATATTAATTAAAATAATTAGATTATTATTTAGTAAATAATTCAATTAAGTAATACATTTCATAAATAAGATAATAGTTGATATTTTTTTAAATATATTATGAATAATTTGTTTATATTAATTTTTAAAATAATAATTACTTTCTTGTTTACAAAATATTATTAATCATTACATCTAATTTTGATTAAAGAATTTTATATATTGTAAATACCATTCCTTTATGGTATTTTTAAAATGTACAAAGAAGAACGTAAAGATTAACATGCTTTATATTATATAATTTGAGTATATATTATAATTATTATTTCTAAAAATATATTATAGTTTACATATTTTGTTGATAAAATCTTGACAATACATTAGTAAATAAATATTTTGTAATCATTTTGATAAAATAAGTGAATTGTGATTAATTTTGCTAAATATACAAGGTTTAAATTTATAATTGAATGATGATAAAAAGAATTTAACGTTTAATTATCTTATTTATATAAAAAAATAAAAATCTAATTAATTAAATTAAATATCTAATAAATATAATTATCTTAATTTATTTATTTTTTACCTTAATGATATTAATTAGTATTCTCATTTTTAAATTCAAACTAATTATAGTTAATAATAACTTAAAACTTAACTGTTAAAAAATATTGTATATTTAGAGATAAGAAATATATATTAGATTTTTCTGACGTTAATGTATCTTAATTTTATGGTTTATTTCTTTCATCAAGAAGATAATTTATAATTATAATATAATTAATAATATTATGATAGTAATTAGATAATTTTGATTACCTGTTATGCAGGTACAAAGCCCGCGCCAAAGTGACATTAGGTATTTGTGTATATCCTATTTTCCACGAAGGTTACATCTTTAAATCTCTTCTTCTTCCGCCGCTCACACACTCCATTCACCTTGAGCACAGCTTCCTCAGTGCGGCGCGAAGTAACCGCTTTCCGGCAAGACCATACGGAACTCCGAGAGCAGCCAAGATGGTGGTTAAACCAGGTTCGGTACCGGACTTCGAGGCGCTGCGAGAGCTTTTCAAGCATCACATTGAGTCCTTCGATTACATGGTTGACGCTGGATTGGAAACCATGCTCCGCCACATCAAACCCGTTGAAGTTTTGGACGATTTTACTTCCACAAAGCTTAGAAATATCCTTTTTCTTTGTTTATGAAAAACTCGATTGATTTGCTCCTCAACTTGCGTGTTTAGCTTTTGGTGTTTGTTTTCAGAACTGTTTTATTTTCTTTTTTTCATTTTTCTACTTGGGATTGCTATTGTTAAGTTGGAATGGTGATTATTGTTAAAAATGAACTGAACTTCTCTATAAACTAAAATAAAATTATGTTCTTAGTTATTATTAAAGTTACATCAGAGCCTCTATACCCTTTTCTTGAAAATGCTTTAAGAGTAGTTTATTCAAACAGGATTTTTACTAGGTTGAGTGATTTGAGTTCTCTTAACTTGGTTCTTACTTTGGTTGGATAATCCGGTGCTGTATCCACCCCAGAAAGAGCGAATTTCGAGGATGACGCGGGAGGCTTTACTTCCGTTTGAAGCAAGTTTCAATCATTTTATACTTTATATTGTGCATAGTTTTATTGTTGTTGCTTCTATTTTTTAATTTAGTGCTTGATTCGTTTTTTTTTTTTTTTTTTTGTGTGTGAGCAGTGTAGACAGGCAAAGATTTCATATGCAGGAAAGATGACTATAGATGTTTGCTTTCAATATAATGATGGGCCTATTATTAGAGAAAATATCAATTTTGGCCAGTTTCCCATAATGCTACAGGTTTGTTTACTTTTCATAAATTATGAAATGATAGGTTTTTACATGGTTTTGGTAGAACTAGTTGCCGAGACAAACAAGTACACTATATATTTGTCTTTTTTGTGGTCCTTCTTTAAGAAAGGATTTTTATAAATAAATAAATAAAGATACAAAAGTACTGTTCCTTTAAAAACTTTAAATATTTGCCCACAAAGTTGATAGAGCAGCACAAGTTTCCCTCTTCAACAAAGCTTTAAACTTGTTATTTTTTATTTACACTCCAGTATTCTAAATACTTTGTAATATTAGCATTTTACCCTTTAAAAACACTTGAGTGTGTTTGAATTGAATATTACATTATGTATTCCATGCTTTTATAAGCTAACAAGTTGTTTCTTATTAAGAAACCCACTATGTTTCTACATAACATCTTGCATATTTTCTTACTTGTGCACGTGTATGTAACAATTTATTGTTTTGAGTGCTCCTGTGCTCTGAACCTTGACATTACTGCTAAAATATTAGCTTTTAGTTATCTAAGTCCATAGTTGTGTTGAATATTTATCTCTCATCTGAACTGGTGCAGTCAAAGTTATGCAACTTGAGAGGTGCTGATCCCCAAAAACTTGTGTCTTTCAAGGAAGAAGCATCAGAAATGGGTGGGTAAGTAGTTAAATCCTCTCTGTGTAACCTAATACATAATATTACAATAAAAAATGAACTTCTGAGTCATAGAAGCTCTTATACACGCAATGCTTCATTTTTGAAATATAAATTATGTTCCTGCATTTAGGATAGTTGGTCCTTCATGTAGTATAAGAGCTTCTATGACTTAGAAGTTCATTGAAATTATAATATTATGTTGATGGTGTGGCCTGCTTTTTTTCCCCTTTTTTACCTTAGGCTTTCTAAGCTTCTGATTTACGAGAGCAAAAGCTAATTAAAAATTCAATTGTTGTACAAGCACATTTTTGTTCTTCACAACATAAACTTTTTATGAAAATATTTTTAATGAATAGCAATGGATTAGATATTGCTTTAGACTGCAGTCAGTAAATCAATACCAACTCATCACAGCTCTTCTGTTGTGAAGCTTGATTTAAGAAATTACTTTGTTTATAAGCATTATTCATTTTTCTTGTTCCATTGCATTCCTTAATTTATTTCAAGTTTGTTTGCTGATAATTGGTTTATCAAACACCTTTCTTTTCAGTTACTTCATCTTGAATGGCCTTGAGAGAGTTATCAGACTGTTAATTTTGCCAAAACGGAATTATGTAAGCAATTTTTTGCCTTATGTGCTTACGTGACATTGAGTACACCGGAGACGTTGTATACCTATTTTCTGCATAAGGCTAATCATGGATTTCTCAACCCCTTGTCATGGTTTATTAATACTTTCCTGGTTCCTTAAATATTGTAGCCAATGAGTATGGTGCGGAATTCATTTAGTGACCGGCGGGAAGGATATACAGATAAAGCAGTTGTAATAAGGTTTGTAATCAGAAAAACTTGCTTCTCATTCTAATATTTTCTTTCTTGCATGTGAATCAAGAGAATAATTATGTTGTGTGGGTTTTATAAAAAGTAGTTTTGTACAACTTTTCTGATAAATAGTTTTGTATGAATTTAATAAGCAATTAATCTGTATATCCCAAAACGAGGTTAATGTCCCTGAAAAGTTAATGATTTGCTCTATTTTCCTTGTTCCTCTTCTTTCTTTCAATGGGTTGCTTTTCTTTTTAAAAAGTTGGTCAAATTGAAATTTAAGACATGCCAATCCCAGTTGAAATATTTCCAATTTAGTATGATTAACCTAAGAGTGGTTAACATCTTTCGAAGATACTGATTATGTTTGATTAGCCGATGCCATTCTTTAGTTTTGGTTAACTCGTCCTAAATTGGGAATATGTTCAGCCATATATTCTAATTGTGTTTCCTTCAGAAAAAAATTGCTTTCTATAATTATATAATATTTATATCTAATTCCTGTTATTTGGTCTGCATGCAATTAGATGCCCAATGCATGTACTGCTATTTTAATTTTCTCAATGCATGGAATTTTATCCTGTTTATCATGTTATTCGGAATTTGGCCATTTTATTTTTGCCAAAAGTGAGATGTGCTTATTTCTTTAGTGGTCAACCCATTGTTTAATACTTTAGTATGATTTATTTTAAGGTTTGATATTTGAATGGTTAGGTGTGTAAGAGCTGATCAGTCCTCATTATCAATAAGATTGTATTACCTTCGTAATGGGAGCGCAAGACTTGGTTTCTGGTAAGCAGGCTTATGTTGATTTGGAAGACCTAGTCCAAACTATATTTCGTACTCTTGTTGTGCAATCCTAAAAGAAGTTCCCACGAATTCAGATGTAAGTAGACATATCTCATAGTGAGAGTCATTTTTCAGGTTAAGAGGAAGGGAGTACTTACTTCCTGTGGGCATTGTTTTAAAGGTAACAATTGTTGACTCTATTAATTTACAATAAAATTCTCTTCTAACTTTTTTTCTGTGAGTTGTCTTATGAAGGATTCCATTATTTATCTTAATTTCCCCCCCTTATTTGTTTTCTGAAGATTTATTTATGGTCCTAATGGTCATTTGTGACAGGCCCTCATCGACACAACTGATCGTGAAATTTATGTAAATTTGACAAGCTGCTATAATGAGAAATATGAAAAGGGAAAGGGTGCTGTCGGAACCCAGCTTGTTGGTGAAAGGGCAAAAATAATCTTAGATGAACTTCGAGATTTAGCTCTATTTACCCGTCTTCAATGTCTAGAATATATTGGTAGTCAATATGGCACTCTTTAATCCTTTTCCGAACAATTTGTATATTTATGTACTAATTCATCATTTTAAATTCAGGAGAGCACTTCCAACCTATTATAACTGAACATAAGAAAGACAGTTATCCTATTGTAAGTCTTTATGCTTTCATTATTATATGTTAATGGTAGATTATACTTCCCTCAAGAAAAGTGCCAAAATTTAACTGCCCTCTATTTTGAAATATTATATTCCTCTCCTTGGAGAGATTAATGTGTGCTGCACTTTAGTCTAATTTGACATAAAAAGTCTATGTTATATATTAAAGGTTACGAAAAATGCTTAAATTTAATTGCCTTCTCTACTTTGAAATTTTACACTCATCCATGGAGAGATTAATATGTGCTACACTTTAGTCTAACTTTACAAGAACAAGCACCTGATATTCGTTAAAAAGAATTAGGAATTTCTCCCTAAGATACAGTGTCTAACTTACAAAACTTCTAGGAGTTGCATCTCCCAATGCCCAAAAGGCCCCAATTATGTCATAAATGGCAAGATGACTTTCTCCATCTCTCTTATTTATAGGGGACGTGCCTTATTTCCTCCACCAATGTTTATCTATAATAATAGCGGAGCCTCTTGCAACTAATTCTATTTCCTCTTTGCAACTCTCAGTTCATTGGTAGTGTGTTCAAGTCTTATGATTGAGTTTGAGTATTTTGATGCCGAAATGAAAATTGTTTGATGTCCTAAGCCAACAATAGGGGATTATTCAAAAAACATTTCATCTTCTGAAGTTCTCAAAGCCTTTAGGCTGGTGTTCAAATTAGTTGTAGGTGACACTAGGAGTCAGAGGTACTTAGAGGAAGGAAACTTGCCTCTTGTAGGCTTGTTCATAGTTGCTCACTACTACTATGAGGTTTGATACGATTTACATTAATATTGTATAACATATTTTATCTCCGAATGGAGGGCCATGTAATCTAAGGATGCTAACACATTGTATGAAGGTAGATAGGGAGGAAGGAAATGGAAAAGAGGGAGATAGGACAGAAATAAAAATTTTAATTTTTTGTTTGAGTTTCCCCAATTTGGGTTGAAAGCAATCTCACATTTAATTTTATAAAATAAAATTAAGAAATTTATGGAGTTAAGGCCTATGTCTGTCCAATGATTTTAGGAATTTTTTTTTCTAGGTGGCTGAAGCTGTTTTGAAGGATTGCATATTAGTTCATCTGGATAACAATTTCGACAAATTCAATCTTCTCATGTTAGTCACTTCTCTTCCTTTATGTGATGATTTTGAATTAGAACTAGTCAGATTAAGTTGTTTCCTATGAACTAGAAATATTTTGGGTGAAGGATTTATGTATTGTTTTCTCACATTTTGGGTTTTTTTGTTTCCTTTTTCCCCTGCTTTAGCTTCATGTTACAGAAACTTTTCTCGCTTATAGATCAGACATCAGTTCCAGACAACCCTGATTCCTTGCAAAATCATGAGGTTTTACTCCCTGGCCACCTGATAACACTTTATCTCAAGGTATAAATGTTTTTCATTTAGTGACCTAATGGCTTATGCTTACACCTTATATTTGGTCCCTTTTGGCTTTTGGAATTTGACTCTGAATTCAAGCTTAGAATTTCTGAAATTCCTATTCAGTTATGCCTTTTGGAATTGGTCAAATTCCAAATATTAAGCCAATTATAATTCTTAACCCGGACCCTACAGATGATGTATAAGGGGAATTGTACTCTCTTGTTGACACACTTGTTCCGATATAACTTAGAAGTTCACATTCATTTCAGCGTTTAGTTCTATTACTTTACCCTATGCTCTCGGTCAAGTTTCTTTCCATCACTTAATACTGATTTCTTGCATTTACATGCTATTGATCCTAGGAAAAACTAGAAGATTGGCTGCAAAAAGGGACAAGGCTTCTTATGGATGAGATTGAAAAGAAAAGCACGAAATTTAATTTCAGTGACAGTATGTAGATATTTGTTGGTTCTTTCAACCTGTTCTTTCCTGGATTCTTGTTTCAACCTGTTGTTTCGTGGTTATTGTTTTGTTCTATCTGCTTAAGTTTTTATTTGTGCTTAATTTCTGTAGCAGTTTACTGCATCTGGAATGATCTTGAGATTGTAATTAATTTAGAGATTATTCCTTATACTTTTTATTGCAGTCTGTAATGTAATATGACTTAAGTTGATGATTTTTTAATCAGTTATAATTTGAATTGTTTGCATTTCTGGTATTGCAGTTGTTCAAGTTAAGAAAGTCATGGATAAAAATTCATCAAAGCAAGTCAGTACAGCAGTTGAAAATATGCTGAAAACTGGAAGATTGGTTACACAATCAGGTCTAGATCTGCAGCAGGTATTGACTTGCCAGTTTTTAGATAAAATATGCCACTGCTAATAACTTTGTATTTGCCGCCTTCCAATTATTAATTTCATATTTTTATTTTCTTTCAATTTTTTTCATTTCCTACTATTTTATAATAAACTCAAACTCCTAATATAGATCGACCCAAATTGGTTCGGCTAGATACACACAAGGGAAATCCATACCAATTGAAATTGATCGGTCCAGATCAAAATATGTCTTGAACTTGATCCGAACCAGTCCAAGGGCAAACATATCATTAGATATTTTTTTGTGAATTCATTTACTTGTCAATACAATTACCCTTAGCTAACTTGTCGATCCAATTGCATTTATCTAACTTGTCGATCCAATTACATTTATCTAACTTGTCGATCCATGTTTTAACACCTCAAGACTCACATTCTAATTGGATACTTCAAACTTTGATGTGGTGCTATCTGCTTGTAACAGTTTTTAGAAGTTATATATTGGTATGGGGAGTCAGCTGATTTATGCTTTGATAGTTATAATTTGTCACATTGGTTATATTAGTCATAAACATTAATGTAGTGTGTAATTTGGTGGTAACTGTAAAAAGGTTATATTTTAAGTAACTTCCTTTGACTATAGGTCATTTGAAAAAAAAAAAAACCTATGGTTCAAATTTAGCAAATCGACTCTTGTACCAAATCATGCAATGTATTGCAAATTTAGCCCCTTCTGATGGTGTCTGCAGGAAGACTCTCTTCAGTGTCAATACATGCTATTGTCTAGTTAAAAGAGCTGGGTTATTGAGTTTTAAATCAGAAAGCTTTCTGAAAATACCTATAGTTAACAGATGTTTCATGCATTTTAGCCATACTAAATTGAAATTGAGTAAACTATATCAATGAAACTTAATGTTAATTATAGCAAGACTACTTTCTTAAGTGCATTAAACATCTTGTTTTGTTAGCTTGTTCCCCTGCTTGCTATTCATAGCCTATTTTTTGCATAATCAGAGGGCAGGTTATACAGTGCAGGCTGAAAGGCTAAACTTTTTACGATTTATATCACATTTCCGTGCTGTTCATCGAGGGGCCTCATTTGCTGGTCTTCGTACAACAACTGTTCGAAAGCTATTACCTGAGTTAGTACTTTTTACGTAATCAACAGATCATGATTTTATGGTAATATATATGAATTTATGTAACTTTCTATATGTTCATATAAATAGATCTTGGGGCTTTCTTTGCCCTGTGCACACACCTGATGGAGAGCCCTGTGGATTGTTGAATCATATGACTTGTACTAGTAGTAAGTTAATACTCTCATTGTCCTCTTTTTTCTGATTCACTTATCTCCCTTTGTTTTTTATTTTTCTAAAATACAAGTCATTTTGCAACTAATTATGTAGTGTACTTGTTAGTGACTTCCACACTGTGAGATTGTGCATTGATCTACCTTTTACACATTATTAATTAGTAATATAATGAGATTGTGAATTTCCCTTTGTCAATCTGTAATTGCATCATGAAACAGTGAAACATGTTCCCTAAATTAGATTTTTAGAGATATGCATGTTAGTTTTCAATTTATTTTAGGAAAAATTATAAAACAATACTTGGTTATTAAAATTCCTATTCTGTAATTGTACCCTCCCAGTCATGTGCTTACTTATCTTTATTCCATGTATATCCTCAGGTCTTGATTTCGATCTGCATGATTTTGTTTTATTCTAATCCCATGTATAGTCTTCATTTTTCATGTGATTCTGATCTCAACAGAAATGTGAATCACATCATGATTTTGATATCACATACCTTTTGCGTCCCAATTGTGTGATGTCAATTACCATCTTTTATGCAGCTATTTAATAATGTTAACATCAGCAACTTTATATTGTCTAAATATTTTTAATTGTTATTTTTTGTGCACCTAGCTATCTAATTTTTTGTAGTAAAGTATTGCAAACCTAGATATTAAATTTTAAATAATTGATTAATATCAATACAATGAAGGCTTAAATATGTTTTTAATCCCTGTAAAATGATTGTGTTTTGATTTGTTGCCATATTTTCTTTTGCTTTTAGTCCCTCTAAAATTGGAAATTATTGTTTTTCTTTCTTATAAAATGTATGAATATTTGTTGTAAGCTCTGTAAAAAAAGATTCTGCTTTTATCCTTCCAAGATTGATAAATAACATATATTTTGTATATCCTAAAAGTTTTTTTAAGGTGTTACTTGCTGTCATTATATCATAATATTAGTAAACACCACTTGGAATGATTAACAAGCATTTAACGAGTATCATGTAATATTAGTGATAAAAATTTAACGATTTTCAATTTTAGAGGGACTAAAAACAAAGAAAAAACAAAATCAAAACAGATCATTTTAACCGTATAATAAATTACGATACAAAAGACTGCTACATAAAAAATATATATGTGGAATGGACAACAACACCCATTTTGTTAATTACACTTGCAAAATCAATTTTGATTGCACATTTTCAAATGGCCTTGTCTCAATCAATTGTTCAGCATTCTTTTCCAAACTAAACTTATGTTATTAGAAACCCACGATCACTTATAATCAATTCTATTAAATCACATTAATTTAAAACCAGTGCTACAAATACATTTCCAACATGCACTTAGTATGAACTATGAGGGTATATGAATTTGTTGTTGAGGATGTTGGTAGTTCCCATCAATGATGTAAAATTATGACTAGGGAAAACTAAGCTGATTTAATTGCAATTCACAATAATATGGACATTACCCTGTGGAGTAGGATAATGGATTGCATCAAATGAAAACTAATTGGAGGAACAGTGACAAAATGGATGTCAATTAGTAATTATATTTTCAAATATAATGTATTGCATTGCTTATGGGTGAGTGAGTCCAAATCAACAGTATGTCTAATGAGTCAGCTGTTCGACTACCTTGGTTGGAACTTTTGGTTTAAGCCTGAAACACTTAAAGTTGTCCAGCAGACTGGTGTAATTAAACTCCTCCATCTGATGTGCATAGCCTCAATATTTACTTTTTCTAGCTGTCAAACTTGAACGCTACTCTTAATTGATTTGTGTCATAAAATATTTAAATTTATTCACAATCCTTATTAGTGGCATTTATTTATTAGCTAAAAGATTCATTGTTCATTAATCTACAATCCAATCAACTAGAAGATTTGTTGTTCATTAGTCCACAATCCAATCATGGTAGTTAACTTTTTATTTTTTCACTTATCTATTTCAGGGATAACATCATTCTTTGATTCTCAAGGAAACATTAAAGATTATTTTAAAATAAAAATGTCCATCCTAAATATTTTATTGGAGGTTGGGATGACACCATCATTGCCAAAGATATTTCTTCCTGGTCCACCAGAAGCTCTTACTGTTCTCTTAGATGGTTGTGTTGTTGGTTGTATAGCTTCTAGTGAAGTGGAGAAGGTTGTGGCTCACATACGAGAATTGAAAGTCTCATCTGCTGCTGTGGTTCGTTTTTTGTCAAAATGTTCTTGTTTCCTTCGTAAAATATTTAATTGGTATTGACTTTAATTTGATGACTTGGAACAGATTCCTGGTGACATGGAAGTGGGATATGTTCCCTTGAGCATGGGGGGAGCCTATCCTGGTCTATACCTGTTCACATCCCCTTCAAGATTTGTTCGGCCAGTAAAAAATATATCAATTCCTTCCAATGGAAGTGAAAACATTGAACTCATTGGGCCATTTGAGCAGGTCGTTATAAAATTTCTTTTATATGTTGTATGATTGTTTGGAGCTATTCTAAGAAAACATCTTCACAAATGAGTTCTTTCAACTGAGGATATGCCAAAGTTTATGTGTTTTGCTTGCTTTTTATTAGGTTTTTATGGAAATTAGATGTCCCGATGGTGGTGATGGTGGAAGAAAAAGCTCATTTCCTGCAACTCATGAAGAAATCCATCCGACAGGAATGCTTAGTGTAGTTGCGAATCTCACACCTTGGTCAGATCATAATCAGAGTCCACGAAATATGTACCAGTGCCAGGTTCTATAGTCTTTTGTAGTTGTCTTTTTATCCAAATCTATTTTAGATACAAAATTTTCACTCTGTATTATGATGCAGATGGCAAAGCAAACAATGGCATTCTCTTCACAAACTATTCAACATCGTGCAGATCAAAAGTTGTATCATATTCAGGTTTGTTCAAATCAGCATGATGAAAGTTACAGATACCCAATGCAAATAAAACTTTGTACATTTGAAACCAAATAAATATGCGAACTTAAGTAATTGGTCTTGTAATAAATTATATCCCTTGCATGTGATATATAATTATATCACTTTCATGTGTGTGATATATAATTACTTATACCCAATCATAACAACAGGCCTTCAAATTATATCCCCTGCATATGATATATCATTATTTATACTTCATTCTCGTTGGATTGTTGTAACTAAAACTTTTTGGGGCATTTTCAGACTCCTCAGACTCCCATTGTACGGACAAGTTCATATACTAAATACAACATTGATGAATTCCCAACAGGCACAAATGCTATAGTTGCAGTTCTGGCTTATACAGGGTGAGTTCTTAATACAAACCAACTGTATTTTAACATTCCTGTGCTATTTACAAATATCTTTTGTTAACTAATCACAGATATGATATGGAGGATGCCATGATTCTAAATAAGTCTTCAGTGGAACGTGGAATGTTTCATGGACAAATATATCAGGTTAGGTACCTAACATGTCTGTTATGCTTTCTTTATAAGAATGCATTATAATTAATTTCCCATGTTACTTCATATTGAGATACACCATGACTTTTTTATCTTTTAGCAGTTTAATCACAAACTTCATTGTTGCTCCTTGTTTTCCTATATGATATATAGATATACAATAAACCTTAACTAATCGTATGTACAATGAACCTGGACGGCAAAACTGAAATAGATTATTTTACATATTCAACAAAGTTTTTATCTTGGTCTTCCTTTTTACAATTTTCTGATGTTCTAATGTTTTCTGCTTATATTGACTTTTCTTTTTGTTAATTTGTGTTGCTGCAAATTCTGTTACCAAACATTTTTTATGACTGTTTTGGCAGACAGAAACTATTGACTTAACTGAGCAAAGAGGAAGGTCAGACCGATCTTCGAGAATATTCAGAAAAAGTAATGTAGAGAAATCAGCTCATCCTTCTATTGATTCAGATGGACTTCCACATGTTGGTCAGGTAGTATGCCTTTTCCCGTCCTTCTCTCTTCCTTTTACTTCAATTTTGTCATGAAAAAAGCTTAATGCATGACTTTCAGATGATACAACCGGATGAACCCTATTGTAGTATTTATAATGAAGTGACAAATTCCATGCACACCTTCAAAAGAAAAGGTTCTGAAGCTGTTTATGTTGATTATGTTGCTGTTGATGTCAAAAACAAGAAGAACCTTCAGAAGGTATTCAAGAAAGTTCATTATAATTTCTCTTTATTTAGTGAACTTCTGCTTTTGTTATAAAAAAAACAGTATAGGTTGCTTGTACCTGTTTTCCCAGATTAACCTTGTCAATGTTTGAACATTTTTATTTACTTCATTTGACCTGTGGTACTCCATTCATGTTTTCTTAGTTCTTTTCCATTTTTATATGCAAGGAACTGAGAGCTGTATGGTGCTGATTACCCTCTTTTTTCTACTTTCCATCGGCCATTTGTTAATATATTTGAAGGATGATATTTAGCTTTCTCTTGTCTGCATTTTTCCTCTCTTTAATAAGATTTTATCTTTTTATAATCCATAAGACGATAATTGTATATCTAAATTTGTTTATTTGTCACAACAGAATATTTAATGTGCAGTTTAAGTTTATAATTTTCATTCATTCCTGATTAATTTTTTTGCCAATTGGTTTATGTTGGAACCTTAACATGGTATCAGAGCTAAAACCTAACTTTTTTTCGGTTATTGTCTTGGGCTAAAAAGTTGCCCGTTCGTTGTGGGTCAAAAGTACCCTTTGCCTGGTCCAGCAGGATTTGTTGGAGGGGGTGTATTGGAAATCTCATATCGCCTACCTCATGTCAGTACAATTTAAATACCTGTTAGACTACTTTACATATTACCAATTGGTTTTATGTTGGAACCTTAACATACTATATAATCCTGAATTTGTAATCTGAATGTTCTAAGAGTTATCCGTATTAGCAATGGAAACATAAATTCAAGCTAGATAACCTTATTATATTCAGTGTAGTTTGATTTGATTAGTCAGTTGATCTATTTTTTACTAATGTTGTAGTTCTTTGTTAGATTATTCACTTTCATCTTTACACTTGTAATTATTGGAGCAGGTTAACATACGCTTTCGACATCCTCGGAACCCTGTTATTGGGGATAAATTTAGCAGTAGACATGGACAGAAAGGCGTTTGCTCTCAGTTGTGGCCAGATGTTGATATGCCATTTTCTGGAACTACTGGGATGCGCCCAGATCTCATTATCAATCCTCATGCATTTCCTTCCAGGATGACAATTGCAATGCTTTTGGAATCAGTTGCTGCTAAGGTAATGCAAGCGAAAAATGTTTGAAAACTATCATAGACAACAAGAAAAGCCTTATGAGTTAGGAATATCTTATAAATTATCAAATTTTTTCATTTGAAGTAGTTTATGTCATAGTAGTCAATAGTGGGCTATAGTGAAGTGGAGTGCCCCTGGACTTCTATCAGATTCTAATAGTGGAGTAGGTTTCAATAGTGGTCGAAGTACTGGTTTTTCTCAGGCCATAGTAGCATTCAACAACTAATTTTACCCCTGGTGCTCCATAGTTACTTCTGTTTTGATCTCTGTTTCTTCACAGTTTATAAGACTCTTTTTTCATCTGCTTTTGTTCTTTCTTCATCCTTTAGACTTCCCTGTTCACATTCTGCTAATTATTTTCTAATTTGTTGTGTTTCTTTTCTATTCATTTTACCATCATCTTTCTTTTTTTTGACTTCATTATTATGTTCTTATTGCACCTAGATGAATGGTGGTGTTTTATTAATTTCTTTCACTTTTGTTACTTTTTTTTTTTTTTTGTATTTATACATGTAGTATATACTATTTACTCTGTATTGAAACATTTAAAAAATAGTGGTCACCTTTCTATACAGCTAGAGAAACTTCAGTGTTGATTGGTACCCACCACTATTCAAAATTCATGCCTATGGTTGGTGGAAGACAAAGATATCTAGTTCCCTTAATTATTTTTCTTAGGATCATTGTTTAGGTTTGTCTTCGCTTTCTACCAATTATGTTAGTAACTTGAAGTACCATATACAAAAATGGTTGCTGTATTAGTAGTGGTCACGAATCATGTCAGATACTTCTATTCTAACACCTACACCTTTTCAGGTTTCAAATTTTTATCAAAATTTTGTACCTATACTGACTTAGATAAATTATAGTATTTTATTGTGTCTACCCTAATACTGACTTAGAAAACTTGATCTCTCTATTCAAATTAATATTTGTACTTTTATGTTAATATTATATCAATTTCTTAGATTGTATCTTAGCTGTGCTGTATCAGTCTCACGTCTGAAGGCGTGGATGATTAATGATAATTTCTTCTTGCAGGGAGGTTGCTTACGTGGAGAATTTGTAGATGCAACACCATTTCGAAGTTCAGTGAAGAAAGATAGTGAGGGGAATGATTCAAAATCAGGTTCACTTGTTGATGATCTTGGTCTTCTGCTAAGAGAAAAGGGATTTAATTATCACGGTTTGGAGGTTCTATACAGTGGTGTTTATGGAACAGAACTAACATGTGAGATATTTATTGGGCCTGTTTATTATCAGCGGCTGCGGCACATGGTTTCAGACAAATTTCAGGTGAACAAATTCACTGTTTTGACTTCCTATAAAATCATCAGCAAAATACTTCTCCATATTTTATGTGTTAGCACATTAAAATGTCAGGCTTTCTATCTTTAGATAATGCCTTTGAATTGTGCTTTTTGCTGACAACAACTTCAGAGAGATTTCAATAAATATTAGTTTCAATCTTGAATCTTGTTGACGAGTAGATTGCTCGGCACTTATGTTCATGTTTTCCCCCTTAGTTTCAATAAAGGGTTAAGTTCCTACTGCCCCAAACTAAACAATATTAACAAATACTGTTTAATACCAAGTGCTTTTTCCTTGTTACAGGTTCGATCTACTGGCACAGTTGATCAGGTCACCCGGCAGCCAATAAAAGGACGGAAGCGTGGTGGGGGAATTCGATTTGGTGAAATGGAACGTGACTCTCTGCTTGCACACGGCGCTGCATATCTTCTGCATGATAGGTTGCACACCTGTTCTGATTATCACATTGCTGATGTATGTTCTCTTTGTGGAAGCATGCTTACAACAACAGTCGTCCAGCCTCAAAAGCGGCCAGTGCGTCAGATTGGCGGTCTACCCCCTGGAAGAGCTGTGAAAAAGGTCGCTTGTCATGCTTGCCAGACGAGTAAAGGCATGGAGACAGTCGCCATGCCCTATGTATTTAGATATTTGGCTGCAGAGTTAGCAGCAATGAACATAAAAATGACTCTAAAGCTCAGTGACGGAGCTGAAGCTGGAGCCTGACATGTTTAGAGTATAGTATGGTCTCAGTTGCTCTGATGGCTCATGCATAAACTGATTGCAGCAACATGAATCTTCAATGGAGCTCAGATGCTTGCCCACTTCATGGGGAGTTAAATTTTTTCCAGATGCTCTTAACAGATCCGGATAGTTGCGCAAGGATTGAAGTGTTCATCTTGTCAATTGTAACGTGGAATTTCTTCGAAGGATTCAGATGGTGGGAGGACATGGGTAGATTTATAATATTGTAAATTGTATCATTTTTACCCTTGAGTTGTGGTCTTAATTATTGCTTGAGGACAGATACAATTTTCTATTATTTTTTGCATATTAAAAGTAAATTTATTCAATTTTTAGTTTAATTTTGATATACTTTCAGTTTGAAGATTTATTTATATAGTCAATTAATTAAATGAATAACACTTTAACAATAAACTTTTAAAGTAAATGTTATGAAATAATTTTCATTTATATGAAAATCCATTATTAGAGACACTGTAAAACGCTTTATACTGTCAGTATATTTCATTAATTTTACAAATTTTATGAATGTATTTTTTCCGTCTTGGATATTCATCATGTCTTATTGTACATAATTTTGTGTTGTTTAATTTACTGCTTCCTCCAATTAAAATCACGTAGATATTCAAGTAAATTGATTTAACCAACCTGGTTATCCATACTGTATTATGCTTTCGATAAACTAGGTATTTAACTATATAAAATAATTATATATTTTTTTTGTTAACTTTTCCATTTAATAATTTACGTTTAATATTATATTTTGATTAAAAAATTATAATTTATTTAGAACTTATTTATTTTCTTTATATTGGGTCGCTGTGAAATAATTTTTTTAATATATCATAAACAATATGTAATAGTAATAAAATATATTTTGCATTTTTAGAGTTACTAATTATAATATATTAATCATTATTCTTTTTATGCTTACAGAATTTTAATTAATATAAAATAATTAACTTAAATATGTTTCTCTCTATTTTTTTTACTTTGAATCTTGGACTTTATGTTGGTGTTATTTAGTTTTTGTTAATTATTAATTGTAATTAATTTAGTACCAATAATATAAAGTATTAATTAAAAAAATTATATAATTTTTTAAGTACTTGATTCAATTAAGAAAATAAAATAATGGAGGGCTAAAAATGAAAGAAAATAATATTAAAATTATTTGTAATATTAGTAATAAAAAGAGGGTATATTTTTTTCAATAATACTTATAAAAAAAGTCCTGATAGATTTTTTTAGCCTAATAGATTAAAAAAAAATCAAATTGAGTAAATTTGCAAATATAATGAACCATATCAAGTTTCAAAATAAAATGAATCAAAACACATTAAAAATATAAGTTTATTTATTTTTAATTAAAAGTGTACAATACTTTTTATTTAGTAAGATTGATTTGTCTCTTACATCTATTATTTAGTATGATTTTTCTCTTGCATTAGTGGGGGTTAAATGTTTAGTTTTTCTTCTTCTCCTTGAAAAAAAAAGATGAAGAATAAGGAATGAAAGAAGATCATAGATGATAAAACAAATGAAAAAGGAAGATTGAAGGATTAGAATAATTAAAATGGGATGGAAGACGGATTATATTTTCTGGATTTTATTTAATTTCGACATTTAAGGATTAAACAAAACAAATTCATATTTTCATAGACATGAAAGTGTATTTCAGAGAAGAAAAAAAAAGCTTGCATACTGAAACTATTTTCTTATTCTCCACATCTTCAAGCGGTTTTAGGTGGAGATTATAATACTTTTAAGAAAATTGACGCTACACTTAAATATGTAATCCTACTGAAAGAAGAAGAAAGCAAAGAATTGACGGTTAATTATCACTGCTCAAACAAAATAATATTAATCAAAACCTAAAATTATATAATAATAATGAAAATAAAAATAAAAAAGGGACAAGCACATACTGACATAATAATTTTTTTTTTCAAAACAAAAGATAGAACATGGATTGGATCCACACCCAAATTTGGAATTTGAAGCTTGGAATTGCTCCGATTTCTTCTCAGAGCTCACGTTAGTTCGCTCTGCTTCCACTCACAAAGGTCCTCACAGCTCAACTCAAGTGACCAGAAAATTTCAATTTCTTCATCCAATTCATATACCCATTTGACTTTTCTCCTTCTCTCTACTCCATTCTCCGCATTTTCAAGATCCATTCAGGTAGCCCTCTCTTTGCTTCGCTTGGGAAGAAAGGACAACCACTGCTTCGAAATCAAAACGTGTTCTTATCACGTGTTTCACCACCCCAGATAAAAATTAAACTTGGGTTATTGTTTTTTTGTTGAAAAGTCTAGCTTGTCACTTTATTTTTTATGAAGTGCTTGAACATTCTGAACTGGGTCGAATCTGATATCGGGTTTTGCTTAATATCTACACTCTTCTGCAACTTTTGTTTTAGGAATGACCTTGATTTATCCTGGGAGTGTGCGATTTAAGTTTTCCAATTTTTTATTTTATATGCTTCGTATTATCTTGTAACATTCAGTGTTATAAATGTTTTCAGCTTTTTGTGTTACAGAAATAGCACGATTGTTGAAGTTGGTTGGAGTTCAATAGTAGTTTAGTTTTATTAGCAATGGAAGAGTAAGTGTCTCTTTCCTCATTCATTACTTTATTGTGTGATGAGACCCTTACTTGCGGTGATTTGATGAGTTTCAGAGAGAATGCCATAGAGCTTCTCCAGAGATACAGGAGGGACAGAAGAGTGCTTCTTGATTTTATTCTTTCTGGAAGCTTAATCAAGAAAGTTGTAATGCCACCTGGTGCAGTTACACTGGATGATGTGGATCTAGATCAAGTCAGTGTTGATTATGTCCTCAACTGTGCGAAAAAGAGTTAGTTGAATTCGTTCTTCTCCCTTGCTTATCAGTGATCAACCTTCTCTTTTTTGTTTTGTTTTCTTCGTCTTAATATTAAATTCCTTCAATGCAGGTACAATGCTTGAACTTTCAGAAGCGATTAGAGATTATCATGATCATACTGGGTTACCCCAAATGGTATGTTATCATAGCCTGTTTGAAGTTTTGATTTATTTACGTCAATTGTGTATTTGTGTATGTATGTCCATTATACACATAATTATGAATATTATAAATGAAATTTAACTTGTGCACTTCCTAATGACACTTTTATACTGAAGTTATTCTTATTTTCTTACTATATTTATGTGTCATTGCTGCATTTTGCCATTTTAAACATGTTATGACTAGTCTGCGAACTCTGCTCTTTGTATAATACTTACAAGAAGTATGATGCATCTTTAAAACTGTTAAGCTATTTTATTTACTGTCATGACATGCTTTCTATGTTTTGATTTCCTCAAGTTTCATTCAAAGCTTTTGTTTTTAATTGTTTGTGGATCATGTTTGGATTGTAAATGCTTCTGGCTTTAACAGAGTGATACAGGTTCAGTCGGTGAATTTTATTTGGTCACTGATCCTGGGTCTTCCGGTTCACCTCCCAGGAGGCCACCACCAACTGTTCCTATTTCTGCAGTTCTACCTGTTGCTGTTTCTGCTCCTTCCGTTTTTCCACCATCCCCAATTGTTTCTAGTGTATCGAGATCGGAGTCTTTCAACACTACTCAAGAAAAGGAGCTAACTGTGGATGACATTGAAGACTTTGAGGATGATGACGATGCTTCAGTTGTTGAAGGCTTTAGGGCTAAAAGAACTCTTAATGATGCTTCAGATCTTGCAGTGAAATTGCCTTCTTTCTCCACAGGTGATTGCTCTAGAAAACTTTTCTATTGGATAAGTTCTTTCATCCTCACACTCCTAAACTGTTTCAATATCAGACGAATAGTATTTTTATTTAAAATATGTGAAATAAGGAGACACATGATTAAGAAAATTGAATGAACCAATGGTGTTAACAATTTTTTTAAGGTAAACTCTCATACATGAAATCACCATTTGTTGATTGCTGAATCGTTGAAGTCATTGCAAAGGTGGAAATCTGTATAAAGAAGGCATCTGGCATTTCTCTGATCGCCCTTGTGCCTTTGCATGATGGGTCAAAGACACATCTTAACCAGAAAGTTCTCTCTTATCATTTTGTTGGCACAGAGTAGTTTTCTTGGCTTCTATATGATGTCAGGCCGTGGTTGGTTTAGGGTTAGGGGGTATTTCTATTATAGATATCCCTAGATAATGGAGTTCTCTTTTAGGATGATGGTTTTGTAGCCCTAGCAGAACTTTTTATCCTCATTCTTTGTACTTCTCATCCTTCATAGTATCGTAGTAATTTCTTCTTTTGTAGAAAATACTAACATATAATATCATGATGTTTTAAAGGTTTAAATCAAATCAAATAAATCATGAATTCCCTAATATCTGGTTTTACCCATTCTAGGCATATCAGACGATGATCTTCGTGAAACTGCATATGAAGTCCTCTTGGCTTGTGCTGGAGCCACAGGGTATGCTACCAATATATGTTTACTTTGAGGGGATATCTTTTCCTTGTGAAAGATTTATTTGTGTACTCCATTCTATTTGTGAACACTTTGACCTGTTTCTTATTTATCAGGGGTCTGATTGTCCCATCAAAAGAAAAAAAGAAAGAAAAAAAATCCAGCTTGATTAGGAAGCTTGGGCGCAGCAAAAGTGGAAGTGTTGTATCCCAGTCTCAGAGTGCTCCTGGATTAGTTGGCTTGTTGGAAACCATGCGTGTTCAAATGGAGGTATACAGGGGCATAGGTTCATTTTACTTTGATCATTTGGTCTTTCCACTGATTTTTTTCCACCCATGATTTTTTTTTTTTTTTTTTTCTTGCGGCCTTCTTCAAGTGTACTCTTGTGCAAGGACCTCTGGTTTCCTCTAATGATCATCATATTTTTTTTAAATCTTTATAACACTGTGGCTTCCCCTTTTGCCAAGGGAGGTGGTGTAGAGTCTGAATTGGCTTTTACTGAGATAGGATTTGGAAACTTGTCTGTTATTATGAAAATAATTATCATATGGTGATAAGAGCTTTTTATTGTGTTCTTCCTTTATTTTTTGGTTTTGTTATTTGTTGTTGGTCAAAGATGGTCTATGTTCTAGTAGATAAAGTAGAGGTAAAATGAATTCATCTGGATTCAACCCCTAGAGGGACTTTGTGCTGCTTGCACTAAGGTTCCTTTGGATATGATGGGTTTTGAATCTGTGATCAGTTCAATATGCTTCTGGATGCTGTTTAACTTTTCTTATTTTGCACTCATACTCATGTGTAGGCTCTTTGCCTACAAATTTATCTTCAAAACTATATAGTAACCAAGCCTTTTCCTACTAGTGTTAGAATTATTATTAGTTAGTGGTTAGTAGTTGGTTGTTGGTGGTTGTTAGTAGTTGGTTGTTGGTGGTTGTTGTTTTAAATGTTGTAATCCTATATATATATATATATATGTCTGGAAAATTAGATTAAATGAAATCTTATTTTATTTATTTAATACAAAGAGATCATACAAGATATATACAGGATACCTAAGCTATTTTTGGAAATATAATAACCCTATTTTATTCTAGGATCCCTTGATTTATGGGATTGTTCCTAATTGTTCAAATCTGTACAGATTACAAATTTCCTAATTTATTCTTTCCTAAAATACTATTTGATTTCCCACACTCCCCCTCAAGCTGGTGAATAGGTGTTTTCCATTCCCAGCTTGGATACAATCTTCTCAAAGTTGTGGCAGCTCATTCCCTTGGTAAGAATGTCTGCAATTTGGTCTTGAGAGGACACATATGGAGTGCATATTAAGCCACTATCAAGCTTTTCTTTGATGAAGTGTCTGTCTACTTCAATATGCTTTGTTCTATCATGCTGCACTGGGTTGTGGGCTATGTTGATTGCTGACTTATTATCACAATAGAGCTTCATAGGTTCTTCCCATTTTATCCTCAAGTCTTCTAAGATGATTTTAAGCCATAGCAACTCACATATACCTTGTGCCATGGCTCGGAATTATGCTTCAGCATTGGACCGAGCCACTACACCCTGCTTTTTGCTTCTCCAAGTCACAAGATTTCCTCCAAGAAAGGTGCAATATCCTGTAGTTGACCTCCTATCCACAATTGACCGTGCATAATCAGCATCAGTATAGGCTTCAAGCTTTACATTACTATTCCTTTTAAATAGAATCCCTCTTCCTGGAGGTTCCTTTAAGGTACTGTAAAATTCTGTGGGCTGCTTGTAAATGGGTCTCCTTTGGGTTATGCATAAATTGACTAATTAAACTCACTGCATAGGCAATATCTGGCCTGGTATGCGACAAATATATAAGTCTGCCCACTAATCGCTGGTACATATCTTTTTCAACAGTAACATCTTCTGCATTTCCAAGCTTTAGGTTTGGTTCTAATGGGGTACTAGCAGGTTTGCAAACTGTCTTGCCAGTTTCCTTGAGCAAATTAGTGATGTATTTCTGCTGGGATATAAATATCCCTTTCTTGGAGTGGGCAACTTCGATTCCTAAAAAATATTTTAGTTTTCCCAAAGTCTTGATCTCAAATTCCTTGCCTAAGCATTGACTCAACAATTGCTGCTCTTCTTTATTATCTCTAGTTAATATTATGTCATCCACATACACCAATAATATTGTTACTCCCCCTGACTTGGAATGAATGTTTAAAGAACAAAGTATGATCCCCTTGGCTTTGTTTGTAACCCAGACCTGTCATAACTTTAGTAAACCTGCCAAACCATGCACGGGGGGACTGTTTTAGCCCATATAATGCCTTTTTCAACTTGCAAACAGTGTTGGAAACAACTTCTTTACCATATCCTGGAGGTATCTCCATATAAATTTCTTCTTCAAGGTCTCCATGTAGGAAAACATTCTTAACATCAAATTGTTCCAAGTTCCAACCATAATTGGCAGCAAGGGACAATATCACCCTAACTGTGTTCATTTTGGCAACCGGAGCAAAGGTTTCCAAATAATCAACTCCATAGGTTTGGGTGAACCCTTTGGCAACTAGTCTTGCCTTATATCTCTCAATTGATCTATCAGCCTTGTATTTCACTATATAGACCCACTTACATCCAACTGGCCTCTTTCCTATTGGTAAGGTGACTAACTGATGTGAACATGACCTATGATAAGGGCTAGAGCAAGGGAAACAAAAGAAGCTCTTCAACTAGTATTGTTGGTTGACCAAATTGTGTTTTGGATTAATCAACTAATGGACTTTAGTTTAGTTTTATTACAAGTTGTAATAAGGGTCCAATTGGAAATTTAGTTATCAGTCTTTGGGAGACCAAGAGGGTGCATAGCTGATTGACTTTTGGATGCCACAATTTCAGTTACAATCAATCATTAAGTAGTTTTCAATTTCTAGGTTGATATGAATCACAAGGGGTGATTTAGGATCTTTAAGGTTAAAACCTTGTAAAAAATTTAGGAATTAGAAAGAAGGTGGAAGGAAAGAATCACTGTTTCCAAGGAAGGCAACACACAAAGGACGTGATAGTCCTTTGATACAGCCAAATATTCTTGAATCACTCAAGAACTTAGGAGAATCACTCTCACTAAGATAAAAAAGATAAACTCTAATATTTCTAAAAATAAACTCAACTTGTTATTTCTGATAAAAATTGTTCAGCTTATAAAGAAACTTTGCCATCAGAGTTACAAATATTCATTAAAGGAAAATAAATGATAATAATGATTTATTAACCTATAAATTGAAAACTACTTAATGATTGATTGTAACTGAAATTGTGGCATCCAAAAGTTAATCAGCTATGCACCCTTTTGGTCTCCCAAAGACTGATAACTAAATTTCCAATTGGACCCTTATTACAACTTGTAATAAAACTAAACTAAAGTCCATTAATTGATTAATCCAAAACACAATTTGGTCAACCAACAATACTAGTTGAAGAACTTCTTTTGTTTCCTTTGCTCTAGCCCTTATCATAGGTCATGTTCACATCACTAACTCCCAGGTGTTGTTCTTCTCCAATGCCTCCATCTCTACATCCATGGCTTGCCTCCATTTTCTGTCAGACAATGCCTCAGATAGGGTATTAGGTAGAAGTATAGTGTTTAGGTTTACTAGGAAGGTTTTATGGGTAGGAGATAAATTTTTAAAGGACAAGTAATTTGAGAGAGGGTAGAGTGGTTGTTTGGTGCATTTTCTTGTCCCTTTTCTAATGATAATTGGGAGGTCAGGATCATTTTGGGTTTCAATTTCAACCTGCACAGCTGGAGAAAAAATTGTTACCTCTTTTTGTGGAGTCGAGTTGGATTCTTGAACATGGTTTGATCCTGGAATGACCTTAGTCTTCCTTGAGTACACCAGCTTCTTACCAAATTTTCGAGCTTCAACATCTTGACCAATTCCTTGACTTGTTTCATTTGTTACAACTTCAATTTGATATCGTTTAGGTGTAAATATCAAGTTTGGAAGAATGGGAAAACTAGAATTACTACTTTCAATATGATCTCGTTTAGGTTCAAATGTCAACAAGTCTGGAAGAATGGGAAAACCAGAATTACTACTTTCAATATGATCTCGTTTAGGTTCAAATGTCAAGTCTGGAAGAATGGGAAAACCAGAATTACTACTTTCCTTATCTTCCCTGAAACTCTCCCCCTGAAGATATGGTTGATGGAAATAGCCCTCTTGTTCATTGAAGGTAACATCCCGAGACACAAAGAATTTTTTGGATGGGGGGTGGTAGCATTTATACCCTTTTTGAGTGAGTAAGTAACCAACAAAGACACACTTTAAGGCTCTAGGATCAAGTTTCCCCCTGTCTGTACTATGAATATGGACATATGAGATGTACCCAAAAACTTTTGGTTTAAGATTATTTGTGGTAGACAAGTTTGGATAGAAAGACGACAAAACTTCCATAGGGCTTTTTGATCCTAAGACTCTAGAGGGTAGTCTATTGATAAGATATGTTGCTGTAAGGACAGCTTCCTCCCAGAAATTTTTTGGGACACTTTTTTTGGAACAACAATGCCCGAGTCTGATTTAATAGGTGTCCATTTTTTCTCTCTGCGATCCCATTCTGTTGTGGTGTTTTGACACAAGAGGACTCATGAATTATACCTTCTTTTTGACAAAAAGAATTAAGGACATGATTGAAGTAATCTTTGACATTATCTGACTTAATCCTCTTAATATTAACACCAAACTGATTTTTTATCATGGAGTGGAAGTTTAGAAAGACAGAACTGACTTCTGATTTTTGTTTAAGTAGGAAAACCTAAGTGACCCTTGTACAGTCATCTATAAAGGTAACAAACCATTGAGTACCAGACACATTTGGAATATTAGAAGGTCCCCATACATCCGTATGAACAAGATAAAAAGGGAAATTGCTAATTCTATTACTTATTGGAAAAGATATACGCTTGTGCTTAGCAAGTTCACACACCTCACAATGAAGACTCTCAACATCTAACTTGGTAAACTGAGAGAGAAACATAATTTTGATCACTCCAAAAGAGGGATGTCCCAATTGACAATGATAAAACATGATTTTTTCTCTATTGGTCATCAAGGATTCATATATGAAGGAGTGAGAGATTCTATTCTTGCTGGGCAGACTTGGATCTTCGAGATAGTAAAGGTCATTCCATTCTCTAGCATGTCCAATCATCCTCCCCGAATCCTTGTCCTGTAATACACAATGATCGTTGAAAAAAACAATTTTACATGACAAATCCTTTATAAGTTTTTGTATAGACACTAGGTTCGTGGACAACTTTGAGACATGGAGAACATATTTTAAGGTTATTAAAGGATTGATTTTGATATTTCCTTGACCAGCTGCAGTTATAAGGGTTCCATCTGCTGTGACAATTTTCTTGTTGCAGGGACATGGGGAATATGTGGATAAGTGTTTGACTAATGGTGTCATGTGATCTGTGGCTCTAGAGTCCAATATCCAATAATGGTTAAAAGGTGTATCTGAGACATTTAATCCAAAAGAAGGTGGAAACTTACCTGAGTATGCCAAAGAACACACACCTGTAGGTTTTTCTAGCTTACTAAGAACGGTTTTCACCCTTTCTGTCTTCTATTCCCTTGACATTATATCAAAAAGGTGCGATGCAACAACAATGCAGATTGTCGTCTTAGGATTAAGAAAAATGCAGCAGCAATACAGACTGCCGTCTTAGGGTTAAGGAAAAAATGCAGCAGCAATACAGGCTGCCGTCTTAGGGTTTATAGTGCGCAGACAGAACTTCCTAGATCGGAAGCTCCGATACTATCTGGAAAATTAGATTAAATGAAATCTTATTTTATTTATTTAATACAAAGAGATCATACAAGATATATACATGAGACCTAAGCTATTTTTGGAAATATAATAACTCTATTTTATTCTAGGATCCCTTGATTTATGGGATTGTTCCTAATTGTTTAAATTTGTACAGATTACAAATTTCCTAATTTATTCTTTCCTAAAATACTATTTGATTTCCCACAATATGAGAACATAGAGTGGGGTGATGCATCCCACTGAATTATAAATCTTCTTTTAACTCTCTTTACTCTCTTAACTTGGTATTAGAGCAAGTTGGTTCTACTCTGTCTTTCCGGCCACTGTCCGACCACTTTTCCGGTCACTTTCCGGCAATTTTCTGGCAACCGTCAGCCCCCTGTCCAATCACTTTTTTGCTGTCGTCCGATGACTTTCCGACCACCTTCCAATGACCTTCCGGCCTCCGTTCCGCTACAGTTGTCCGCTGCTGCCATTCGTCAGTTTTCTTGCAAAGTGAAAATTGATACTTCCCTATCTATCTAATTCTATCTTGGGTGTTCTCCTTCTTACATGTTCATTGTCTCCATCTTACATCTACATTATTTAAAACATGTCGTTAGGGCCCACAACCTCCTTTTCTGGAACTCCCACTATAACGACTGAAAAATTAAATGGAAAAAATTACATGTCTTGGTCCTCTTCAGTGGAACTTTGGTTCCTTGGACAAAGGTTTCACGATCATCTAGAAGAAGACGGAAGTAAGATACCAGAAGATCAGGCTCAACAATGGAAAAAACTTGATTATCAACTTTGTGCTCTATTGTGACAATTAGTAGAACCAAATATTTTGAATACTCTCAGATCCTTCAAAACATGTAACTCTTTCTAGAAAAAGGCTCAAAATATCTTCGCAAATGATATCCAACGCCTCTATGATTTCGCTAATCGATAAACCTCTCTTAAGCAGTTGAAAAATTAAAGATGTTCCTAGAGGTGGATTCATTAGAGGAGATAAAACAAAAGTTGGATAAATTCTATATGGTTATGATTCTCTAGGCTATGAATTCAGAATTTGATCATGTTAGAGATCAAATTTTAACTGGACAAGAAGTTCCTTCTATGGAAAGTTTGACTACAAGACTGCTTCGTGTTCCAACTCTCAAAGGAAAAAATAATCAAGAACTTGTTGAATCTTCTGCTATGATTTCTACTCGTGGAAGAGGAAGTCGCGACACTAGCGGAGGACGTGGAGATAGAGGACGTCCTCAGTGCACTCATTGCAAGAGAATGGGTCATACCCTGGAAAATTGCTACTCTTTGCACGATTTTCCTGACAAAACTGTAAATTTTTCCAAATCTGAAATGGTTGAACCCAAGTTCTCTCACGAAGAATATCAGGAATATTTGAGGTTGAAATCCAGTAATCTAGCACAGTAATCAACAACCCCAAATTCATCAATAGCTTGTATTTCACAATTTGTGGAAAGTCAAAATCCATGGATTATTGACTCAGGTGCTTCTGATCACATGTCTGGTAATACCTCTTTGTTCTCTTCTCCCTCATTTCCTAAAACTCCTCATCTCATAACCTTAGCCAACGGATCTAAAGTAGCCTCTAAAAGAACTAGACAAGTCTCCATTTCTTCATCTTTAAACTTAAAATCTGTTCTTTTTGTTCCTTCATGTCCCTTCAGTCTCATTTCCCTAAGTTAATTGACCAAATTATTGAATTGTTCAGTAACCTTTAATGCCAACTCTTTTGTTATACAAGAACATGGTACGGGTCGACAAATTGGCGAAGAACATGAATCTGGAGGCTTATACAACATTGGGACTAAATCATCTGTATCTTGTGTTGCATTCTTGTCTCCAAAACTATTACACGAACGTTTAGGGCACCCTCACTTGTCAAGATTGAAAAAAATGGTTCCTGAACTTCAGACACTTCAAGATCTTCAAGATTTTGAATGTGAATCATGTCAACTAGGGAAACATAGTAGGTCCTCTTTTCCTAAACGTTCTGAATCTAGATGTGACTCTGTTTTTTCTCTTGTTCATTATGATATTTGGGGTTCTAGTCGTGTCTCATCCTTTGACTATAGATATTTTGTTACCTTCATTGATGAGTTTTCTAGGTGTACTTGGATTTATCTAATGAAAGACCGTTCTGAATTATAACCTATCTTTAAGTCTTTTCTTAACGAAATCAAAAATCAATTTGGAAAAGTAATCAAAGTTTTACGAAGTGATAATGCCAAAAAATACTTTTCTGCTGATTTCTTCACTCTCTTAAGTTCTCAAGGCATTTTACACCAGTCTACTTGTCCTCATACACCACAGCAAAATGGTATACCAGAACGAAAAAAATAGACATTTGGTTGAAAGTGCTCGTACCTTATTATTACTTGGTGCAAATATGCCTGTTCATCATTGGGGAGATGTTATTCTTACTGCATGTTTTCTCATTAACAGAATATCATGTTTTTCTCTTGACAATAAAGTTCCACACTCTATTCTATTGCCAAAGGAGCCACTCTTTCATGTTTCTCCTTGTGTATTTGGTTGCGTATGTTTTGTTCATGATATGTCCCCAGGTTTAGATAAACGATCAGCTAGAGCCATCAAATGTGTCTTCTTGGGATATTCTCGTCTTCAAAAAGGATATTGATGTTATTCTCCTGAAACCAAGAGGTACTACATGTCTGCTAATGTCACTTTTTTTTAATCAACTCCCTTCTTCCCTTCTTCTATGCAGGATATTAGTTCGGTCCAAAATGTCTTATCTATATCCTTAGTGGAGTCAGTCAGTTTATGCAAAATATCTTTTGCCTATGTATTACCAGACCTAACCTATCTTTTGCCGTTGGAGTTGTCCGTCAGTTTATGCAAAATTTGCGTACTGATCATTGGAATGTTGTCGTTCACATCCTAAAATATCTCAAAAAGGTTTCAGGACAAGGTCTGTTGTATAAAGATAAATGGGGTACCCAAATATCTGAGTATTGTGAAGCTGATTGGGCTGAATTCCCTATGGACAGACGCTCCACTACATGATATTGTGTTCTCATTGGAGGCAATATTATTTCTTGGAAAAGTAAGAAACAAACTGTAGTGGCCCGGTCTAGTGCAGAAGCTGAATATAAAGCAATGACATCTCTCACTTGTGAACTAGTGTGGGTGAAACAATTCCTTCAAGAACTGAAATTTTGTGAGATCCAACAGATGAAGATGTATTGTGACAATCAAGCAACTCTCCACATTGCCTCTAATCCGGTGTTCCATAAAAGGACCAAACATATAGAACTTGATTGTCATTTTATTCGTGAAAAATTGTTGTCTAAAGAAATTTGCACTGAATTTATCGGGTCCAATGATCAACTTGCAGATGTGTTGACAAAGTCTTTAAGAGGACCTCAAATTGAATTTATTTGTTCCAAGCTTGGCACATACAATTTGTATGCTCTAGCTTGAGGGGAATGTTAGAATTTTTATTAGTTAGTGGTTAGTGGTTAATAGTTAGTAGTTGGTGGTTGGTGGTTGTTGTTTTAAATGTTGTAATCCTATATATATATATATATATATATATATATATATATATGAGATCATAGAGTGGAGTGATGCATCCCACTGAATTATAAATCTTCTTTTAACTCTCTTTACTCTCTTAACTGGGTGGTTGGCTACTTCTCTGAATAATGTCTTTGGACAAACTGTGGACCTCTAATCCTTCGTAATAGTTTTTCCTAGAGTTTATTTGGTCTCCCTCACCCGCTAGTACTACTACTAGGTCTATCCTTCATCTAATCAATGGAATGAGACAGCTAATGTTTGCAAACCATGAAAATCAAGAAAACTTAAATTTGTGTTTACTTACGATTTCCATGTCCTGCACCTAAATGTATGAATAATTTTTGCATGTAGATATCGGAGTCAATGGATATTAGAACAAGACAAGGCTTGCTAAATGCTCTTGTGGGAAAGGTGGGGAAAAGGATGGATACTCTATTGATTCCTCTGGAGTTGCTTTCCTGTATTTCACGGTCAGAATTTTCTGATAAGAAGGCTTTTATACGTTGGCAAAAGAGGCAGGTAGTAAAATGCATTACAGAATTTTCTCTACTCTCCTTCATATACTCTATTATCTTGTAAATATGTTGATAGAAAGACTAGGATAATGCTAGTGGTATCTAATTACTTTTTTTTGGTTGTTGAACATTTCCAAATTTGTGTTGGTACAGTTAAAAGTTTTGGAGGAGGGGCTTGTGAATCACCCTGCTGGTGGATTTGGTGAATCTGGGCGCAAGACAAATGAATTGAGGATTCTGTTGGCCAAGATTGAAGAAGCAGAGGTGTGATTCTCCATTTAGATGTTTATATTTTACCTATCCTCTGTTGCCATTAGGTTACAAGAATTGACTTACTTTTGTATTATGCCTGATTGGTTGACTAACTTGAATTTTATTTTATTTTTTTAAGTTTCTCCCATCTTCAAGTGGTGAACTTCAAAGGACAGAGTGCTTGAGATCCCTAAGGGAGATTGCCATTCCACTTGCTGAGCGGCCAGCTCGAGGTGACTTAACTGGCGAAATATGTCATTGGGCAGATGGTTACCACTTAAATGTCAGACTATATGAGAAGTTACTTTTAAGTGTGTTTGACATGCTAGATGAAGGAAAACTGACAGAGGTTGGTGTCTTTTACTTTCCAAGGCTTTATAGCAGAAGTTGAGCCATTAAATCTTTAAATTGTTATTGTTATTGCTATGTTTTCTGTTTTTATTTATTTATTATTATTACTATTATTTATTTGCTGAATATTAAGTTTTTAACAAGTGAATTATGATATGGTCTGTGGTTCCTGAGGACATGGGCTGTGCAATTGATGTGTATAACTTTTGTTAATGCGATGGGAAAGGAAACAGAGGGTTCTTGTGGACATGTATTTAGTTGAAATCCACCTTTAAGAATAAATTCTATTTTATTAAGTAGAAATAGTTGTAATGAAACTCTTATTTGAGAAGCTACTAGGTAAAATAGAAATTAGATTGTATCACTCTTGTGGATTCTGAATTGTCATCTGTGGTTCGTCTAATTTTTAGGAAGTGGAAGAAATTCTTGAACTTTTAAAGTCAACTTGGAGAGTTTTGGGAATCACCGAGACAATCCATCACACGTGCTATGCATGGGTTTTATTTCGTCAGGTAATAGCCATCACATTTTCTTTTGATATTATTTTGAAGAATCACTATCAATTTTGTAGTTGGACTACTATACTGCACTGTTGTTGACTGTGTCATCATATTTATAGTTACAAAAAACGTTGAACGATTGCCTCAACATAAAATTACATTGAAAATGAATTTTTACTCTCCTTGACTAATAATGACTGGGGTACTAGGCCCTATGGATGGTGGCAAAAAGTTTTGTTGAATAATTCGAAAAATGAGAGACATATGAGTGAATCCATGTATCCTTATTCTAATTAATTACTAAAATGCATTGAAACTGTACAACTGATTACCGTATTTGATTTCTTTCCGTCAGCTTTAAAATGAGCATGGAGAATAGTGAACTTCAGAATGTTTATATTTCAACTAAACATTTAGCATATTCTATTAATCTATTTTTCTTTTTGGATATTTTCCTCTTTAATTTTTAATATGCTTGTGGCTCTTTCATTAACTTGATTTAATGAAGAGATTTCTTTTGTTTGATGGTAATCAAGATTAAGGTTGTTTTGTTAAAATTCCACTTGATGGGATATGCTGATTATAAGGTATTCAGTGTAATTTCCATTGCTGTTTGTTTGTTTGTTTTTTCTTTTTTAATTTCTTTTTGTTATAACTGAACTATTTGATTAATTAATGTTGAGTATTGTGACAACTGTTTCTTCAATCGTTATTTAATATTAAATTACTTTACTTAACTTTATTATGGGAATACAGTATGTTATCACAAGGGAGCATGGGGTTTTATTGCATGCACTTGAGCAATTAAATAAAATACCACTCATGGAGCAACGGGGCCAACAAGAGAGGTTGCATTTTAAAAGCTTGCGATCCAAGGTTGAAGGTGAACGGGATATATCTTTCTTACAGTCTTTCTTAACACCAATTCAGAGATGGACTGACAAGCAGCTTGGAGATTATCATCTGCACTTCCACGAGGTTTGTTCAACTTGTTAGGATGTTAGGTACTACTGGATCACACATGCTTGGATTTGTTTCTCTATGTGTTTTCCCTTTTAAAACAAATATTCTTGAAGATTTTTCCCCTCTTCTTTTCTCTTCAAAACTTTGTTTTGATTTTTTACCAAATAATTTTAATATCTTGTGTTGCACCTTTAATTTTGTTTTATGAAACATCTCACATACTCTTTAGGCTTCAGCAACTATGGAAAAGATTGTAGCAGTTGCAATGATCACCAGGAGGCTTCTACTGGAAGAACCAGAAACTGTGTGTAAATTTGTTTGATGACATCTTTCACATTTGGATAGATCATTTTGTATGAAATGTTATAGCACGCTCTAAATTTCATTTATTTGAAGTTTCTTTTACCATTTTCCTGCAGACCTCACAGTCCCTGCCAATTAGTGATCGTGATCAGATAGAGATATATATATCATCATCAATTAAGAATGCATTTTCAAGGGTGAGTATTAATTTGCAAAGATGTTTGAATATCTATAGTTCTTTTGAGTTCTATTCATTGAAATCCTAATTCTGGATTTCTACTTGACTGATAAATGATGGATAGATAACTCGTAATGCTTCCCATTCATTGTTATTGATTATATACATGTTTGCGGGAATTTCTTTAAGCATGACTTAATTATATATTCACATTTTGTTTGTATTTGTCTTTATATTTGAATATATAATGTAGAATTTTGGAATCATATGTGTTCCTAAAACTGTTTTGTCTTGATTCTGCTGTGATTTGAATGTGTGAGAACATCTGTTTTTGTATTTCTGTCTTTTTAAATTGCAATACCTGATAGAACATGTCCTTGTTTTGTATTCCATTTTTATGCCTATCTTTGCATTCAAGGAATCTCTCTACTTTCTGCAGACAGTGCAAGTTGTTGAAAGGGTTGACATGTCAAACGAGCATCCCTTGGCATTGCTTGCAGAAGAACTTAAGAAGCTGCTAAAAAGAGAATCGGTAACTTTCTTGCCTGTTTTATCTCAGCGGCATCCTCAAGCAACTGTTGTATCTGCATCACTAGTTCACAAACTTTATGGCCACAGACTTGTGAGTGTATAAATGGGTTGTTTATATATTCTGATCACATTATGTAATATATCTTCAAAATGACTTAAAATTTGTGTTTGTATTTTCAGAAACCCTTTCTGGATGGTGCAGAACATTTAACTGAGGATGTCATTTCTGTATTCCCCGCAGCTGAAAGTCTAGAGCAGTTCATAATGGCACTTATTACATCTGCAAGCCATGAAGAAAATGCTGAGATCTTTTTGAAGAAATTGAATCTCTACCAGGTTAGGTGGTTAAATGGCGTTTAGAGCATGCAAAATTGTATTTGATCAGATATATGTCATCACTTTTACATAAGAACCCGCTCTCATGTTCCTCATGCCTCATTCTTGTACTCATTTGAAAATGTCAACAGAGATAAAAGGATGTTTAGATCGATCATGATTTCTTGGTTAAATGCCATGTTGCGTGACAGTTGGAGGGCATAATTAGGATTATTTTCTATTTCATTTGGCTTCTTCATATATATATATATATATATATATATATATATATATATATATATATATATATATATATATATATATATATATATGTGTGTGTGTGTTTCAAATAGTTTTACATTTGTCCACTCTTCGCCAAACTTATCATAAAGGGTTTGTTTGGACAAACTTCTCCATTAGTGCTGAGGAGATACAAAATTGATATTAGTTTATCTATAAGCTAAAATTAGCTTATGCATGAGCTAATTTGTATAAACTATTTCCAATTAATTTCTCCAAAATCTGATTTTTAATTTATGCATAAGCTAATTTTAGCTTTTGGAGAAGTTAATTTCATTTTTCCGTTTTATTTTTCTCTCCTAAAAGTACCTTTGGAGAAATTTCCTCCAAACAGACCCATAGTATTTTGTCATCTATCGTCCTATAGTCCTATCTTTACTAATTCTAAACTTTTGTCATTGCCCCTTTTTCTTCTTATAGATTGAGACAAAATCTGGAACTTTGGTGTTACGTTGGGTCAATTCACAGCTTGGAAGAATTTTAGGTTGGGTAGAGCGGGTTTTTCAACAAGAGGTAAATCCTTTATCAACAGTGCTACACCGCAAATACCTGCCATTTTATTATGTCTATTTGTGACAAGATGGGACAGAGACCTTTCTCAACGTCTAGTTTCATTGTTCTTTTTTAGATGATTATTTTGTAATATCTTTTGTATATTTAAATTAGCGTCAAAGTAGTTAACCCTGGATAGTGGTGTTGAGTGGCTGACCCAAAATTGGTATAACGAAGAAGCAGATAATGAGATGGCTAATAAAGGATTCAATGCAAATAATTTATAGTACACACGTAGAAGTTCCCAAAAATAGTAAAATGAATTACTAAAAATATATATTAATCATTAATAATCAAAACTAGTTGCCTATACACCCAATCATTATTAATCTGATTGATGAATTATTAACTAGAGTCAAGTAGCATAATCAGAATGTAGAGGCAGAACAGTAGAGAAGAATGAAGTGAGAAGAAATTAAATAAGTTAATGATGAGTGAAATGGATTTTAAATCCCAGAATCCTTGTGGTGCTATAAAGGATCTGTCAAAATCTTCACTCAATGTGTAATTTAGGAAAGTTTAGATTTTATTCTTATTCTCTATCACAGCAGTTTATTTGTTGTTAATGCTAGGATTATGTATTTAGAATAAATTGCATAATTATAGGGATTTGTCTCCCTAGAATTAGCTGTTTATATTTCCCAAAATAGCTAACAGACTCGTGTACATATATATCCAATGACCTCATAATTTAGTATGAGAAATAAAATATTCTTCCTTCTTAATTTGAGATGTATCAGAGCTAAAGTCTAACTTCTTTCCGGTTATTGTCTTGGGCCAAAATTTGCCCTTTTGTTGGGTCAAAAGTACCCTTTGTCTAGTCCGACAGACTTTGTTAGAAGTCTCACATCACTTACCTCATGTCATTTGGTATGGTTTAAATACATGTTAGGCCACTCCACATATTACCAATTGGTTTTATGTTGGAACCTTAACATGGTATCAAAGCCAAAGCCTAACATCTTTCCGGTTATTGTCTTGGGCCAAAAGTTGCCCTTTTGTTGGATCAAAAAGTACCCCCTTTACCTGGTCCGGCAAGCTTCATTGGAGGGGGCATGTTGGAAGTCCCACATCGCCTACCTCATGTCATTTGGTATGGTTTAAATACATATTAGACTACTCCACATATTATCAATTGGTTTTATGTTGAAACTTTATTGCCAATTGGTTTTATGTTGGAACCTTAACTATTCACTATGGAAGAATACATGTTAGGCTACTCCACATATTATCAATTGGTTTTATGTTGAAACTTTATTGCCAATTGGTTTTATGTTGGAACCTTAACTATTCACTATGGAAGAATTCATCTGTTGGATTTAGTTAATTTAATCTTATTCTCTCTCTCTCTCTATATATATATATATATGTGTGTATGTGAATGTATGTATATATAATAAAAAATAATTTGCTAAAGAATTAAAATAATATTTTTACTTTTGCTATGGTGTAACTATTAGTATCCTTCATTTTCTATACTGCTTCTTTAGTTCTACTAACCTTCCTCATCGAGCAAATGCTTTATTAACTTATTAGTAACCTTTCACAGCATTGGAACCCAATATCCCCTCAACAACGACATGCCGGTTCTATTGTGGAAGTTTACAGGATTGTCGAGGAGGTAATAATGTAGTATTTTGTCATGGAATTGTTATATAAGGTTGTGTTACTTGTGTAACATCATGATTTTTATTATCGTCCGACTTAGACTTCACTACAGTGTAAGTTGTGCAAGTTATGTTTTACCCTTTCTAAGTCACTTTTCCTGACGGTATTAATCGAAATAGGAAAAAAATAACTGTAATTCCCTATACCTCAAAGAAAAAGATGGTAAGTATAGACTAATTGACAATGAAAATGGTTTAACTAATCAATAGTTCTTCCTCCGTGACAAAGGGATATTTTTTAGGCTGTTTTAGATCATTTGGAACCTTGATTAGCAATTGGAAACTTGGTTAAATTCATTATCAAATGGATGCTTCCTTTCTTAAATGGCATCTAAAATTGCAGACATATGTTACATATTTTCAGTTTTTCACTTGCATTACTTCCACTTTATTTCCAATATTCAGCAGAAATATCCACCGCCTGGTTGGTGCCGACTAAGGTGGCCGGGTAAGCTGTCTATCAATGGAACCTTGATCTGTCAGTACTATAAAAAGATTTACTGGAATTGAGTGTTATAAGCACACACACATGATTCTCTATTTTTAAGGAATAGTAATGATACAATAAAAGGAAACAAAAAATATATAAAATGTAATCACTAAAATTAAGGCTATACAATATTTCCTGATTTACATAATTATATGTTTAACTCCTTTATTGTGAATTACTCACCTTAGAGGAGTCAGATCCAAAATAGCATTTCTCTTTTTTGTTTTTGTTATGGAGCAATTAGTTTTAATGTCATTATGAATATAAATATAAGTATGACTACAATTATTATTAATTTGATATCTTATTGGGTGCAGACAGTTGATCAATTTTTTGGTCTTAAAGTTCCAATGAGGTTTACAGAATTGAATAGCTTGTTTCGTGGCATTGACAACGCTCTTCAAGTGTATGCAAATAATGTTGTTAATGACTTGGGTGAGTAGATACAACATATTCTTGTTTGCTGACTCTTCTCAGAAGACAATTTAATGATGGTTTGGGGATCTGTTCTCCATGAAGTACTGAAAATTATTTTCATCAACTCATGTTTATATAATGATGCCCTGCAGAAGTTGCTTTGGATCTTTGTTTCCAAAGTTAACTGTCCGATGGTACAAGAATATCCAAAATTTAGACGTTCTCATTTTAGTCTTATTTATAAATAAATTTAACCACATTTTAATTATTTTGCTGTCTTATCAAGATTTTAAGTTCTAATCATGTTTACCTGATGATTTAGTGTCTTATTAGCTTGATATTTATGAGGCTTGATGAGGTGATGTTTTTGATTGATTCATCGTAAAATTTGGTGGTGGATTATAATGTTTTACCCAATGTTAGTGTATTGCCTACGTCCTTACTATTACCATTTCTTAACTATAATATCTTCTTCTGTAGATAGTGTAATTCTTTCAGTGCATACTGCATATTTTTCTAATGTTTCCCTAAAGGCTTTGTTACACATCAATTTTCATACTCTGTTAAGAGCATATTCTATAGATACTATATTCTTATGAGTTATGAATCTTAAGGTGCCCCCCTTTAATTACACAGCCAGCAAAGAGGATCTAATACCACCTGTGCCTATTCTCACCCGGTACAGAAAGGAAGCTGGAATAAAGGCTTTTGTAAAGAAGGAACTATTTGATACTCGTGTGCCTGAGCCTGATGAGCCAAGGCCCAGCCAAATTAGTGTCCTAACAACCCCTACGCTTTGTGTTCAATTAAATACATTATATGTGAGTTCAAGCAAACTTGATTATACCTGTGTTGTTTTCACTCTTGTTTCTGTGGTTATGAGGATATTTCTTTTTCATTTTTCAATCGAGTGATCTTTTTAATTAACTGTTGTTCATTCCGATTATATTTATCACATGATTTTTAGAATTGCTGTGTTCCAAAAGGTTTCTTGTAATTTTTACCAGCTCTTTTTCCTTCATCAACAATTTATTAAAATTTTGGAGTCCATAATAAGTGTCAAGGATGGCTTGATAGAAAAATATGCTGCTTCAAAGGTTTACTGTCAATCTTTTATAGTTTTTTATTTTTGATAAGCCTCATTGATATTGTATGGTTCAGGCAATCGGGTGTGGCAGTATGATATGATTCTGTAGTCTATATAACTTGAATTAAAGTTTTTTTTTTTTTTTCATTCTTACTTTGAACTGTGCATGAATATAATTAGAACGTTTAAACTGGTATAACTGTGAAAGAAATAGTGAAGTTAATGTGCGTATGGTGAAGGAACTTTAGATGTGGGATTTTTAGCTAACACACCTGAGAAAAACTAACATATTTTAGCAGCTAGTTTTCTTTGTAAATAAAAAATTATTGGTTCTCTAATAGCTGGATATCACTTATATAGGCCTTGTCATAACTTCTGGTCTAAGTCAAATAACTGACCATTCATAAACAAATTGTCATAAACGGTCACAACTAAGTCCTGAATATAAAATTCTAGAATTACTCTTGGACTAGAAACATAAAATTACAAGGGATTGAGTAGTTTTTTTCGATTCCTTCTGGTATTTTGCTCACTTTCAGTTTATACAAATTTTCTTCCCTTCTCTTTTTCAGTATCTATTGCTCTCTTCAAACTATATTCTCTTGCACAATCTCATTAATTGGATAATGCATCGGTGGACTTTTCCCCCGCTTCTCTTTTATGAGTTATTAGTTTGTGGTCTAGACCATTGAATTACTAGCTAAGTTATAATATTGAGGTGGAATGAAAACTTTGCTGGATTTACCGAGGAGAAGGATTTTGGGTATATCAAATTATAGCTTACCATTTGCGGAGTCTAAAAGTAATGCTGTATCATTAGAAATGCATTTTATCTTGATTACTGGGAAAATTCTCTTCGTAAAGTATGTATATTTCTAATAATTAAGACTTGTTGAGCAAGTACTTATTGAGATTACCAGAACTATTTATAAATATCTTGATTTTTAATATCTCTCTCTATACTAGTGCTGCATATGCTGAATCTTTTTTCAATATGTTGTGATATTAATTTAAGTTTTATCTGCCATTTACAGTATGCGATCATTCATCTGAACAAATTGGAAGACAACATCTGGGAGAGATGGACAAGTAAAAGGTCCCACGAAAAACTCATAAGTATGTTCTGAACTATTGTATCTGTATTTTTGTTTTGTATGGTTACTATTAAAGTTGGTGTTTTATCATAAAGAACCTTTTGAACTTTTTTTTTGTCCTCATTGAAATTTCTCTTCAAATAAATTGTAATGCTTAGATATGATTCAACATACCAATGAAACGTGATTTCTACAATACATTGATGAAAACATGGTTTTGCACAAGTTTGTTATTAATACCGGTTTTGATCTCTTCTATTGTTACCATGTACAAGAGAATATGTTTATATTCCATCAGTATACTGTTTTTGTGTCTTTCTTTCTGAAATTGATAATAATGATAATTGATCAGAGTACTGAAACCGATATAATTTCTGACTCTTTTCCTATAATCCTTTTGTCAATAGAGAAATCTTTAGATGAGAAGTCCAAGAGTTTCTCCCAAAAGGATACTTTTGAGGGAAGTAGAAAAATTATAAATGCTGCTATGGACCGCATTTGTGAGTACACAGGTAAGGATATGGATCTTTGTTTCTTTTTATTTTTTTGTAAATCAAGCTTCTCCAATTCTTTATTGAGTTAATTATCCAATTGCAGGAACTAAAATCGTCTTCTGTGATCTGAGAGCTCAATTTATGGACAATTTATATAAACCCAATGTCTCTGGCTATAGGTTGGAAGCGCTTATAGAACCACTTGATATGGTAACGTTTGTCTCATTAGAAAAATGCCATTGTTTTATATTATACTTGTTAGACCACACTTAATTGCAAAGACATTGTGTGAATATATGTTGTTAAAAGTAAAACCTTAGATTGCACCAATCTTATTTAACTACTCTTCCCACTTAATTTATCAGATGATATTCTGTATTTCTGATTCAAATTTGGGTTCACTGTGATGGCTGTAGGCATAGAAAGGAAACTAAGGCTTATGCCTATGACCACACTTTTATGACCTTCTAGACCACAAAATACTATGTAAGACTAGAGATAGTCAAACCTATGTCAAGGTACCTATTGTTGGCTGCAAGTGAGTATTAGGGTGAAGAACCTGATTACACAGTAAATAATAACAAATGGTGTTATAACAGGATAGTTCAGTGTTGAAGTAGACTTAAGGAGATGTAAATAGCTGATCCCAGTTATTCTATGTTGTAATTCAGTTTTCAAATTCAGTTAATCAGTTACCAAGTGCAGTTATCTTTTTCTCATTTGCTCTGAAGTCTAATATGTAGTATCGAAAATTGTTACGTGTTGTATGCAATATTTGAATGAATTAAGTCATGCTATACTGATGATGAATGTGTAACGTAATAAATAGTTTGATAAATGAAAATAAAAGTAAAAACAGGGCCGGATATGCTGATGCTGAGGGTTTCACCTTTGTGAAGGCCAACAAATTATTTTTTTATATGTTTTTATACACAATTATAAAAAAAAAAATATTTATTTTTTATTTCAGAATGTTTAAATGTTGAAACTAAAATGACTCTTGGAATATTAATTGTGGATTCACATGAAACGATTTTTAAATGTCTCATAACTAGCATTGCTTACCATATTTTATGTAGATAAAGTCTTCAACTTTTATGAATTTAATTGATCATTTGTTTTTCACTTTTGACTTATTATAGGAACTTAGCCAACTTTGTGATATTGTTGTGGAGCCTCTCAGGGATCGCATAGTGACAAGTCTTCTTCAGGCATCATTGGTTGGTTTCTTACCCTTTCTCTCAATAAATATTTCATTACTGTTCTTGTGATTTTAACATTTTCCTGCATACCAGGATGGCTTACTCCGTGTTATCTTAGATGGGGGTCCATCAAGAGTTTTCTTTCCCGGTGATGCAAAATTTTTAGAGGAAGATCTGGAGATCTTAAAGGTAGATTATCTGACTCTATCAGTTCAATGTCATGTCATCTGCAATTTGCAGAAGACTTCCTTTGGATTTTTTGAGCATTCTTTTCAATAAAATTGAGTTTTGAGTAGGATAATGTTTCAAAATCAGTGAGTAGTTATGTTTTTTCTTGTAGGAATTTTTCATATCTGGCGGGGATGGTCTGCCACGGGGTGTTGTCGAAAATCAGGTTGCACGTGTTCGGCATGTGATCAAATTGCACGGCTATGAGGTTAGTTCACCTACATCTTGAGGCCATGTTTGGTGTTAATGATTGTGTTCTTATTGCTATGTATTGTTGTCAAGTTCATCATTATATTTAAATAACTTGGATATGATTTCTTCACTTCTAGTCCTTGAAAAAAAAAAAATTGTATTTCATCCTTGCAGTTACATTAGGATGAAATGAAAGTATTATTACTGATAGAAGATATTTTCTTGCAATAATCATTCATCAGAAATTCTACAATTATCTGTATTATTTTGCAGACCCGAGAGTTGATTGAAGACTTGAAATCTGCTAGTGGCATGGAAATGCAAGGTGGCAAAAGCAAACTAGGAACTGATTCCAAAACACTATTAAGAATATTATGCCACAGGAGTGACTCAGAAGCCTCTCAGTTCCTGAAGAAACAATACAAAATACCCAGTTCTTCTGCATAAAGGAATGTGTACAACAAGAGAAGCAGCAAAATTTTCATTTTGGTGCTAACTTTATGTGAATATTCATTGCTGCCAATGTGCCATTTTTTGGTTGGAATTGGAACTATTAAAATTACCCATTTTGTGTATGATTAGGGGGCATAACTGATTTTTCTTTCCTTATTTGTTTTAACTGCAGTGTTGTTGAGCTTCATTTGTAAAATTTCCTCCTTGTGAATACTATAAGAATTCAATTAATGAAGTTGCTATTCTTTTCAACCTGGATAACTGTTTTATGTTAAGAAAACTTCTGAATGCGCAATTTATAACCTAACTTTGCAACAAAGCAACTTTCTTTCAATTTTACAATGAATGAGCAAAAGTGTGTAAATCCAGCATAATTGGATACCCTTATTTGCTCCAAATAAACTTTTTTCCAAATATTAAGGGTTGATTGAATAAACAAGTTGAGTTAAATTGAAATATTTTTGTTATTCCACAATTTTAAAATTTATTGATTTTTCGTTCCTGGTTTGATCAAATTTGAATTAGTGGAATTCTACACTTTTGAAGTGTGAACACTAAAGATGATATAACGTTGTTATAAAACCTTTGTTAATCAATCAAGGTTTGAAACTTCTTCAATTTTATTGTTTATAATGCATGAGTAAATATTTATAAAAAATCTTTGCAACATTGTTATAATTATGAACATACTTTATCTTTAAAAGCAAGCTTAATTATTTTTAAATATTTATTTATTTAATTTAAATTAATTGATAAACAAATCAATTTGATTTCATAGTTTTATTTTAAAATATTTTCAATTTGAATTTTCAGTCTAACTTGATGATAGTACAATATTATTCTTAGTTAGTGACAGTTAAATATCATCTCTCTACTTTTTTTTATATATAAATAAATATTAAAATATAAACAATTATAAATTTAAAATAGGTTTAGTTTTTTTTTCAAACTGACATCATAATTTTCTTTTCTTAATTTTAGAATAAAATTATTATTATTAAAAATAAAAAGTTCAAAGAATTAAAATTTTATATTAATGATGTGATAAGAAAAAAATTCTTTATAATCAAACTAAAATTATCCTATAAAATTAAAAAACATATAATAAATGTAAAATATATTTTATAATAATAATTTATTAATAAAATTTTATTTAAGAAATTTTCTGTTGTGACCGATTTTTTATATCATCGTTTAACATTTTATTTATTTTTTATTTTTTTATTATTTCAGTTTTTATTTTTTATTTTTGAATATAAATAAAAATAACTAAAAATGCCACATATTTATTAATAAATATAAATATAAATATAATAAAATTATTTTTTTCTCATTCCGTCCTTAATTATAAGTTATTTTTACTTTTTCTTTTCATTTAAACTCTTCCTGCGTTAATTTGATATTAATATAATTTTAGAAATAACGTTAAATCTTAATTTATTAAAAACATTATAATATAAAATATGAATAAATATTTATGTTTGTGTTTCTGCTAACTAAATGATAATATTTATAATTATATTTGTGTTTGAGATAATCCTATTATTATATTTTTTAAAATATTATTACCATAAGGTATTTAGTTCCAATTTACTAATAAATTTTAAATTTCAGATAATTGATAAGTTTAATAATAAATAACTTTAGTTGAGGGTTAATTAATTATTATTAAATTTGATAAAAATGTGTCAAATTAATTATATTTTATTATGATAAATAATTTGATTTTAATTTATATTTCATCATTTATTACACTCGATAATTACTTTTAGAAATCACATTATCTAAGTTAATCATATATTAAATGTGAAATATAATTAAAAGAATATAAATAGTGTGGGGTAAATATTATTCAGCCTTTAAGTATATATTTTGTTTTATAAAAAAAATATAATAATAATATTTAAATATGTTTTTATTATACATAACTTTAAGTAATAATTGTATATCAGGTTTTTAAAACCACAACAATAATTAATTGAATGTTATTAAAATTATTTTCTTAATAATAAAAAACATACAAAACAATATTAATAATATAATTTTATAATTATGATACTAAAAATTAAATTAAAATATAAATATTTATAATATTTTATATTTAAAATAGTGTAAAATTGTCAATAAAAATATATTATATACTTAAACTGAAATTTCAACAATATACATCCATATTTAAAAATAAAAACAAAATTACATAGGTTGATTTTTTTAAATAAAAGTTAAAATTATAATTTATTAATTTCTTTATTTGATTTGACCTCAATTCTGCTAGATACTTGTTTTGTCTTTCGTCAATTTTGCATCATAATCAATTAATATAGAGGATTAGTTCTTTGTTTAATTTATTAATTTGATTAGTATAATTAATTGAACTATAAATTACTCCAAATTAAATTAAAATTTAAAGTAATATATAGAATCATAAATTATAATATAAGGGATGATATTAGAATCCATGTAAGTTTATTAGCAAGGAGTTATGAATGAAATAAATAAATCAAAAAATAAAAAATAGTTTTTGGATAAGTCAAAAATAGTTCTTTATAAAAAAAATTATATAAGATAATTTTTTTTCATAAATATCTCTACGAAAAATTCGTTTTCGAAACTGGATTAAGATTAAGGTAAAAAATATATAAAAAAAATCATGAAATTATGAGAGAGAATTGAATAAAACTAAATAAACAGCATATAACAAATATTTTCACTCAAATGTGAAAAAAGAAAATAATAATAAAGATTTTATTTTTTTCAAAGACATCTGGGTCCACAAAATGCTCCATTCATAAATTTACGGTAGAGATGTTAACTATGAAAGCTTTATAACGGAAAAACTAATCCAAAGGCATAGATTCTTGTGCAACCGTTAAGCGGTGGTCTCACAAAACAAAATATCTCACTTAAATTATCTCTTTTGTTTTTTTCTAAACAGTTTGTTTTTTTTTCCTACAATAACCGTTTACTAATAAATTTTAAAATTCAATTCATATATATAAGTTAGAATGCTTATATCAAACGTAAATATTTTAAATTTAGTCCATTTTTTTCTTCAATAAGTATGTTTAGATATTTTAATTTCAAGTTATCATCTATTTATTTTAAATTGAATTTATTATTAAATTATCAATAATTAAAAATATTCATAAGATTTTATTAGTTTAATTTTAATGTCAATAATTTAATTGTAAGGTATTACGATAGAAATTAATAATGTTATCTTATATATATATATATATATATATATATATATATATATATATATATATATATATATATATATATAGTAATCATGTATTTTGTGTAAATCATTTGAATTATTTATTGAATAATATCTTAAATATTATATTTATTAACAAAGTAAAAGATTTCTAAATATAGATAAAGTAGAAAGTTTAGATATTGTTATCTAATCAAACAATGCTATGTAGAATAAATAATTTCCTTTTATAATATTCATTACCAAAATTAAATTAAATATTATATTTAATTGGCTGGGAATGATTTTTTTATAATACAGTTATTAATCATATTTTTTATTTGAATTATTAAAATTAAAAAATAAATTAATACATGTAAAAAAATAAAAAATAAGAAGTGAAATATTTAAATAAAACAAAAGAATGCGATAAAAGGTAATGGATAATTTTTTTATTGATTGCAATAAAAGAAAAGAGTATTGAAAATATATAACTAACAAATTGAAAATATCCATTATATATTGTAATTATCCAATTTATTTATAATATAAAAATATAAATATTATTTTCCTGTTGCGTGGACCCACTATTCTCCCTGCAATGCTTAACTCACTCTCTTAGGAAAAGAGAAGAGAAAGAAGAGAGTTTTTGTGTATATAAAATCCAGATAGGTAATTTCACTCTAACCCCTCTCTCTCTACAATCAGGTTCTCTTTTCTCTATACGTTTCTTTCTGCTTTTCATACCTTTCCTTGTTTTCTCGCGTTTTCTCGCCCGTTTTATCACGCTTTATTTGCCTTTGGGGGTTACGCTCTTGATTTTGATCGTTTGTGTATTCTATGCAGCGGTGGTTTTGTTTATAGGAGGATCTGATGTACTTGCTCGTGGATCTCAACTATATTCCCGATCATGATGGCCCTTGATAATTCAGGTTCGTCGTTCAATTGCTTCAATTGCTGAGTTTTGTTCTCAAAATTTAATTTAATTTGGGTTTTTGAATGTCTTTTTTAGGCCAATTTTCTCTGTTGGTTTAATGTTCGGTTTTTGTTTTAGGTGCGTGTGTGTTTCTTTTATGTGTCTAGTGTTTGGTTGTGGAGTTTTTTTTGCTGTGGAGAGTACTGTGTCATTGTCTGCATGCTTCATGGTGGTTCAATTTTGGTCGTGATCGGTGGTTTGAGGCGGTTGGGAGTAATGTGTGTGTTGATTGGGTGGCTTTTACTTGTCTAGGGTTTGAATTTGCTTGTTGAACTTTGAGGAAGATGGATTTTGCAGTTATGCAACTGAGGTGTTGAAATTTGGATTATTAGGTGTGTAGGAGTGAGGGTGGGAAGTGGGTTCCTAGTATGAGAGTGTCTGTGGGTTTGAGTTTGATGGATGCGGAGGAAGTGACATTAACAGTTCAGACTTTAGTGTTCAAAAAATGTATGACGGAGTGAATGCTGTATAAATTCGAACATAGGGAGTATAATTTTGGAACTTAGTTCATTAAATAAAAATTATAAATCTTGTTTGATTCAGGTTTTGTCTATTTTTGGATAGCAATTTATTTGACTATACTTGGTCAGCAGACTCATATTGGTTAATGTACATCTAATAGCAGAGTGTGAACAAGACTTTTTTTTTGGGAGATCTTTTTGATTATTGATTCTGCATTTTGAGTATTTGTTGAAAACTAAATGAATTGTCAGTTATCACCTTTCACTAGAAATGGGTTCATAGTTCCAATTTTGTATATTTTCCAATCCTTTGGGGGAAAACTGATCATCTAAGTGTGTTGTTCTATGTGCTGATAGTTATTTTGGTCTCTGAACTGGTGGATGTAAGATTTTTTCAAGATTTTCCAGATTCATTCTTAGGCCCATCGTGATCCTTTTTCTTTCATTTTATGCAGAAAATATGCAAATAAACTGTGAGGCATCTTTAAAATGCCTCCAGGGCAAGGTATTTCCTTGCAATTTTCAGAGTAATGGGAGTTCTATGGAAGGTTTTACAGAGCTTAAAAATGAGCCTGGTTCTCACCCAGCTGGGGATGTTACTGAGCCTAACTGCCATTTAGGCAGTGAGTTTCTTGAGCCTTCCAATGAATTTCACAGCAAACCTACTTATCATCAAAACTACAGTTCCTGGACACCCTGCCATTTTAATGCTCACAAGGTGCAGCCTTGCCCAATGAATGCTTTTGAGAGCCATTTATATCCTTATCCTGTTGAGAACCAGCTTCAGTATGTTCCAATTAACATGATTGCTCAGGGTTTCCCGCGTGAGCAATATCAAGAATTTCAGTACTTTGTGGTGATAGACTTTGAGGCTACCTGTGACAAGGAGAAAAATCCCCACCCTCAAGAAATAATTGAGTTTCCATCTGTTATAGTGAGTAGCATCACTGGCCAGCTGGAAGCGTGTTTTCAAACATATGTGAGGCCCACCTGCAATCAGCTTCTGACTGACTTCTGCAAGGATCTGACTGGTATCCAGCAAATTCAGGTTTGTTAAGGCAAATCTTACAATTGCTTATGAGAATGAAATGTTGCAGAAATTGCAGGACAAATCGTTATAAGCATTTTTTCTGTGATGCTTTCCTCTTCATTTTGTCGTTATTCTTGAACTAACAATTATATTGCTGTGTGAATATCAAATGTCTTGACTTCTAGAATATTTGCTAATGGTAATTCCCTTGACTCATAACAGTCCATACCACTCTTGTTGACCAGTAATGCTTGCTTGTGTTGTAGTAAAATAGCAATATTTCATGGAGTAGAAATTTATTTGTATTGAATACGCTTGAGGCTAAACTTAGATCTAGTCAACCCAGACAGGAAACTATTTATACAATGTACAATATTAATTATTAATTACAGGAGGAATCATTTGTTAGATTAGAGCTAACCAAAAATAATATAATTACTCAAGAGTAATGAGAGCAAAACTCACACTTATACATATGCTTAACTTGAACATATAATTATAACACTTTACCTCTAAGCTGGAACATATATCTCATATGGGCCAACTGTTCAACAAATAAAGTAAGCCTGAGCTCTAAGTTTAAGAGATTTAGTAAATATATAAGCTAACATTACCAGTAGCAATCTCACTTTCAAGGACCTTTTTCAAAGAAAATGGCAGTAAATCTCATTGTCCAGTGCAGCTTGGTGTAAAAAAAAAACAACTTCTTTCTGTTAACTCCCAATTTGAGTTCATAGTTTACAAATGGCTTAACTAGTCAATTTAGCATTAGATCTTGCAATTATGTTTTGCTTTTCACTTCTCAATGAGATTGATTAAATTGTGGTATATAAGTGAGGACAAATCTTCGGTTATAAGTTCACTTTTTAAGATACTATCCTAACCTATCTAATAATGTTTGTTGGAAATCCTATGTCGATTGGAGATAATGACCAAATTATAGTATATAAATGAGTACAAACCTCATCTTACCAATAAGTTTTCTGAGGTTGAGTTGGTCTCAAAGTCCAATTTCTAAGAATACCTTTGTGTTATTATGAGAATCAATGAAGGAGGAAAATCTGGAAAATTTGATGGAGTAGGAGATGAAAGAAATGGACAGGAAGGGTCCTGGTGCAGTGTCTTTATTTTTGTGTCTGGTTTTAGAAAAAAATAGTTGAGGACTGGAGGGTGGTGGTGGTTGGAAAGTAGCATGCACACACATGCACAGCACCTGGAAAACACTAGCAAGGGAAAAAAGGTGTTCGGGTGGCGAAGGTTGACTCTTGTTGAGAAAGTCTACTCTGTTGTTGATCTAAGGCTTGGCAATGATTGCAGCTGTTGAAAGGTGGTGTCAGCTAGAGATTGGCACACCTGAGAAATTGGTGGAAGAAATGCTATTGGTTAAGGCTTAATGCTTTAGTGGGAGGGACAAGACATGGAGGTAATCTTATCAACGGTGAATTATGAATTTTCTGAAGGTGGGTCATGGTGGGTCATGGTAATAAGCCAGAATCTTGTAATAGAAGGATATAAGTGTAAGAAAAACTACTAACATGGTGTAGGAGATGAAAACATATTTTAGGAAGTAAAATTTACCATTTTTATAACAAACTGGAGGGATAATATCATAAATTTCACAAGGCCACTGACTGAAAACAACAGAAAAGTGAGAAACACTGAACATAAACTCAAAACAGAAAGGAATAGGTAGATATACCAAAAACAAGAGAGGAATAAAATCAAGAGTCGTAGAAATGAGAGGAACAGAGAAAGAGATTCATAGCACAGATAGGGACAGAGAGAACAGAAAAGGAAATGGTGAGGAAGGAGTAGAGAGGCTCGGAAGATCAGAGGTGTGCAAAGAAGATCACATGGATCGTTTGCTGGAGATGGTGGAGTTTTCCGTTTAGCAAGTGTAGAGGTGTTCCAGTGTCAGTTTTGCAGAAAACACAGGCACAAATCCTGGAGCCTTGGTGCGTAAATGTATGAAATGGTTGCCTAACAGTCAAACTCTACAGTTTTTCTTTTTTAAAAGACAATATTTAGCTACTACATTTTCTTACACAATCATGTGCAGAAATGCCCATCACGGGCAACAATCCTAAACCTGCAACGCCATTGACATAATGCATTTTGCTAAAATCCGCTATGCCATAGCACCATGTAACATGTTACCACCATGACCAACATCTGACATTTTGTCAACACTGCATTCTGGATGACTCCTAATAATAATATCGTATAGGATTAGAAAGTTTGAGGTAAAACTGTGTCTCCAATCAGTTCGTGAACATAATTATTTACATTATATGCAGTATTAATTGCTATCGTGGGCATCATTATTTAGATTAGAGCTAATTATCACTGATTAGAAATTACTTGAGAGTTAGTGACAAACTATCTTACTCTATTCACGTGCTTCGTTCAATTCTTAAAGTACTTATTCAGTATATGGTGTAAGTTACAAAAGGAGTCATTTCCAAAGAGAAATAGTGCCGATGAATAGATGATGAAAGAGTTAAAGATAGATAGCAAATACCAATCATCATACATGTGCTTAAAATATAAATTTAATATTAACAATTTGAATTCCTTTATGGTACGAAGGATATATCTATGCAGTACAGAACTGAGTTATGATGTGCTTTGCAATTATGATTAAAAGTAAAAGATACTGAGAACAAGAATGTTGGAAAAATTTATGAAGAATATCTTTAGTTGACGCACTTGATCCCCTCCCTTTTATTCACTAGTTATGTTTGAGTATGGGTGTGCAGTGCTCTTATGGGTTCTCAAGCAATTTCGCACCCATTTTTGTCTATACTGTCTGATTGGACAGTAAGTAATATTCATTTTGAGGTTGACTCAGCTCTATTTGGGATAGGCTCATAGGATTTTTATATCCTAAAATCACCTTCCTAGAAGCATAAGTTGCGTCCAAATTGACTTGAATGGTAGAAATACTCAAATGCTTTCTTGTAACTCATCTGTTACTCCTGAACCCTTACATTCACCTATTCTTTTTTGCTGCAATGATTGTTAATTGGATTATTACCGTTTGGTTCAGGTGGACAGAGGTGTTACATTGAGTGAGGCTCTACTTAGGCATGATAAGTGGCTTGAGAAGAAGGGAATAAAGAATTCCAACTTTGCTGTGGTCACATGGTCTAACTGGGATTGTCGGGTGATGCTTGAATCTGAGTGTCGATTCAAGAAAATTCGGAAGCCTCCTTATTTTAACCGGTAAATGCTGCTGCATAGAAATGATGACATATGTTTACCAGGATTTCATTTCATCTGATTTTTGTTTATCTGCTTGTTAGCTGGATCAACTTAAGGATTCCTTTCCGTGAGGTATTTGGTGCTGTCAGGTGCAATCTAAAGGAAGCTGTTGAGATAGCCGGCCTGGCCTGGCAGGGTCGTGCACATTGTGGCCTCGATGATGCCAAAAATACTGCTCGCCTGCTGGCACTGCTCTTGCACCGGGGATTTAGATTTTCCATTACCAATTCCATAATGTGGCAGCCAGCTGATCGATCGCTGGTGTGGAAACAGTCTCCAGAACAACCAATTATTTTCCCCCATTTCCCCTACAAAGCAAAGGATATCACCACCCCCATGGTTCAGTATAACCCTTTCTGCCACTGTGGGGTGAAAAGCAGCAGGTGCATGGTGAGGAAGCCGGGTCCCAAGCATGGGAGCCTTTTCTTTGGATGTGGAAATTGGACTGCAACTAGAGGTGCTCGCTGCAATTACTTTGAATGGGCTTCTAACTGAATGCACCTTTTGATCTACTGCAATCAAATATAAGTTTTCTTATATGATATGTAAACAAAGAAATGAAAAAAAAAAAAGAAAAAGAAAAAACAAAAAAGAGAAGAAAGAGGAAGTGACTTATGGAAGTAGTGAGTGGTATTGCCTCTAGTGGAAGCATGTATTCCTGACTGCACGGTAAGGTTTCTGCTTCTTGATGAAGTGTAGAGAAAAAATAGTTGCCTCAATTGCTATTACTTGTTGTGACTGCTAAACATGAAAGTAGTCTTTGTCTGTCTTGACTTGAGAGAGGGAGCTTCAACCTGTAAAGTTGACTTGTTGACTGGAGAATTATTGGGGAACGTGAGGAATGGGTAGTAGTTAGGATTGATGCTTTTACATGCCTAGGCATGGTAAGTTATCTTTTAAATAATCCGTGAATTATGTTTCCTTGCTCTGAATGGGAATCGTTATAGTTTCCTGTTCTCCCCTTTTGCTGCATGTCAGTAGTCATTATTATATTCTAACTCTCACCTTTGATGCACTGGCCACTGGCACCCACTTAAGTTGGGGAAGCCTGTACTTATATTTGGTAGTCTTCAAAAGGGTAATGGAAGTTAACCATTAGATTCATTTAACATAGTTTCTACCTTTCCTCTGCTGCGCAATATTTTCTTGTTTGTTGGTTGATTTTACCATTTTTATGTGTTATATTATATCAATGGTAAACCCAAAAGAGAGGTTAGAGATACAGTCTAATATATATGAATTGTTGTGTATTACTGTGCAAAAAAATATTTATAACTTAGGTCCTTATGGACTTTTGAGCCTAATATAGTTTTCAACTTGTCAATGCTTCTTTCACCTTCCATATATTCTTTCAATCACCTTCCAAGTTGCCTAATCCACATTTAACAAATTTTAGAATGTAGCTTTTTAAATTTCTGGGAAGGTAAACAGATGTGGAAAGAAACTAATGGGAGTATGGATTTGATTTAGCTTTTAAAAGTAGTTTTGGAAATTAATTTTGAAAATTTGTTTTTAAAACTAAGTTGTAAAAGAAAAGGATTATATGCGATGAAAAGTTGATAAAAAATGATTTTGGTAATTTTAGTACAGTGTAATTATTAATGATGATGCCAATATTATTATCCACAAATAAAATATTTTTTAATTTTTATTTTTAATTTTTAAAAATTAAAAAAGTAAAACCAGTCGTTTAAAAAGTTAAAAACTTATAAAATTTTAAAAATTAATTTTTAAATTTGTTTTTCATTTATGTATCCTTTTATAAATTTGATTTTAAGTTTTATATTTAAAAATTAATTAATGAATCCTCAAAAATTAAAAAATATATTCATTTAATATTTTTATTAATTTAATAATAATAAAATTTTATTGAATATTAAAATTATATAAAAAAATTGAAATCATGTTTAGTCAATTCTGTTAAAAATAATTATTAATTAATATATTAATAATTATTATAAATTAAAAGATTAATTAATATTTTTTAAAACGACAAAAATTAAGATTGACAAATGGTGTAAAAGCATAAAATATATTCAATCCAAAATTAAAAACTATTTCTAAAACCAGTAAATAAACGAAGATAAAAAAAACATAACTACGCGATATCTATGTACGTTGCTCGAGTATTATATTGTATAAATGGGTTGTGTAATACGACAATTAAAAAAAAATTAGAGTCTAAGTATTATAATATACAATAAATAATGTAACCTGAAATCAATAAAAATTATGATATCATACTTTATCGATTTTAATCTTTTTTTTCTCCGTCATCAATGAAAATAATTCTTTTATATTAAGAAAAATATGAACAAATTTTAAAAGTTTTAATTACTTCAAGTATGTGGATTATTTTAATTTTTCATATGAAAGTGTTCTAGTTTATTTAATGAATGATGATGGTTGTAAAAAAGTTTTAATGAAATTTGTTGAAGTCTAGAAACTGCAATATTTTAAACTATTCACCATTCCTTTAATTTCAAGTTCCATCTATCCTGCAAGAAATTGTATTGACCAAAGTCTTTTCTATTATTTAATATTTTTTATTCATTTGATTTGGGTGCGAATCTAATATATACTATTTTTTTTGTGTGAAATATTTGTGGTATATATTAAGGTTATATTAATGATTACCCAAGGAATACCATGTAGGGGTTGTTGCACTTTTCATGTCTCTGTTTTTTTTTTTTCACACTTCTCAGAAAAACATTGATTCTTTCAAAAATTTTCAGTAATATGACTTAAGAAAATAACATAAATGACACATGAATGATATTGAGGTGCTCCGTTCTAACCCTGAGTAGAAAACTGAAAACGGATTATTCAATTTGCCTTGAGTGTTAAATTTGTCTAATTAAATTAAAAAAATATATTAATATATGTATACTAAATCAATTAATTAGAAATATAAAAAAAAATTAAAAATTAAAAATTATTAATAAAATTATTTTTATTTAAAATATAATATTTTAATATATAAATTATAATATAATATATTATTTACTTTTCATTACCATTATTTATTTTTATTAATTTAAAATAATAATTAATCTTAATTTTTTAAATATGAATAAAAATTTACCTTAATATTTATTTTTAAAATAAATAAATTCTTAAGCAAATTAATTAATATTATATATATATTTTTAAAATAATTTTTTTTTAAATAATTATTATTTTATAAAACCGATGATACATATTTACATGTTAATTTAGTCTCAATTCACATACGTAGATTGAATCAAAATAATTTTAATTTTATTTTGGTTGCAAATATTTTTTTTAAACTTATTTATCAAATCTTTGAATAAATCGATTGGAGTAAACATATCAAACGTGCATCAGGTGGTATTTATTTTAAACTTATTTATCAAATCTTTGAATAAATCGATTGGAGTAAACCTATCAAACGTGCATCAGGTGGTATTTATTACAATACGAAAGTCAAAAGTACAATTACTATAATATATACTATAAAGTTAATATTTTTTTTTATTTCTCTGGCTTCCTTCAACTTCTTCAATTAAAAAAAATCATGTGGCTACTCTATCATTATGCTTATCTTTCCTTTAATCTTGATTTATGAATCAAATTTCTCCACTGTTTATTCAATATTATGCTTATCATTATGCACAAATTAATAAAGAAAGCACACGTCACATTAAAGTGGATTTCTTTATAAAATATATTTCTATTTTAATATAATACTATCTTTACTTTGCAATGATAGACTTCATAATGATTATTGGAATTGTGCAGTGAAAGTTATGCAGATTGCAGTTATGGCATTGAGTATGCATCTTCTCTCTGTTGTTCTGCTGATTCTGATATCAGCACCAATCGTTATTGTAGGTGCAGTTTTTTCTATTGATAATATTAGGGGTACATCCCTGAACAGGAGCAGTTTTCCAGAAGGTTTTATATTTGGGACAGCATCCTCTGCTTATCAGGTACTCCCAAATTTTGCAATGAACCTTTTCTTTTCATAGAATTTTAATTTTTGCAATAATCTTTAGCTTTGAAAACCAGTGTGAAGGTGCAGCAAATGTTGGTGGCAGAGGACCAAGTATATGGGATACATACACTCATAATTACCCAGGTTTCATTTTTTTCTTTGCCTGTAGTACAATCCTTGTTCAGTATAAACATAGTGTAAATCTTTTCATACTGTGTTCAGTTATGAATTAATTTCAGAAATCATATATGGATGAATTCAAATTAGGCTGTTGTAAATTAAGGGGTATTGCAAAACTTAGAACATTATCCCACAAGCAGTAGAGACTGTTTCAGAGATCACACGTTGCAGAAGACTATTTCAGAGAACATGTTCTCACACGTTGCAGAAGACTGTTTCAGATAACGTGTTCTCACACGTTGCAGAAGACAGTTTCAGAGAACGTGTTCTTACAACTGTTTTAGAGAACTTTACAGACTCAACCAAGTCTTCCCATAACTGCTACAGATTTTCTCCTATAAATAGATATCACTTCACACTCTTCAGAAACACACCTCTCTCATCTTCTTTCCTCTAATATTCTTTCTATCATCCTGAATAAATTTACTATTTTGAGAGTTTCTTACTAGTTTCTGAGATTCTCAGATATTCCGAGGAGTTCCTGTTGTATCCTGGGGGACTTACGCAACACACCGCGGATAAGTCCTTAAGAGAGTGCTTATACACGCCTCATGAATAAAGTTTGTTTGTGTGTCTGTCAGCTCTTACAACAATCTTAAGGACTTAAAGTTGACAGTACGAATATCAACAACTTCCTTCAACAGTTTTACACTATTGGATAGTGAAAGAAAGGGAATTATGAAGTGCTCATGGATCAAAGTTAGTCTTCTGATTATGATTCATGTATGTTATTACGTGATAATCAATTCATGTATGTTATTACGTGATAATCAATTCATGTATGTTATTATGTGAGAATAAAGAATCTAGACCTAAAGAGTAGTTTTATAGAATTAGTAACGTATAAAACTACAAATTAAAATACATATGGTATTAGAGTCATACTTATTAGATTTATGATTTTTCTCTTATGATAATTTTTAAATTACGCTTTTCCCAAATTAAGATAAATTTTAATTATGAATTTAGGATTTCTATATCATATTAAAATGAACCCTAATTTATGTTTTCAATTATAATCAATTTCTTATTGAGATGTGAATGACCCTGCAATTCTTAATTATTGAAAAGATAAATGATGTGATTGAGTTAAATGTGAATCATGTATGAAATTGGTTTCACAACATGTTATAATTATGATAGAAAATGCTTGGATGTTATAATTATGATAGAAATTTTTTGGATGAAAGTGATGTCATCAAACACATGTTCCTTTTTTTCGATTTATTACACCAATGCAATAGAGAAAATGAAAAATGCATTATGCATAATTATTTTATGTTATGGGAGAAATTATAAAAAATTATTATATATTATGGGAGATTTTCTTTGTGAATAATTAGCAGTTGCATATATACAATGTATGACTTAGATCTACATATTATTTTGTATATACGTAGAATATTATTTTGTCTACCTATTATTTTGTACATATGTATAATTAGAATATTATTTTGTTCCCATATTATTCTGTACATAAGAAAGGGTTGAGACTGTATGAAACTAGTGAATCTAACCCACTTTACGTTCAAGAATAAAAATTGCTTTTTGTGAAAAGTAAGGTCATCATGCATGTTAGTGTAGACGTGGAATGAGAAACAACAATCCTCCTAAGACAAATTTAGCCAAAGGAGAAGATATAATTATTGCGATCGTTTCCCAAATAAACCTTGTGACAAATGTGAGCAAATGGGTGGTAGACTCTGGTGCTACTTGACACATCTGTGCAAACAGAAGTACTTTTACCTCCTACACTAGTGTGGGGATGGAGAAGAACATCCTTATCTCAGTGATTCTAGGACAACTCCTGTCATAGGAAAAAGGAAAAGTTTTGAAAGCAACGAGGGGGAGATTGATGGAAATGTTCGTGCATTCCCAAGAGATGATTTTGATGATGATTCAAGTCAACTACATTCAAGTCAACACCATTCAAGATGAATTTAAGGTCAAGCTGAATTTATGACGTAGGTGACAATGTGAAACATTTCCCTACATGCCCAAGATATGTTTTTGATAAAGATGATGATTCAAGCAAGCCCAAGATGATTCCTGAAGACTAGATAGAGTCTTAGAATACTGGATATGGAGGTATAAGTTGATGAAGTAATATTATGCATAAGCCTCCAAAGCACAAGTGTGATAAAATTCATAACATGATATTTTTCACTGTCATAATTAATTATGATGCACCAGAAATGGAAAAATGATTTTCTCTATCATAATTAATTATACTGGTAATATAATCAATTATGGCAATTCAAATTTGAAAAATATATCCGTTTTAAAGAATAAATGTTTTTGAATACATCCTGATTTTCTCTATGATATTATTAATGTCCAACGACCATTTTTTGATGCTATTTTTCTATTTAATTAAGTTTTGATGAAAAATAAAAAATACACAATTATAGAATTCGAAAATACAATTTACATTCAATCAGTTTTGAGAAAAGAATTCTGAACAAGACAACAGAGATATTTTACACATTTTGAGAAAATCCTCTTTTCTACTGCCTTCTGTGCTTTCATTGTTAATCACACTTGTTCTTGACATCGTCAAGCACATCTAGATTAATTATGAAATTTATTTGTGATAAATTTCATTGTTAATTTGACATCTATTTTAATTTGTGCAACTATTCACCCCCTCTAGATGCCATTTGTCTAACAAGTTCTTCTAAAACTCACATCTAGAAAGACTCTGGCCTTGGATGATGTGCTACATGTGCCATTAATCAGAGCTAATCTAATATCTGTAACACTGTTTGGAAAAATTGGGGTTAAAGTGTCATTCGAATCTGATAAGATTGTTATGACAAAAAATAAAATGTTTGTAGGGAAGAGATATTGTGATCAAGGTTTTTTTTTTATACTTAACATATCTGAGGTTGTTAATAAATCTTGTTCTTCTGCTTATATTATTATTCATATGATCTGTGACATTTATAAATGACTACTCTACATACACTAAAGTATACTTAATCAAACAACTCTAGTGCACCAAATAACCTCTGAGAATATACTTACAGAGTGTTTTTTTAAGAAAACTGGTAAGAGTTATGGAGAGGTTATGAATCTAATCTTAAATATCTACGAGTGTGGGGATGCCTAGATAATGTAATGTTACCCAATCATAAGAAAAGGAAAATAGGTTCTAAAACTTCTGATTGTATGCTCTTAGGCTATGCAGTACATAGTGCTGCCTATAGGTTTCTTGTCCTCAAAAGTGATGTAATTGAGCATAATACTATACTGGAGACAAAAAATGTTGAGTTCTTTGAACATATCTTTTTTTCTAAAGGTTAGTGAGATACCTAAACAATCTATAGATATTAATAGTTAAAATACAGAGAAAGGAAACCTCCTTTGGAGGTGATTTCTACACTTATGTAGTTGAAAATGATCCAATGAGTTTTTTAGAGGCTACTAGGGCTCCTGCTGCAATACATTAGGATAAGGCCATTAAGACTGAAATTGATTCAATTAAGAAAAATAATACTTGGACTTTGGTAGATTTGCCTAAAGATCAAAACCTATTGGTTGTAAGGGGATCTTTAAGAAAAAGTATCATCCTCATTGATCCATAGATAAATATAAGCCAAGATTAGTAGCAAAATGTTTTATTCAAAAATCCAACATTGATTATTTTGACACCTTTGCTCCTGTGACTAGGATTTCCTCTATTCGAGTTTTGTTAGCTCTAGTCACTATCCATAAACTAGTCATACACCAAATGGATGTTAAGACAACCTTTCTGAATAGTGAATTAGAAAAGGAAATTTATATGACTCAACCTGAAGGGTGTGTTGTTCCAGGTCAAGAGAACAAAGTGTGCATACTTTTAAAATCCTTATATGGATTAAAACAAACACCAAAACAATGACATGAAAAACTTGATAGTGTGCTACTTTGTAATGACTTTTCAACTAATGATGCTGATAAATGTGTGTACTCTAAATTTGAGAGTGGTGAATGTGTCATTATATGTTTATATGTAGATGATATGCTAATATTTGATACATGCATTGACATTGTCTCCCGAACTAAGTTGTTTCTGGGATCTAAATTTGAAATGAAAGATATGGGTGAAGCCAATGTGATTTTGGGAGTTAAAATCATAAAGAAGGGCGATAATATTTTTCTATATCCCAAAAACAATATATCCAGTGAATACCTCTTACGACGTTAATTCTAAGTTAAAGAAAAATAGAGGAGACTCAATCTCTCAACCTTAGCATGCCCAGGTAATTGAGAGCTTATTGAATTTAATGATATTTTCTAGACTTGACATTGTTTATGCAGTAGGTAGACTGAGTAGGTACACTCAATGTCCTAATCAAGAACATTGAAATGCACTTACAAGACTTATGAGATACTTAAGAGGTTCAATGGATTATGCCATTGAATATAGTGGATTTCCCGCTGTATTAGAAGGGTACAATGATGCTAAATGGATCTCTGATTCAGATAAGACAAAATCCACTAGTAGTTATCATACTCGGGGGTGGTGTGATTACATGAAAATCAGCCAGACAGACAATTATTGCAAGATCAACAATGGAATCTGAATTTGTTGCTCTCGATATGGCTGGTAGTGAAGCTGAATGGTTGAAATTTTTTTAGTAAATATTCCATTAGGGATTAAACCGACCCTGTCTATATCAATACATTTTGATTGTCAATTGGTAATAGCTATAGCTAAAAATAAGAACTACAATGAAAAAAACAGACATATACAATTGAAACATAATTTAGTGAAGCAGTTGCTAAAGAATAAAATAATTTTCATTGACTATGTGAAGTCAGAACGGAATCTAGTAGATCCTCTGACAAAACCCTTAACGAGAAATATGATTTTAGAAACATCGAGGAGAATGAGACTTAAACAACTTGTAAACAAACAGGTGATGATAACCCAACCTTTGTGATTGAAGATCCCATTAATAAGGTTCATATGGGTAAAAACAAGTCCCTTGTTAGTTCTGCTAGCACTAAAATTGATTAAAATCAATTATGTCCATTCCTATGGTGTATATGTGAAAGTGCTAGATACTGCATCATTGAGAGATTAAACTTTGTAATTAAAATTCCATGTGGTGTATGAATTTTAATTACAAAGTTTTTAACGATTTCATATCCCTTAAGAGTGGTGTATGATTTGCAACATATGCTTGATGAAGTCACCTATATGAGTGTGTCGAGTGGGGCAACTTGTATGAGGTCTTTGCAAGATTTCTATAGCACTCATGAATACCGGGTATGCACATGACCTAGTAAGTGCAACACAATGATAACAGTAAAAATTGTGAGGGTGTATTGTGATTGTTAAAACCGCTAACACACATTAAGTGTTTTGGTTCATATAACTTGCTACACCAATTACACTGTGTGTTAAGTTTTTCAGTCTAAGACTGGTTCATATAGCTTGCTATACCAGCTCTGATGCATTACATCTTATATGAGATGCATAATTTTCTTCTTTTATCTCCTTTTTGTTTTGCAATATGTGGGGATTGTTGTAAATTAAGGGATATTGTAAAACTTAGAACATGTTCCCACAAGCTCTAGAGACCGTTTTAGAGAACGTGTCCTCACACGTTGCAGAAAACCGTTTCAGAGAACGTGTTCTCGCACGTTGTAGAAGACCGTTTCAGAGAACGTGTTCTCACACGTTGTAGAAGACTGTTTCAGAAAATGTTACAGACTCACTACCAAGTCTTCCCATTACTGCTACAGACTTTCTCATATAAATAGATACCACTTCACACTCTTCAGACACACACCTCTCTCATTTTCTTTCCTCTAATCTTCTTTCTGTCATCCTGGGTAAATTTACTCTTTTGAGAGTTTCTTACTAGTTTATGAGATCCTCGGATATTCCGAGAAGTTTCTGTTGTATCCTGAGGGACTTGCACAACACACTGCGGATAAGTTCTTAAAGACAGTGCTTATACATGCCTCAGGAATAAAGTTTGTTTGTGTGTCTGTCAGCTTTTACAACATGTGACATGTAACAACTTATGTCTGCATCATAAAGAAAGAGAAAATTTGAGATATATTAGTGAATATGACCAGAAAATTTGACCAAGAAAGTGTTGACATGAAAATTAAAGTATTCCATAAATTTTGAAACAATTATTATTTTAAAGAATTATGATATATTTTGGATGAACTTCTTCATAATCACTTTTTTTTTTAAAAAAAATTAGCTTTTTTAAGCTATTGTGTAATTTTTTTTTTTATCTTGTTTCTTTAAGTTTGTATTTTCAATTTATGCATTATCTGATTTTAACTAACTAATTTTTTTTCTCCTAAAAATACTTACAGACAAATCGTCTACATAAAAACATGACATGATAGAGGTTATAATATTGTACTAAAATGTAGTATAGTTTTGATTTACTTTCCTTAGTTTATTCAGCAAAAAAATATAATTTTTTTCTTCATCTGTTAGAGATATGTTTATAGTTACAAACTGTAGCATATTTATTTTGAAACATTACAGATAAAATTGTGGACAGAAGTAATGGAGATGTTACCATTGATCAATACCATCGTTATAAGGTATGAAAGAAGGACCCTTTATTACATTAATATCTTGTGAAGCAATAAAAATAAGGCATAATTGAAATGCTTTTCATAACTAATAATACAGGAAGATGTTGAAATCATTAAGGAAATGAACATGGATGCTTACAGATTCTCAATCTCTTGGTCCAGAATACTTCCAAGTAAGAAACAGGAAACTATTTAACTTTTTTTTTTCTTATATTCTGTACATTGGCACTACTTAATCATGCCAATAAAAAGATATATTCTTGTATAAATCGATGTTCTATATACTGAAATCTTAGATTCTTTGGCTAATTTCAGAAAGAAAGGTTAGCAGAGGTGTGAACAAGGAAGGAATCAACTATTACAACAACCTCATCAATGAACTGTTAGCTAAAGGTTAATATGTAGTTAAATATTTTTTTTATTAAATTCCATTCTCTCTAATTTAGTTTTAAAATTGAAACAAGTGCCTCAATTTGTTGACATCCATAATGCAGGTCTTAAACCCTTTGTGACCATTTTCCATTGGGACCTTCCTCAAGCCTTAGAAGACGAATATGGTGGTTTTCTAAGTCCTAATATAGTGTAACTCACATCTCTTATACCTTATAATCAAAACATATTTGTGTGAACATACTATAACTAATATCTACTTTGTTTATCATTGTCTAGGAATGATTTTCAAGATTATGCAGAACTTTGTTTTAGAGAATTTGGAGACAGGGTGAAACATTGGATTACATTAAATGAACCATGGACCTTTAGCAAATATGGGTATGCTGATGGCATTTCACCACCTGGAAGATGTTCCAGTTGGCAAAACTTAGATTGTAATGATGGTGATTCAGCCATTGAACCCTATATAGTGACTCACAATCAATTACTTGCTCATGCAGCTGCAGTCAATGTTTATAAGACAAAGTATCAGGTTTAATTATATATTTGTATTTTGAAATGCAATTAGAAAAAGTGTATTGGTTTCCTTATTTAATCAAGAGTCATAATAAGTTATCCCTAAACTTAATGTATAGGCATCTCAAAAGGGTATGATAGGGATATCACTAGCATGTCATTGGATGGTACCACTCTATGTTACAGAGTTGGATCGCCATGCTGCACAAAGAGCCCTTGATTTTATGTTTGGATGGTAACTACTTTATGAACCTGAAGTCTTATGTGGAACTCAACATTATTATCATAATCATTGTAACTTATTTTGTCATTTTAAGTCAATATACAACAATATTTTACTGAATAGTAGAAGAAAGATTCAAACCTTGTCACACAATAATGCATGATCATATCATGTGTTTTCCTAACAAAAATTTAACTGAGGAATGAAATAGAATGTGTGTATACTTAGAGACAAAAACTACTTTTCATTTTATGAGTAGTCATACAAATACATAGTCTAATTAATGGGACAAAAACTTGATATAGTGATGAGGTTAGATAACAACACAAGACTTCTCATGAAGAACACCAAGTGAGCAGTCTAATCCATGACAGATTATTCAGATGAAAAATCCTGTAATGAATACTCATTACTAGTCCACTAATGCTATGATTAAAATAATAATCTCTATAATTAGTTTATGTTAATTTACACGTAAATAATTCAATATATTTGTCCAAACAACTCATTTAAATACTGTATTGTAGGTTTATGGAGCCATTGACAATTGGAGAATACCCTTATTCTATGCAATCTTTGGTAGGGAGTCGCTTACCAAATTTCTCTGCTATTGAGATCAAACTTGTAAGAGGGTCCTTTGATTTTATTGGATTGAACTACTACACTTCTTATTATGCTACTGATGCACCAGAATTAAGTGAAGCCAGGCCTAGCTACCTCACAGATTCTCTTGTTATTCTTACAAGTAAGTGCTCCTTACAGAATAGACTTTAACACATGAAAGAAAGATGATGACATCATAAATTTATGATTCAATTGTTATTCGAATGCGTCATTTAATTTAATTATATGTGTGTTTGAAGTCCAAAACAAATTGCAGTTGATGAATCAAATATTTATATACATTTGTTAATTTTTGTTATTAGTAGAGCATGATAAAATTTATCAATATGATGACAGGTGAACGTAATGGAACACCAATTGGTCAAAAGGCAAGTTTGTAATAATTTTTTATTGAATCTGCAACTACATATCAATGCTTTATATTTGCATTAGTTTTTCAACTTAATGGAGAAAAGGAAACTTGTATACTTGCAGACTACTTCAAGATGGTCGTATGTTTGTCCGAAAGGAATTCATGAACTGTTGCTCTATGTCAAAACAAAGTATAACAACCCTTTCATCTACATCACTGAAAATGGTAACATACCAGTTCAGTTTAATTATTAAACATTCATTTAAGAAAGATAAAATCATTGGAGCAAGAGAGAAAATTGATATCATATGTTTCCTTCTCATACTTATATTTTGAAGAAAAAATTTTATTTGTTTGTGTATAGGTATAGATGAATTCAATGATCCTACTCTATCACTTGAAAAAGCCCTTGCCGATACTTCAAGAATTGATTACTTTTATGATCATCTCTATTATCTTCGAAGTGCAATCAAGTAAGTTGTTTACCAGTTATATTATATGATATTTAATGTCTCTCACATTTTATATGATATTTAATGTATTACTTTTTTTTTTTTTTCAATTTTCAGGATGGAGTGAATGTTAAAGGATATTTTGCATGGTCATTAACTGACAGCTTCGAATGGACTTTAGGCTACATTTCAAGGTTTGGAACAATCTTTGTAGATTACAACAACCTCAGAAGATATCCAAAGTTGTCAGCCATTTGGTTTAGAGATTTCCTACAGGGTGAAATAGAGAAATATTACAATTAATTGGTGCCAAGAAAGTTGATTTGAATAACCATTTGTAATTTGCACACTTGTATAAATATGATTACAATGAATAATATAGATGGATCAAAATGATCATACTTCTAGTCTTCAAGTATAGTGGATATATATGTCAATAATGTGAAGGTAGGGTTTGTAAAGTTCAATGTAGTGTCTATTTTGAGTGGTAATATCTCTATATTTCTATGAAAAAAAAGATAATGTTTAAGAAAGAAATTGAGAGAGAGAAGGTGAATCTTCTTAAATGTGCTGGAAACTCAAATTTTAAGGTCAGGAGCCTTATTAAATGTATAACGAAAATCTATATTAACAAAGATAATCAAATGACATAGTGTTAGTCAATAGCTTGTGATATCTTTATTTTGTTGTGATTGTGGGTAATGAGGAACAAAATTGTCTTCGAAGGAAGTACTACGTCTCATATTAAATTTTTGTAATGCAGTTGGTTCATTGAAAGGAGGGAAGAAATTCAGTTTCAACTTTTTCTAGTTAGTGTATCGACCCCCACGAATGCATAAGGCTTTGCTTTTCCCCAACGTGAAATTTCAATATGCAGATTGTAGCAAACGAGGGAAATTGTAGGAAACCTGCATTGACATAATAGAGATCAAAATGAACATGCTGGGTGTTGACACTTGAATATGAAGACTGGAAAGAAGCTTATTGACAAGATTCCTCTAGATTTTTGCAGGATCTCTACGTACAGTGGCATGATCCCAGTGTGTGAATGTGACACTTTATTTTGCTGTTTTGTTTTCTTGCTGCTCATATTTGGATGCAGGGGATCTACTGTTCTGTTTTGCTAGTTCTGATATTTTGTGTTTGCACTCCTCATTCATTTTGATTCTGCAATGGTCTCCTTTTAGGATCTTACACACATAAAAACATTTGCAGTATTTATTGTAGCACGTTATAGTTAAATAATTAATATTCAATTTTGTTCTAATACAATAAACTTTTAGCAAATTTGAGAAACTCATACTTGATTGTGGTGCATATACAATTATATTATATTGGATACTGTGTAAGATATTATATATTATTATTAAGAAACAAACTTTTTCAGAAGAAACTGATCTTAAAATTGAAAGAAAAAAAACCCCGCTCTATCATGTAGACAATCCAATGTCCAATGGTATAATTTCTTAACAAAACTATTTCTTCAACAAGCATTTCACTAACCATATGTGACTAGAAAAAATATGATTACAATGAATAGTATGGTTCAATAGTCATACTTCAAGTGTTGAAGAAGGACTAGACTGTGTTGCAGGTCTTGGGTAGAATGCAAACCAATTTCAAGGCAGAAATACAAACCCACCTCAGCATCTCTTGCCCATGCAATGGATGTACCATTCATTGCAAAATTTTGGAAATAAGTTTCTAGAATTACTCGATCTAAACCATATGTCGCAGTTATAACTTAATGTTTTTTTCTTGAAAGTCAATTTTGTTAGTATTATATAAGAAATGCTGGTTTTGGAACAGACCTTGTGATGGAAAATACAGTATAACATGTTGAGTTTGATGGAAAACAATTGGGTTAAATGTATTATTGCAGTGGAATGAAATTATAGGAAAATTCTATTACTTTTAATAAATTAATAAAAATAACCTCGGAAATAAGTGCCAAAGTTTCAAGAACAAATAACATTTCATTCCAAAACTGTGGTAAAGAAAAGAAGAAGAACTTCTACTGTACCTATCTTTGGAAAATTAAGATAAGAGATGACCCACAAAACACAAAGGCCAACAAAACTGATAGAATTAATTTATTTAATTAATTAATATAATAATGGATCCAGATATGATTTAATAAAATATAAGGACCTATTAGTTATTATGAAAAGTTAGAATAAAATAAAGATAAAATAAAATAAAAACTTACAAGAACCAATTTGATGGACGTTGGTTAATAAAGGAGATCGAGGTTCTGTCTCTTACTATAAGATTCTTCTCACAATACAACAAAAGTGTGACAAGAGAAAGAAAGACAAAGATATAGATTGGGGAAAGGAGGTTGGAGAACAAAAACATTGAGAAACGCATTTTTATTGGATATCTCATAGAACAAAGTTAGTCTTCTTATTATGATTTATGTTATTATGTGAGAATTATGAATCTAAAAATCCTGTAGAGTAGTTGTCTGGAACGAATGAGGAACGTAATACATAATAGATTTATGATTAGTTTTTTCCAAATTAAGATAAACCCTAATTATGACTTTAGGGATTTCTTTATCAGATTAGCATGAACCCTAATTTATTCCCAAATTTGTTTTTTCCCAAAAATTAAGTGATGTATCAGAGTGGTTATCAGGTACGACTGGAAATCATGTGAGTTATGCTCGTACATATTCAAATCCTTCAAACGACGTGATTGAGTTATGACTTGTACAATTGATTTTAATTGAAAAGATGAATCATGTATGCAATTGGTTTAAAAAATAAATAAATTGAATTGATATTTAAGCATTAAATTAGTGCATGGGTTCAAGATTCATGATTAGCTGGACGAAGGAGAATTATATAGTTATCTTTATGCTTTGATGATGTTATTTGTTTATTTATTTATTTAATTTATATTTGTTATATGTCATTATAGTTTTCTCGACTGAAAGTGCATTTGTTTAGAAAGTTGGATTCAAGTACGGTGATGTTTGGATTACGTCACCTATATGATTAATGTTGATATTTTATTATATAAATAATGTATTTTTAATTTACAATAATGGTATGTTCTAGATAATTTGAAATTGGAATTAAAGGAATGGTTGTCATAGGATGTACCCGTGTATAAATGCCTTAATTGCAAATTTTATTTTACGAATTGAATTGAATCGATTCTGCTGTGTTTAAGTTATGCATAAAAATTTTGAATTGATGATAATTTCACTTTTAGGTGAAGTACAAATATAGGTCTTAATGGAAATTAAAATTATGAGTTTCAATTTTATTTATGATACGTAATTCATTATTATGTGAATAATGTACATATTTATTAAAATTAATGAAAAATGTTACGAATGGTTAATAGGAATTAAAAATGTTATTTATTTAAAATTAGGCATGATAAATTTTGTTAGTCACCAAAGTTTTGGTGACCAAAATTTTAAAGTTATTTGATTTCAAATTATTAATGATTTTATTTCAATTATCCATAATACGAGTTTTAAAATTATGAATAATTGATTTATGGATTAATTGAAGTTTGTTATTATAAGACATTTCAGGATTACCCAAAGGTTGATTAATTATTATTATAATTAATGAACATAAAGGTAGATAATTTTGTTTGCTGTCACTAGTTTTATTTATATACCCAAAGGTGTTAGGTGAATTTAGTGAATGCATATTTTAATTATCATTAATGTTATAAAATGATTAACGACATTATGTTTATGTATTAGTGGATCTCCCAAAGGAATATGCATAAAATGATTATTTATGTTTGAGTCTGTATTTATGTTTAATTTTTAAGACTCAAAGTGTTAATGTTAGACATGTGTTAATTGGATCTGATCCTGATTGGAGTGAACAAGTCCAATTTCACTTAGGCGTGTTGGATCTTGATTTGACTTTCCAGGTTGAAAAATTGGTTGTTACACTGATGCTAGTAGCAATGAAGAGAAAACTCATTATAGAGTTTGGGAAAGGTCAAATAAACTTAGCCTTATATTTACGCGAATGTGTATAGCAAACAATATTAAGTCTGCTCTTCCTAAAATTGAGAACGCAAAAAAGATTGTGAAATTTGTGAAAGAGTGCTCCCAAACTGCTGACAAATCCCTTGTTGGGACATTGATGAGTACGTTGACCACCCTGAAATTTGATGGTTCTCGTAATATACATGAACACGTAATCGAGATGACAAATATCGCAACAAGACTCAAGTCTCTTGAAATGACAGTGGAAGAAAATTTTCTTATGCAATTCATTTTAAACTCGTTATCGTCAGAGTATGGTTTATTTCAAATGAACTATAACACCATAAAAGACAAATAGAATATGTATGAATTGCACAATATATTAGTTCAGGAGGAGACTAGACTCAAGAACCTAGGAAACCACTTTATTCATTATGTGAAAAATCAAGGAGCTGAAAAGAAAGTTGTTAAGAAACATGGAAAGGGTAAAAAACCATTAAAGATTATCGAGTCCTCTACTAAAATTCAGAAGAAAAAATGACAAATATCATGTTTGCGGAAAGTCTGAATATTTTCAGAAGGACTGCTTAAAGCGTAAAATTTGGTTCAAAAAGAAAGGGATTCCTTTTAACCATAAACCCAAATGAGAAGTTCATCTTCATGGGGAATAAAGTGAAGGTTCCAGTGGAAGTTGTTGGAACTTATCATTTAATCCTTGACATTGGATATCACTTAGACCTTATGGATACTTTTATGTACCTAGTATCACTAGAAATTTAGTTTCTTTGTTTAAGTTTGATGTTATTGGATACTCTTTTAAGTTTGTGAATGATTATTTCAATTTGTTTAAGCGTGCTTATATGATTGAATATGATTAAAAGTATGTTAAGTAATTCATGTTTACTTGTATCGTTGTGGATGTATGCTTTGAAGATTGTCATGTATTTGTTGAACAATGTTCCTAGTAAAGTTATTCAAAAGACTCATTTTGAGTTATGGAAAAGTAGAAAACACCTACATGTTTTGGGTTGTCAGGCAGAAGTAAAAATTTATAATCTGTAAGAAAAGAAACTCAATAAAAGAATAATTAGTAGATATTTTATTGGTTATCCAGAAAAATAAAAATGGTATATTGCTCATAATACAAGAATTGTTGAAACCGAAAATACACTACTTAACGAATGAATAACCTAAAAAAACTGATTATAAAACAACTCAACTGGATTGCAAAATATCCCAAGGATTACCCAGAGGAGAATTATAACCACTCACTCATTGATTAATGGAATACAGCTGTGAAAGTTTGAATTGTCGGGAAGAGTCATAGACTCTTAGTTAATGATTGGTTGACTAATGACCATAAGTGCAAAAGATGTTCACCAACCTCTAAAGTAAAGCCATCATTCATAAAATAGATCATTGGCTTAAGCTACACTGCATTGAGTCATTAGCATAAGCTTCATGTGAAATTATTCATACTTCTCTATCCTTTTCCTGCAATGGTCTTAGAATTGGTTGGTGGTGCCCTTCTCTCTGTCTTCCTTGAGGTTGCAATAGACAGATTGGCTTCCCGTCAAGTTGTGGACTTCTTTCGTGGAAGAAAGTTAGATCAGACTCTACTGAGCAAGTTGGGAATCAAGCTTCAGTCCATTGATGCTGTTGCTGATGATGCAGAACAAAAGCAGTTCAAGGATGCACGTGTGAAGGTATGGCTTGGGGCTGTCAAAAATGCTGTGTTTGACGCAGAGGACATTTTGGATGAAATAGAATATGAACTCTCCAAATGTAAACCGGAAGATGAATCTGAATCTCAGACCTTTACAGGCTGTACTTGCAAGGTACCAAATTTATGTAAATCTTATTCTCTTTGTTCCTTTAACAAGGAAATTAAGTCTAGGATGGAACAAGTCCTAGACCGCCTAGAATTTCTCTCAAACCAAAAGGGTGATCTAGGATTGAAAAAGGCTAGTGGTGTAGGATCAGGATCACGATCTTGGAGTACAGTGTCACAAAAATTGCCATCAACATCTTTGATTGTTGAGAGTGTTGTTTATGGAAGAGATGATGATAAAAAAATGATCTTTCATTGGCTCACATCTGACAGTGACAATGGTAACCAGTTATCCATACTCTCTATTGTGGGCATGGGCGGGTTGGGTAGGACCACACTTGCCCAACATGTATACAATGACCCAAGGATAGAGGATAAATTTGATATTAAAGCCTGGGTTTGTGTTTCTGATCAATTTGATGTTTTCGAAATAACAAGAACTATTCTTGAGGCAATCACTAAATCAACTGATGATAGCAGAGATTTAGAGATGGTTCACGGACGATTGAAAGAACAATTGACAAGTAAGAAATTTCTTCTGGTTTTGGATGACGTGTGGAATGAAAAACAAAAGAAATGGGAACTCGTACTGACCCCTCTTAAGTTTGGGGCTCAAGGATGTAAAATAATTGTCACCACACGCCACATGAATGTGGCTTCCACTGTGGGATCAAATAAAATACATTCCTTAAGCGAGTTACGAGGTGATCATTGTTGGCAATTGCTTGCTACGCATGCGTTCAGAAATGATAATCCTCAACCAACTCTAGAGCGTAAGGAGATTGGTATGAAGATTGTGGAAAAATGTGCAGGACTGCCTCTAGCCTTGACAACAATTGGAAGTCTATTAAACAAAAAGTCATCTGTTTCAGAATGGGAAAGAATATTGAAAAGCGAGATATGGGACTTTCCAGAAGAAGATAGTGATATTGTCCCTGCTTTAAAACTCAGCTATCACCACCTTCCTTCCCATCTCAAAAGATGTTTTGCTTATTGTGCTTTATTCCCCAAAAATTATGTGTTCGACAAGGAGTATTTAATTCAGTTGTGGATGGCTGAAAATTTTCTTCATTGTGGTCAACAGACTAAGAGTCCAGAAGAGCTTGGTGAAGAGTACTTCAATAATCTATTGTCAAGGTCCTTCTTTCAACAATCAAGCATTACATCCAAAAGCTGTTTTGTCATGCATGACCTTCTCAACAATTTGGCTAATTATGTTTGTGGGGACATTTGTTTCAGATTGGAAATTGATAAACAAAAAAATATACCAACAACAGCCTGTCATATTTCAGTTGCAATTAATCATGTTCGATCTTTTGGTGGGTTTCAAACTTCATGTGACACTAAAAGGTTTCGTACATTTATGCCAACAAGTGAAAACATGAATTTTCTTAATGAGCGTTGGTATTGCAAGATGTCGATACAGAGTTTATTCTCAAAGTTTAAATCCTTACGTGTCTTATCTTTGTCTCATTGTTCAAACCTCACAGAAGTGCCTGACACTGTAGGCAATCTTAAACATCTCCGTTCGTTAGACCTCTCCAACACAGACATAAACAATATACCTGAAACAACATGTTCACTCTACAATTTGCAAATACTGAAGCTGAACAATTGTACAAATTTGAAGGAACTGCCCTCAAATTTGCATAAGCTCACCAATTTGCGTCGCCTTGAATTAATAGATACTCTACTGAAAAAGGTGCCGCCGAATTTAGGAAAACTGAAGAATCTTCAAGTATTGATGAGTAGGTTTGATGCTGACAAAAGTAAGGAGTTAGGTATTCAGCAGCTACGAGAACTCAATCTTCATGGGAGTCTATCAATTGGGGAGCTGCAAAATATTGAGAATCCCTCAGATGCATTAGCAGTGGATTTGAAAAATAAAACAAGACTTTTGGATCTAAAGTTAAATTGGGGTTTGGAAGAGAACCCTGATGATTCAGCAAAAGAAAGGTACGCAACTGTGCTTGATAATCTACAACCTTCAAAACACTTGGAGAAGTTGTCAATCAAGAACTATGGTGGCACACGATTACCAAGCTGGTTAAATGATAATTCATTATCTAAAGTAGTGTGCTTAGTGTTGGATAGCTGTAAATCTTGCGCATGTTGGCCTCCCGTTGGACTTTTGCCACTTCTCAAGGACCTGGAGATTACAAAGCTTAATGGGATAAAGAGTATTGATGCTGACTTTTATGGTAGCTGCTCTTCATCATTCTCATCGTTAGAAACATTGAAGTTCTCCTTTATGGGAGAATGGGAAAAATGGGAATGTCAAGCTGTCACAAATGCTTTTCCATGTCTTCAAATTCTTTCTATATGGAATTGCCGCAAGCTGAAGGGGAACCTACCAGACAAACTTCTACATTTAAAGATGTTAGATATCAATCGCTGCCATCAACTTGTGTCTTTTCTTCCTGTGGCCCCTGAAATCAGTGTACTAAAACTATGTCACATTGGAAAGCTGCAACTGGATTATCAACCGGCCAATTTAAAACAGCTCACCATTGGGGGACACAATATAGAAGCATCATTGCTGGAAAGAACTGGGCAAATCATATCTGATACTTCTCTTGAACGCTTGTTCATCTATTCTAGCCCAGAAATGAATATTCCCATGAGTTGTTTCAACCATTTTCTTACATGCTTGAAGATAAGTGATGGTTGTGCCGATCAAAAAAAAAAAAAAAATAAGTGATGGTTGTGACTCTCTACTGACTTTTCCGTTAGATTTCTTCCCTAAACTCTGTTGGCTTGATCTTAAGGGGTGTCGTAGTCTGCAGATGATATCACAGGGGCAGGCTCATAAGCATCTTACATATCTGACAATCGAGGAATGCCCTCAATTTGAATCATTGCCTGAGCACATGCATATCCTTTCATCTCTTTTTTACCTATGGATACACAACTGTCCAAAACTTGAGCTATTCCCTAAAGGAGGTTTGCCATCAAGTCTAACTGAGATGAATCTCAATAATTGCCCAAAACTTGTCACCACACTAAAAGGGGCTTTGGGAGCCAATTCGTCTCTGAAAACCTTGAGTATTGGAAAACTGGATACCATGTGTTTTCCTGATCAAGGTTTGCTGCCACACCATCTTAATTCTCTACAAATCTATAATTGTCCAAATCTTCAAAAACTGGACTACAATGGTCTCAGCCACCTCCCTTCTCTCAAGGAATTGGTTCTGAAAGACTGCCCAAGCCTCCAATGCTTACCAGAGGAGGGTCTTCCAAAATCCATTTCAGATTTTAAAATTTCAGGGAAGTGTTCAAAACTCAGACAGCATTGCCAGCTCCCAAATGGAGACTGGGGAAAGATTGCTCACATTGAAAATCTCAATTTTGAGTAGATTAAGAAATTTGCTACTAAGTATTTTCTCAACTCATTTGTTTTTTGTTTGTATTATACAGACTATTTTTTTTCTTATTTATAGGGACTAAAATAATAAAAAAAAATTGTTTTATTTCACAAAGTGAAAGTGCAGTTGTTTGGAGAAATTGTATCTTAGAAACATATTCAGTAACTAGTTGATTACAAAACTGAAAAAAAGTAACAACTTTGAGATATGTATTTTTATACTTGAGAAATTCCAGAATTTTAGTAATAGAGAAATGAGGGTTGAATGTAATTTAAACCTTTTATTTTATTTTTATCAACAGATTCTACGGATGTAAAATGTAAATATTTTGTTATTTGACATTAAACCAATATTGTTATTTTCTCGGTCAATTGTTATAATAGATATAAAAAGTGCATGTTTTAGATATTATTTTTCCAAAGTTTGGTTTCATTTTTGTTTGTTTGATGTTATGGATTTGATGAAGGTTTGCTGCCTCTCTGACTTACACATTTGAATATCTCTGATTGTCCAAATCTAGAAAAATGGACTGCAAGGGTCTCTCTAACCTCTTCTCTCCCACTACATAGTTTCTTGATGACTGCCCCAACCTCCAACGCTTACCAGGGGAGGGTCTTCCCAAATCAATTTCAGATTTTTCAATTTGGGGCAATTGTTCAAAACACAAGGAGGTGAAGACTGGGGAAAGATTGTTCACATTCAAAACCTGTATATTACATCATGTCAGCGATGGTCATTTTTAAGAATTATCATGAAACTTGTACATCAAACATAGATCTAGGAATGTAGAGGTTATCACAGAAATGTATCCTTATCAGGCATAATTAGTACCATGTGCTCCCTTGGTGAAATCAGCCAGGTGAAACACATTTGAATTAAATAACACCTCCCGTTACATTAATAAGCCCCACATTATTTAGGATTTATAGCAGTTTATAAATAAATACCTTTCTCTTAAGATTCTTAACATTCAAGTGTCTTTGACAAAACCTAATTGGATTAGAAATTTGAACTTAACAATACCTCAAAAAATGAACCATTATCATAGCAGACGTAACGTTATTCTTCAGATCTTCGTGTTCTGCCCATTGGTTCAACAAACTGCTGATCCACAGGGAGATAAATGCAAAATTTTAAATTATGAACCCCGCTGCTCATGAAATAATCAAAAGCCCTAGCTGGAGGATTCAATAGCTGCCACTTTTGCTAGCTCGGTGCACAGAGAAATCACAAAATGATGAACAATAAAATGTCCTTACATATGTAGTTTGAAGAGGAAAACACATAAACTCATATCAATAGTGACGAAGGGATCACAGATATCAAACGTGAAGGGTAGAAACTGAGTTTGATAAACTCCGAGAAATAGTGATAATCTGAAAATGAAAGTCCGAAGGGCAGATTCTTCTCCGTCCTATAATGAAGTCCGAAGCTAAAGTGGAAGGTGACTCAAGTATGTTGATTCTGAGCATTGGATCCACTTGAAGAATTTTGAAAATCATTCTTTTAAACTAACGAAAACATCATTTGATAGAGCATAGGAGTCAGACCAGATAACTGTTGGAAAACTGATATTAAACTAATGAAATAATAATAATAATAATAATAATAATAATAATAATAATAATAATAATAATAATAATAATAATAATAATAATAATAATTAACAATAGTAATAAGTGAAGTATTCAATATTTTAAAATTTTAGATATTATAAGTTTGATGTTATTTTTTAAAGCATAGAATATTTCTTTCTAGGTAACAGATTTTTTTATGAGAAAAATGGTTATTAAACGGTGAGCGAGGATTGTATTTTATAAAGTTTGGTTAATTACATGATTTAAAGAAATGGTAGATGATTGGTTTTTAATTTGATTTAGTTTTTAATTTTATCCATGCTTTTTAATTATATTTTTTATTTAAAATATACAAAAACTTGAAAAATAAAGTAATTGATGTTTAGATAATTAAAACCGCAGTTTATTAATATATAGAAGTTTAAATATGACTATATTTTCGTTCAATTTTCTTTATAAAATAATTAGTGCTTTTATTTCAGAGTTTCAAAACCATATTTACTTTTTTGTTGAACTCCGTCCTTGTACTTTAAAAACAATATCAATCATAATTTGTTGGGCAATTCAAATTGATGGTGGATGAAGCATTCACAAAAACAAATAGTCCTACACAATGAAGAAAAGTGAAGGCCAAGAAGCATGAATATAAAACTAAAACTTTACTCATACACTTTGATAAACTTCATACTGATATTACAATCGAGTCAATGTGATGGAATATTACAATCGACTCAAAACAAAAAATTAAATTAACAATATATGCTTATCTGCTTTTTCCCTAGATAATATAATACAATAGGACTAGACGCATTACATTTATTATAATGCAAAGTCAATTTATTTTTGTCCTATACTATATGGTCTTTTCAAATATACACGCAATTGCAAATTATTTGGTTTATTTGTTGATTAGTTTGCCGCTGAAGTTGACCATTCTTAAAGAAAAATATTATGTTCTGCAATGATTCATAAAATAGCTCATTACCACTCATTTTGTCAGAATATTAGCACTGCACTAGCTGAACTTCAGATTACTCATTTTCATTCATCTACTCCACTCCCTTTCCTAGTTCTACATGGCAGCAACATTGGTTGGTGGTTCTCTTCTTTCTGCTTTCCTTCAGGTTGCATTTGACAGGCTGGCTTCCCCTCAAGTTCTGGACTTCTTTCGTGCAAGAAAACTTGATCAGAAGCTGCTGAGAAAGTTGAAGTGGAAGCTGCGGTCCATTGATGCTTTGGCTGATGATGCAGATCTACAACAGTTCAAAAATCAACGTGTTAAAGCATGGCTTGCTGATGTCAAAGATGCCCTGTTTGAAGCTGAAGATCTCTTGGATGAAATATATGAATTTTCCATACACGAAGTGGAAGCTGAATCTCAAAGAACTGATAACAAGGTGTGGAATTTGAATTTCCCTATATCTTCTGTCAGTTTCTTTAAAAATGAAAGTGAAATTGAAACAAGGATGTCACAAGTCCTTGATGACTTAGATGAACTTGCAAACGAAGGCAGTCGTCTAGGTTTGAAAGAGGCTAGTGGTGTTCGGGTTGGGATTGGGGTTGGTTCAGGATCCGATAGTAAAGTGTCACAAAAATCCTCATCAACATCTTTGTTGAGTGAGAGTGATGACATTTATGGCAGAGATGATGACAAAGATATTATCTTTAACTGGCTCACACCTGACACTGACTATGGTGACAAGTTATTAATACTTTCTATTGTGGGCATGGGCGGTTTGGGTAAAACCACGCTTGCCCAACATGTCTACCATGAGCCGAGGTTAGAAGGTAGATTTGATATCAAAGCCTGGGTCTGTGTTTTGGATGATTTTGATGTTTTCAAGGTAACGAGAACAATTCTTGAGGCGATAACTAAATCAACTGATGATAGTAGAAACCTGGAAATGGTTCAGGGAAGATTAAAAGAAATAATGACAGGTAAGAGATTTTTTCTTGTTTTGGATGACGTTTGGAACGAAAGCCTATCTAAATGGGAGCAAGTGCAGAAAGCTCTTGATTCTGGGGCTCATGGAAGTAGGATTCTTGTCACCACTCGCAGTAAGAAAGTTGCTCTTTCCATGCGCTCAGAAGAGCACCACCTGAAGGAATTACAAGAAGACTATTGCTGGCAGTTGTTTGCAAAACATGCATTTCAAAATGATACTCGTCAACCAAATACAGACTGCAAGGAGATTGGTATGAAGATAATTGAAAGATGTAAAGGACTTCCTCTAGCCTTGAAAACAATGGGAAGTCTGCTACACAATAAATCATCTGTTTCAGAATGGAAAAATGTATTGAAAAGCGAAGTATGGGAATTGGAGGATAGTGATGTGATCCCTGCTTTAGCACTGAGTTATGACCATCTTCCTTCCCATCTCAAGAGATGCTTTGCTTATTGTGCATTATTCCCTAAAGGTTATGAGTTTGACAGAGAGTGCTTAATTCAATTGTGGATGGCTGAAAATTTTCTTCAATGTCATCAACATACCAAGAGTCTAGAAGAAATTGGTGAACAATACTTCAATGATCTATTATCGAGGTCCTCCTTTCAACAATCAAACAGATATAAAACATGTTTTCTCATGCATGACCTTTTAAATGATTTGGCAAAATACGTTTGTGAGGACATCTGTTTCAGGTTGGGAGTTGATAAAGCAAAAGGTATTCCCAAAACAACCCGTCATTTTACATTTGCAACCAATCATGTGGAATATTTTGATGGGTTCGGAAGTATACATGATGTTGAAAGGTTACACACATTTATGCCAACAGATTGGAGTTGGCATTGCAAGATGTCGATAGATGACTTACTGTGCAAGTTTAAGTTTTTACGTGTCTTATCTTTCTCCAACTGTTCTAACCTTACAAAGGTGCCTGACTCACTAGTCAATCTTAAACATCTCCGTTCATTAGACCTCTCCAATACCCACATAGAAAAACTACCCGAGTCCACATGTTCACTCTACAACTTGCAAATACTGAAGCTGAACAATTGTCCACTAATCAAGGAGCTTCCCTCAAATTTACATGAACTCACCAATTTGCGTCGCCTTGAATTTATAGATACTGAACTGACAAAGATGCCAGAACATTTGGGAAAACTGAAGAATCTTCAAGTACTGATGAGTTCGTTTGATGTTGGAAAAAATAGGGAATTCAGCATTCAACAGCTAGGACAGCTAGATCATCATGGAAGGCTATCGATTGGGGAGCTACAGAACATTGAGAACCCCTCGGATGCACTAGCAGTGGATTTGAAAAATAAAAGTCACCTTGCGGGGCTAAAGTTAAAATGGAATAGGGACCAGGACCCTGATGATTCATTAAAAGAAAGGGATGTAAATGTCATTGAGAATCTACAACCTTCCAAGAACTTGGAGAAGTTGTCAATCAGCCACTATGATGGTACAAAATTTCCAACTTGGCTTGGAGATCATTCATTATTGAATGTGGTGTCATTAAGCTTGTTCCAATGTAAATACTGCCAATGTTTGCCCTCCCTTGGACATTTGCCATTTCTCAAGGACCTCACAATTTCAGGGGTTGACGGGGTAAAGGCTATTCATGCTGACTTTTACGGGAGTAACTCTTGTTCATTCACATCCTTGGAGACACTGATGTTCTCCCGCATGAAAGGATGGGAGAAATGGGACTGTCAAGCTGCGAGAAGTGCTTTTCCACGTCTTCAACATCTTTCTATTGATTATTGTTCCAAGCTGAAAGAGCACCTGCCGGTGCCAATTCTTTGTTTCAAGACACTATATATTCGACACTGCAAACAACTTCTGGGGTACGATGGACTGGTGAAAATGAATGGGAATTGGCTCACTCTTTTTCAAGTACACAACATGGAGGCATGGTTTGTGGAATGGGTTGGAAAAATGATATCTCATCCTTCTCTTGAAGACTTGAAAGTTTATTCTTTCCCGAATATGAATATTTCCATGAGTCGGCACTATGATTTCCTTGTAACGTTGACCATTCATGACAGCTGTGACTCTCTAACGACCTTTCCTATAAACTTCTTCCCATCCCTCAGGTCCCTTTATCTCCGGAGTTGTTGTAATCTGCAGATGATTTTACAGGTACATGCTCATGATCATCTCCAGGACCTGACAATCTGTGAGTGTCCCCAATTTGAATCATTGCCTGAACAAATGCATATCCTCCTTCCATCTCTTGAATTCCTAAGCATACGAGATTGCCCCAAAGTTGAGTCGTTCTCTGATGGATGTTTGCCATCAAATATAAAAAGGATGTATCTCACCAATTCCTCCAAACTTATTGCCTCACTGAAAGGGTCTTTTGGAGACAATCCCTCTCTGGAAACCTTGTTTATTGGAAAGCTGGATGCACAGTCTTTTCCTGATGAAGGTTTTCTTCCACTCTCTCTTACTTCTCTACGGATCTATGATTGTCAACATCTTAAAAAACTGGACTTCAAGGGTCTCTGTCACCTCTCCTCTCTCAAGGAATTGTTTCTTGTTAACTGCCCCAGCCTCCAATGCTTACCAGACGAGGGTCTTCCCAAATCCATTTCATATCTTACCATTTCAGGCAACTGTCCGTTGCTCAAACACCGTTGTCAACAACCGAGAGGCGAAGACTGGAGAAAGATTGCTCATGTTGAAAACCTATCTATTTTATAATCATGCATGGAACTGTTAAAGGATTTTCATGTGCTACATGGATCTGGGAATTTATTATGGGCAAAATATTTCACTGTTTAAGTTTGCTTCCAAAATTGTATGAGAAGTGATTTTCAAGAGACAGGTGTTATTTTTATACTACACACAGTCTTAGTTTTCTCGGTTTTTTTAACTCGGACCCGCTCAGCCCGAGTTGTTTTTTGTACTCGGTCACGTTTGTCTTCTCATTTGGTGAATATATAGACCTTTTTGTTTTTCTTTTTAAATCAATCAATAATACGTGTTTCTCTTCCTCTCTTTTCTCCTTTTCCCGCTTTTCTCCTTGCCTTGTCTACCCTAAACCTATTTTTCAAGATGGTAAGAGCTGTGTTTCGCGTCTTTCTTCTTCATTCTTTATCTTCTTATTTTCTTTTCCATCATGGTTAAAGAAGCCAAGCATAATCAAGTCACAAACCATTTTTTTATCCTTAGCTTTTTTATCTATAACTAGGGAGAACCCTGTCACCACTCTTATTTTTCCTTTTTTTTTTTTTAAACCAACTATTATTGGTGAAGTCAATCCATGATTATTGCATGGAGTGTTGAGAATAAACTCGAATTTATTGATAATACTATCGAAGAACTTGACAAAAGGCGATTCTTCTTATAATCTCATTCAAAAAAACATTTTATAGATTGTTAAGGTTAAAAACACATGAAACGATCTAAAATCAAGATATTTTCAAAATAATTTATTGAAAATGACTAACTTATAAAAGTTTCATTGTTTAAGTAAGGAGACTATATCATTACCAAATTATTTACCAACTTTCGTCTTATTTGAGATAAATTATATATAATGTTTGACCTAATCCACTTGAGTTTCAAAATACTTTTGTACTCTTCTTTCTACTATTTACCAATGGAAGAACGAGGATTGTGTCATGTAGTTTGTCGGATGATTAAATGATCAATACAACAACATAAAATCTCATGTTCTTCTTATGTAATTCATTTCCCCATTAACAAGATATTTTCTTATGTTTTTTAATAAGAACGACAGATTAAGGGAATGACTTAAATGTTGGATTGGAACCCAAGATCAACACTGTTACAAACCTGGTCAATTCTTGCACTTATTGTGAAAAATATGGACACACCGAGAGTGTTTACTACCCAAACATGATTTTCCAAAAAACCATGACAACAAAAGTTGTAAGAATCCCATGAAGACTTGTCTACAATGTGGGAAGCCCGATCATACGATTGACATCTATTATAGGAAACATGAGTTTTCTTCTGACCACAAATTATATATCAATAATAATGATGTCATGAACTGTATTGAAGCCATGAATAAGGTCGAACAAACTCGCCATAAGCCAAGTAGCCTCTTGCTCGACAAACTCACCAAATCCAAAAGGTAACTAATTATTACCATAAGCTCTTCAAGTTCGCAAAATTTAACCTCTTAGATAATAGATTCTAGTACCACTGATCATGGTTTTTTCTTCACTTTTCAATTGTATTTCTTATAAAGCTATCAACCCTATTATTGTTAATCTCCTAAATGGTGAAAAGGTTTATGTCACTCATGCTGGTATCATAAAATTCAGTGAAAATTTCCTACTTAAAGATGTTCTTTTTATCCTATTTTTACTTATAATTTAATCTATGTTTCTAAACTAAACCTCTTATCATTCTTGTATTATCTAGGACAATAAAATCAAAGGGAAGATTGGTTTAGTTAGCATTGAGGTTGGTTTATATATCTTTAATACTTATATTATCTAATTTCATTCCATGCACCCCTATACTATTAACAATGACAATCATTGGCATGCTTAGGACATTTATCCGATGAACAATTACTCATCATAAACAACAATATTCTTACATTCACTTCAATAAAAAAAGACGTTATAATGTTTGATGATCACTTAGCTAAGCAAAAACGTCTACTATTTAACATAAGTGACTAACATACCTCAATATTGTTTATAATTTTGCATTTTGATATTTGGAGACCTTGTCCCAATATATGTTTGCATGGTCATAGATATTTTCTTACTATTGTTGATGAATGCACTTAGTATAATTGGGTTTATCTTATGTTGAATAAAGATGAAACCAAAATCCATTTAATCAACTTTTTGCCAACATGTCATGATTGTTAGATTCAATAATGACGTATGTGGAAAAATAATTTGAAAACATGTCATGATTGTTAGATTCAATAATGACCTAAAATTTCTCATGAAAATCTATTTTGACTCTAAGGACATAGCTCACCAAACTAGTTGCATAAAAACACCAAAACAAAATGATATTGTAAGATGGAAGCATCAACACATTTTAAATGTTGTCCATGTCATGCTATTTCACTTTAACCCCAACTTGAATTTTTCTTGTTTTGCTTTAAAATATCTTATTTATATTCCTACTCCTTACTTGAACAACAACTCACCTTATGAAAGATGTTAGAAAAGTAGGCTGAGATCAAGAGGGGAGGTGAATTGATCTTTGAAAGATTTTCGCAATTAACAGATTATCTATTTGTAAAAATAAGATTTCAGATCTGTTCTTGAATCACAAAGCAATCAATCAACAATAAACGCAGCAACAGAATTAAAAGAGGAGAAAGGTTTAGAAAGATATCACCGGTGTTTATACTGGTTCACCCAATATCAGGGCTACGTCCAATCTCCAGCCAAATTCTAGCTGGGTTCCACTAGATCAAATGTTTTACAGATTACAATCTTACACTTAATCTACCACAAGAACCACAATTCCAGTTCCTGCACCTAACCTTTCACCAAGAACCAAATTTCAGTTCTTGACAACCTCTACAACCAAATTCTAGCTGCAGAGAAACCAGTGCCCACAATTCCAGGCACCAAACAATACAAAAAGAATGTAAAGAATTGAAAAGAAGAAACTAGAATGCTCAAACCAGTTTTATGCAATTCTGCAGTAAGTGTTTCTTCTCCAAAAGAAAGCAATTTGCCTCAAGAAAGAATTTCAAAGAACTTCACAAAAATTGGAGTGAATCTTTCTTGAAAGAGTGCTAAAGTTTGCTTGCTTGATTGCTAAAGATTGATGTTCTATTGTATGTCTAAAATGTTCAAGCCAAACTGTTTTTATAGAAGATTTTCAAAACTGCTGGTTTAATCAATCTGTTAAAATAATCTTTTAATCTGTTAAAAGTGTAGTTTTAATCTGTTAAAACTTATTTTAATCCATTAAACCGTTCTTGATTCTTTAACAGATTTGTTTTAACTTATACGACAACGTTTATATCAATTAAAACTCTTTACAAAAAATCTTCTAATTTGTTTTAATTGATTGTTTCGTGATTCAATCGATTAATATACTGCAAAAATTTATTGTAAAATTTTCAAAGTGATTTTAACTGATAAAAATAAGTTTTAATCGATTAAAACGCTGTGTAGAAATTTTCTAAGTTGTTTTAATCGATTGAAACGCGTTTTAATCGATTGAAAAAGCTCTGATCGGTCATAACTCAATTCTGATCGATCATATCTGATTCTGATCGATCATAATTGCATTCTGATCAATCATCCTGAACACTAAGTGGATTTAATTGATTAAAACCAAGTTGTATCGATTAAAATACTGCAAAAATACTTATCTTACCTTTTTAAGTGATTTTAATCGGTTATTTCAAAGCTTTATCAGTTAAAACACTGACAGAAGGTTTTCAAAACTTTCTTTAATGAAAACAACCGGTTATTTCAAAATTATATCAGTTAAAAACTTGTTTAAGAAAGCTTTTGTTAAAATACTTTGTTTTTAACGCTTAAACGTTTTTAGAGGCATTTTGCAAAATCTTTTAAGTGAAGAAACCTCATGCAGCAGAAAAGATAAAAATGATTATACCTAAGCATAGTTGCGGACACACTAATCTCTCTACTCTTTTATCTAAGTGACTGTTGACCGCTACAAAGTTGACTTTGACTTTTTATCTTTGACTTCATCAAATCAACAAGATCTTTGTCAGAGTATTTCAATAAGATCTTCATCACTTTCAGTCTCCCCCTATTTGATGAAGACAAACACCACTTTGAATAATAACTCTGCAAGAGAAGTCACTTGATAAAACACATTAGTGAGTAATAAAGAAATGAATTATTTTCCTATTTCTCCCCCTAAATTGTTGCTTCCCCTAAATAAAGAATTATTTCTGATCAAAAGTAAAACAACTATTCTCCCCCTTTTGACTTCATAAAAAATAGGGAAGAGAAGAGAAACAATGCAAAGGTATGAAATATGTTTGAGATTTTGAAAAAAATGAATACGATTTTTTTACTCATGTAAAGATCAATCAAAGTTGATTCAAACTTATCTTCATTAACACGTTTGTAATGAATACAATTAACACGTGTAAAGATAAGGGAATCACGCTTTAGTAGCATGTTACAAGAACAACCATTAACTAAAGCCTTTAATTTTTCTTTCCAGAATAAAAATCAATTAAAAACAGGACAAAATCGATTAAAAAGTTCTTGTTCAATGATTTTAATCGATTGAAATAAAGGTTTAATCGATTAAAACAGTGAATGACTTTGAAAGTATAAAACATAAGTGCATTTAATCGATTAATTCGACAATTAATCGATTAAAACAGTAAAGAAAAATGTTGTATAAATTCTTTTAATCGATTTAAAAGATATTTTATTGATTAAAACAACCAGTTTTGCAAACTAAGTAAAGTTTGATGCATCTAAAATGCCTAATTCAGTGCGAATTTTGAAAAACCGATCACGAGCAAGAGGTTTTGTAAAAATATCTGCTAGTTGTTTTTCAATTTCTATAAAGAAGATTTCGCAATCACCTTTCAAAACATGATCTCTAATGAAATGATGTCTTATTTCTATATGCTTTGTCCTAGAATGTTGGATTGGATTTTTAGTTAACATAATGACACTAGTATTATCACACAAGAGAGGAATTTTTCTCGAGAATTAAACCATAATCCTCAAGTCGTTGTTTGATCCAAA